GAAGTGACCTAGGCTTGTTGGAGCTTGGCAGTGTGGCTTTGACAGGCGTTGCTCATGGTGTCTGCTCTCTCTCAGGCGGATCTGTGCACGGGGCTGCAGGGCTTCCTCATCTTCCACAGTTTCGGAGGCGGCACTGGCTCTGGGTTTGCATCTCTGCTTATGGAACGGCTCTCGGTCGACTACGGCAAGAAGTCCAAGCTCGAATTTGCCATTTACCCAGCCCCCCAGGTGTCCACGGCCGTGGTGGAGCCCTACAACTCCATCCTGACCACCCACACGACCCTGGAACATTCCGACTGTGCCTTCATGGTGGACAACGAAGCCATCTATGACATATGTCGGCGCAACCTGGACATCGAGCGGCCCACGTACACCAACCTCAATCGTCTGATTGGGCAGATCGTGTCCTCCATCACGGCCTCCCTGCGCTTCGACGGGGCCCTGAACGTGGACTTGACGGAATTCCAGACCAACCTGGTCCCGTACCCCCGCATCCACTTCCCCCTGGCCACCTACGCCCCAGTCATCTCAGCCGAGAAGGCCTACCACGAGCAGCTGTCTGTGGCCGAGATCACCAATGCCTGCTTCGAGCCGGCCAACCAGATGGTCAAGTGCGACCCTCGCCATGGCAAGTACATGGCCTGCTGCATGTTGTACCGGGGTGATGTGGTGCCAAAAGACGTCAGCGCGGCCATCGCCACCATCAAGACCAAGCGCACCATCCAGTTTGTGGATTGGTGCCCAACGGGATTTAAGGTAGAACTGGGTGATAACGAGTGGTTTTACCTTTCAGCCTGCGGCAGACCCTGCGATAGGATGCTGCCCTTGTGGAGAATACCCCGTTCCTCGGCAGCTAGGATGTTGGTCATCAGTTAGTGTACCAGAGTGGTAATTTATCTAGTGGTGTCTTTTAACTTCCTGCCTGAGTCATCACACTACTGTCTGTGGTGAGAAAAGTTTTTTAACAGAACAGGAAGTTTTCTGAAGGATCTGTGTTCCCATTTGGGTGGGGAAATTAAGGTGGAAAATGTAGGTTGGCCTTAGAAATGAGTATTTTTTCTTATAATAGAAATTTTCTTAAAATAGAAACTTTTGAAAAATAGAAATGTAGATATTTCCTGGGCATTTTGCCACTTCATGTGGATATTTGAAACTGGGGTATTACTATTTGTGTCACTAAATCTCACTAGATTCCGCAAGTATGTAGAAATTAAACCCAATTTAAATATCCTATGAAGTGTTTGATAAAGAAAAATCATCATTAATCTTTTGCCCTGGCCAGTTTGGCTCAGCGGTTAGAGTTTCGGCCCACGGACCAGTGTCCCAGGTTTGGTTCCTGCTAAGGGCACATACCTTGGTTGCAATTTGTCCCCAGCCCTGATTGGGGTCCTGTAGGTGGCAGCCACTCGATGTGTCTGTCTCACATTGATGTTTCTCTCTCTCTTTTCCTCCCTCTCCCCTTCCCTCTTTATCTGAAGATAAATGCAAAAAAATCCTCAGGTGAGGATAAAAAAAAAGAAAAATCATCATTACTCTTCTAAAAAATTTTTTTTCTTTATTGATTTTAGAGATAGAGGAAGGGAGAGAGAGAGAGAAACGTCGATGAGAGAGAACATCAATTGACTGCTTCCTGCATGCCCCCCACTGGGGATTGGGCCCACAACCTGGGCATGTGCCCTGACCGGGAATTCAACTGGCGACCTCCTGGTGTATGGGTCCATGCTCAATCACTGAGCCACACCGGCCAGGCATCATTCATCTTTTTGTGAAAAAAATAATGGCAACATCTTTTTCTTCCTCTTGGTAAGCCTAAATATTTTGGCCTGAATTTGCCTCAGGACTCCAGTTTGTACCAGCCTTTCATTTGATACAGACAAGAAACCTTGGTGTCATGTTTCAGCTTAGTTCTGTACTTGATTACAGAACCCTGCCTATTCTTTTCCTCTGGGATCTGTGCTTCCCTGGACCTTCCTTTTCATGCTGCCTCCTATGGCTCAGACCCTCAACTGTTTCTGGTAGGCCTGCTGTTCTGCGTTCTTTTTTTTAAAAATTGTTTTCCTAGAGAGTTATTTATAAATTCATTCCTAATATTTTTATTTTTATTATACTTTTAACATTTTTCTTTATTGATTTTAGAGAGAGAGGAGGGGAAAGAGAAAAAGAGAGACATCAATTTGTTGTTCCACTTATTTATGCATTCATTGGTTGATTCTTGTATGTGCCCTGAACCCACAACCTTGGCATATCGGGACATTGCTCTAACCAACTGAACTACCTGGCCAGGGCCTAATATTTTTTTAAATTGATATTAGAGAGAAGAAGAAAGAAGGAATATGATGTGAGAGAGAAACATCAATTGGCTGCTTCCTGCATGCCACCCTCACTGGGGATTGAACCCACAACATGGGTATGTGCCCTGATCTGGAATCGAATCTGTCACCGTTTGGTGTACAGTATGACGCTCCCACCCACTGAGCCACCTGGCCAGGACTTGTACTGGTTTCTTAACAAAGACTTCCTACACTGGGTCCTCTTCCTCTAGTTCTGGGGTTAGCATAGTTGGTGGACCAGTGCCTGATTTTGTGAAATTTAACATGAACACAGCCACAGCCATTCAGTGGCCTATTGTTGTGGCTGCTTTTGTGCTACAGAGACATAATTGAGGGGCTGTGACAGATTGTATAGCCCACCCAGCATAGAATATGTACTATCTCACTCTTTTTTTTTTAAATCCTCATCTGAGGTTATTTTTCCCATTGATTTTTAGAGTGGAAAGGAGGGAGGGAGAGAAACATCCATGCAAGAGAGATTGGTTGCTTTCCGCATAATCCTGACCAGGGCCGGGGATTGACCCTGCAACCCAAGTAGTGCCCTTGACCAGAAATTAAACCGGCGACCCATTGGTCTGCAGGCTGACACTCACTGCTGAGCCAAACTGGCCAGGGCACAGCCAGGGCACTATCTCACTCTCTACAACAAAGTTTGCTGACCCTAGCTCTAGCTGACCCTGTCTGTATTCTGCTGCCAAACCTCTGGTCCTGTCTCCCCTGAAGTCTGGAATGCCTCCCTCTTGGTCTAAGCCCCGGAATGTCAGCCCTTCCTCCTACTTAGCATACACACAGACCGCTTGCTGTTGTAGTCATAGCAGTGGTCCTAGGCCCTCTGATAGTGTACCTGTCATTCTGCTGTGCACACAGACTGTTTGGTGGGAAAGCAGGGTATGACCTTCCCTTGCAATACCATCACAGCTGTGTACTAGGTAGAAACGGCTTCCACTGTTGAGATCAATTTCCCTATTGTTGAAGCCTATGGAGAAAGTAACCTATGAAGAATCCAGGGCACAGTTCTTCTTCAGAAGGAAAACAGTTTAATCACCAGGGTGCCTATCACATGTCACAGTTGCTGGGACACAGCCCTTCAGGCTCGCTCTGGCCACTTGTCTTTCTTTGTCTGGAAACCATCATCTTGCTTTCCTGGCACCTTGCCTGGCACAAAAAAAGGGCTCAGAGACTACAGATTGATCCAAGCCTCTGCTAGGTTTGCCAGAGGGCACCTACATGCCTTCTGTTTCTGGGAAAGCAGCCACCATTTCTAGGTTTAACAGAAGCTTCACACAGTGCTTTATTCCCCTCTCTGGCAGGTGGGCATCAACTACCAGCCCCCCACCGTTGTCGCTGGGGGAGACCTGGCCAAGGTACAGCGGGCTCTGTGCATGCTGAGCAACACCACCGCCATTGCTGAGGCCTGGGCCCGCCTGGACCATAAGTTCGACCTCATGTATGCTAAGCGAGCCTTTGTGCACTGGTATGTGGGGGAGGGCATGGAGGAAGGGGAGTTCTCCGAGGCCCGGGAGGACCTGGCAGCTCTGGAGAAAGATTATGAAGAGGTGGGCGTGGATTCGGTGGAAGCAGAAGCTGAAGAAGGGGAAGAATGCTGAATGGGAGTGTGGCTGGTGGGTGTACCTCTCTTCTGCTTTCTCCTGCTACCCTTTGGCTTGACTGGTTTCAAGTCGTTTGTTATTAAAGTTTCTGTATCAAACCTGTCTGCTGTGGTGCTTGGCTGGGAAACACTCGTCTGCCTACAGGAGTGGATAGAAACCCAGTCTTCCAGGCATGCGTGGAAGGCTGGTTTGGGGTGGGTGCAGCACTACCCAAACCTGTAAGGAGCTACTGCTTACATGACATGACTTAGGGCAGTCAATATTTCCAATCCAAGATTTCAAAGTATAAACATATACTAAATTCTAGGAAAATTGAGTTAGGTTTTTCAATTGAATTTGCCATTTTTCAGGCTCATCCACTGATGGGACATATACACTAAAGTACAAAACCTTAGAACTGGGATTTTTATTTATTTTTAATTTTTTTTCTTTATTGATTTGAGAGAGGAGAGAGAGGGACAGAAACAGCGATGAGAGAACATCGACTGGCCGCCTCCTGCATGCCCCCACTGGGGATTGGGCCCACAACCTGGGCATGTGTCCTGACAGGGAATTGAACCAGCAACCTCTTGGTGCATGGGTCGATGCTCAGCCACTGAGCCACACCGGCTGGGTAGAACTGGGGTTTTTTTTATCTGAAGTCCATGGAAGGGGGCGTGTGCACAGAATTTCTGAAGCTCTATTGGATTCTTAATGACATTCATGACCCACAGAAGGTTCGAAGCTCTGCACAATTCATCTTTATTCTGTGTGTGGTAACAGTGTTCTTCCTCCATGCTCAAACCCTGGCCTCTCGCTGCGCCTGAGCACCCTGGGAATGGTCTCAATGAGTCACTCCTTTTACTTCAAGCAAAATGTGTTGAAATCTGTTAGTAAAAGACCTAGTAACACAGATAGCTTCTCCGAGACCTGAAAATGAGGTCCAGGAGGGTGAAGTCACTGGTTTAAGTCACTTAGTTAGTTCAACTGTAGCATAATCAGGATCAGCACACAGAACTAATTCTCAATATTTGTGCCTTAACATATTCAAAGGATGACAGAAAACATTTTGAGTGGACCCTCAGTTTTTCAAAAAGGTTTATTACCAACTGGAGGAAATACATAACCTCTGCTAGGAAGCTGGTGGAGCCCACAGCAGGTAGGTGTGACAAGTCTCTGCTTGGCTCAGGTACTGCTCCGGGTGGGGCTCTTCCCTGGCCCACCCCCCTTGGGCAGCCTGGTAGCACTGGGCTGTCGGGGCATCCTCTGGCTGGATCCTTCCCGGCAGCTTCGTTCTGCCAGGGCGGGGCCTCCACCAAGAGCAGTGCTGCCTTTGTTTCTCCCTGAGCAGACACAGAAAACAATCATTATGAACCAAGGCAAACTCCACAATCACAGTGCATCTCTATTTGTGTTCCCTGAGCTACACTTACAGCTAGGATGTTTCTATTACAGTCCTTTCAGCCGAGGACACTATGTTGGCCTAGAGTTCTGAGGCTCAGGACTGCCTGGAGATGGCACATCCAAGAACAATCCTTGGTAGAGTGCAGGAGGCCCTCTAGGGTGTCCTAGAATTGAAGTCATGCAAAGAGTGAGGGGGAAAGTATCCATGGTCAATTTAGTGGGAGGGAAGCTCAGTTAGTTGACTCTTGCCCTGGGAAGCATAAGTGGTTAGCCACACCTACCAGCAGCACAGGAGGGCTCACTATCAGCAGGGCCGCATCTCACTGCTCCCCAGGCACTCTCCTCACTCTGGATTATCCATGCCTGAGCTGATCAGACTGATAACACAGGAAGCACAGGAGTCATCAATAGATGATGAAATCAGGCTTTTGAACTTGAAAGCTCTTACATGTTTTCCTCCCTCTCAGTATTCTGCAAACATTCTGTGGTCAAGACTCTTCCTCTCAGGTTCACTCCCAGCTCCTGTGGCTGGGCTCCTGCAGAGGTTTGACTGCTCAAGACTTGCCCTGACCACTAGGTAGTCACACTCAGATGGAGACCACTGGTCTAGCCCTTGATTTGTAATCTGCTTACTTTATTCTTTTTTTGTGTGCATACAGGAATACCTGTAAACCACGCCTGGACTGGAGCTTTATTTTATTTTAATATGTTTTTATTGACTTTTTCTTTTTTTTTCGAGGGAGAGATAGAAACATCAGTGTGAAAGAGAAACATGATTTGACTGCCTCCTGTATGCCCCCTACTAGGGATGTGCCCTGCAACCTGGGCATGTGCCCTGACTGGGAATCAAACTGGGACCTCTCAGTCCATGGGACATTGCTCAATCCACTGAGCCACATGGGCCAGGCTAGAGCTTTATTTAAATGAGTGACTTCCCTGGGCTCAGGGTGTTGACAGCATCAGGGGACAAAATGTACTGGTAGAACAGGCTCACCAATTGGCTCAATCCCTCCCCTTTGGGCCAGCCTCAGCCAGGGTCTGCCCTGTGGGCTCTGACCAGGACACGTGTGTCCCCTGTCTGGCCCCCCAGTCTCCATCAGGGTTTAGAGTCAAATAGCCTGCCATGGGGGAATTTTGAGTTATTGGATAAAAGATGCAACAAAGGTTCTTGGGGACTGTTAAGTCATTCCTGTTTCTCCATCTGTCACCTTGAGCAAGCCGAGGCACCTGCATTGAGACTGCTGACCCTGGCTCCTATAGGACATCAGACTCACTTTCCATGCTCTCTAATACTGATAACTAAGTTCTATAGATTCCTGCAGGGATAGGATGGCCCCTTTTAAGGTAATTTTTGGAATGTTCTTCCTCAGAGAGCAGGGTCTTTTGCTGCCTGGTGTGGTGGGGAGGGTTATAGTAGCACCACAGTTCAGGTTTCCCCTGCCTCTCCTCCCTGGGCTTCTCACTCAAGTGCTTGTGTGCACTTGATTTGATAAAGATATAGTAACAGGTTTCCCAGAGCCGAGGAGGAGGAGCATGTTGTGGGGTGAAGCTGAGTCAACTCAGCTTGCCTTTAAATCTGACAAGGTCAGTGACTCACAAAAAACATACAGAGAGAACTGTCATCCATATTTTCTTTGGTACAAATGCCAATATTCTGGTCAGTGGGCAAGGATCCCTATGAGTACATGAGCCCCACCACCCTGCAGTGTCTCCCAACATGCTAGTGCCCAGCTTTGAGGCCACAGCACCTCCCCAGGCCAGAATTAGGTCTTCTATAGCATCTGGGTTAGGGACCCTAACCCTGGGTCCCTGGGCATCCCATGAACTCTCGACAAGGGGCATTTGCCAAAGGACTCAGAAGTACAGCTCAGGCTCAGCTCACGGCCAGCAAGTGGCAGGGTGGGTCTCAGAGGTGGGTCTAACTTTGAAGCCAGCTTTTCTTCAGCCTGTCACACTTGAGTTCTCCTATGCCCTCAGTGTAATAACAAGGGTCCTTCTGGAAACTCAAGGAGAGAAAGTAGAAAAAGGCAAATGATGTTTCTCTATAAATTTGACAAGGCCCTAAATCCTAGAAAAAAGACTCTAAAGTTACTTTGAGCCATAGAAGGCATTAAGAAAACCATCTAACAATGAAAGTAGACTATTTATCCAGCTGTGTGATTCATGGAACCCTCAGGAATCCCATGCTCTTGGGGTTAGTGGGAAGATCCATTCAGGCCTTTCCATAGAGATGGAAGATGGAGGAGGGTGGTCTGCAGGGCCTGCAATGCAAAGACCTGCTGTATTCAGCTGGGCTCAGGCTTAGGCTCAGCCATGGCATCCCCAGGGAACCCAGCTCAGAACGTTTTGGAGCTGGTCACATGGAATGGAGGATGGGACTGAGCTAAGGATGACCACATGCTGGGGAGCAGGGATGTGCCCGGTTCCTGACAGCACAAAGACAACATCACTGAATATTAAAAACAGTGGTTTTATTGTTTTCAAAAGTCAGTATTCCTCCTACCCATAAAACCAGCTTGTGTCTACTCAGGGTTTTGTGACCCCCCAATGAAGCAAACTCCCAAAACACCAGCCAATAGTCCCTGTGATTTGGGGAGCCCCTGAAGCTGGGGAGATGACCAGACCCAGTGGGACCCTGTCTGTCACTTATCTTTGGTGTGGCCCACGTGAGTCCCACTCACCACCCCCTGCAAGCTCTGCCAGCAGAGATGTTTGGGTACAAAGATTTATCAAGTCCTGCTGGAGTTACTGGTCCCCAAGAGAGGGCTTTCTCCTTTATGATGGCAGCGCCACCTTGTGGCAGAATGGGTCAGTGGGGCGGACAAGGCAAAATACTAGTGACAGGCCCTGACCATGCACTTGAATGCATGTTGTGTGAGAAAGGAAAAAAAAGAATGGGATGGGCGGGGAGGGCAGTTAAGAAATGAGGAGATGGAAAGAGAGCACTACAGCCCCACTCCAGGAGTGCACTACCCCGGGCAAGGCAGCACAGCAGGTCACCCAGTGTCTTCAAGGCCACTGGCCATTGCTGGAGAGCCAGGGAAAGGTCTGCACCCACCAGCTGGTTTTGCTGCTCTACCTGGCTGGGCTCACAGTAGGGGCTTAATCAGTGCTTCCAGAACACATAGAAACAATAGCAAAGATTGACATGCCACACGGGACGTGTACATGTACATGTACACTTTTTCTTTATCCTCACCTGAGGACATTTTTCGATATTTTGTTCAGATAGAGTGGGAGGGAGAAAGAGAGAGAAACATCGACGTGAAAGGGACACATCGAGTGCTCACCACCCACACGACCCAACCAGGGCCGGGGATAAACTGCAACTGAGGTACGTGCCCTTAGCGGGAACTGAATCCAGGTCTCTCCAGACCGCAGGCCAACGATCTAACTGCTGAGCCAAACCGGCCACGGCCATGTACACTTTTAACACTTAACATAGAGTATGCTTCTTGGAAGGTGGTCTTCCTTGTGTGACCCCTCCCCGAAAGACACACACAGCCCTGACAAGGTGTTTCAGGAAAAACATTATCAATGTTCGGGAGCAGCGATGTCTAGTACAAATAATTATGTGAGGCATATATATATAATTTTAAATTTCCTAGTAGCCATATTAAAAAGTAAAAACAGGAAATTAAGCAATATATTTTAGTTAACCAAAAATATCCAATATATGCCTGGCCAGTGTGGCTCAGTGGCTGAGCGTCCACCCATGCACCAAGAAGTCACCAGTTCAATTCCTGGTCAGGGCACATGCCCAGGTTGTGGGCCAAATCCCCAGCTGGGGGGCATGTAGGAGGCAGCCAATCGATGTTCTCTCTCATCGATGTTTCTATCTCCCTCTCCCTCTCCCTTCTCTCTAAAAATCAATAAAGAAAAAAAAAATCCCAATATATTACCATGTCAACATGTACTCAATATAAGAATTTTGTGAGGTGTCACATTCCCCTTCTAGGTCAATTCTTTGGCATCTGGACTTGTGTTGTGTACTTACACTCGAAGTGCCTATCAAGAGCCTCACCCCAGGGCTGTGGTTTCCATGTTGAACAGTGCAGCTCTGCCTGAGGCTCACAGCTTCTGTACACCAAACTTCACCTTACATGTCCTGGAGGGACATCTTTTTAAAATGTATAGTGTCCCTAAATTTCAACAGACAACACTCAATTGAATTAAAAATTTCCTCAGAGCTCCACATTCTCCCCCTGACAAGAATTACCCCTCTGTGCTTTTAGGGTCTTGTTTCCTCCCTTTCTGCCAGAAGAGACAGAAATGAGTCAGCTTCCGGAGACGAGGCGGGGATGGGGTGGGGAGGGGGGTGCCAATGGGGTAAAAAAGGTAAAATATCTGTAACAAAAAAATAAATAAAAAATTTATAAAAAAAAGAAATGAGTCAGCTTGCTGGTGAAGTCCCCACAAGCCACCTCAATGATCAGGGGACAGGAATCCAGAGAGTCAAGCCCATGGCCTGGAGCAACGCTATACCCCGATTCTGTGGGAAAGCTAAGGCCAGTTAATCCCAACTGCCCCAAACCCCCATCATCATCCTAGGCCACCATGGTTCCCACAGCTGGATCGCTCTGACAACTCCTATTTTCTCCACCCCAGATTCTGCCATAATGAGGTGGCTGGAAGGTCTGTACGAACAGGTGCTGCGACATGTGGTCTCAGAGATCTGTCTTATCTGGTGGCCTCTGCCTCTCTGCTGCAGTATACTCCTGGCATGGCCCCTTGACTGCCCTGCTCCCCTCCAACTTCTCCCCATCAACAACCTTCCCAGGCTACCCTCACCCACACCACACATCTCTCCAGGGTCTCTGTGTCCTCATATCCTGGCTGCTAGCCAGCAGCCTAGTAGGACCCAAGGCCTGAGCACTCAAGGAGAAAACAACTCTGTGGGGCCCAGTGATCCACTCCTGTCCCTAACTCCCTCAGAGCTCCCTCTGATCTTCCCAACCCCTCTATGCTAGTGCTCCCAGTGCCATGCCCATGGCATACCTCTTGACTCTCCATCCTCCTCTCTCCCCACCACCTTTCAGCTCAGGCCCAACTCCCACCAATGGCCTGGATGCACACCATGTATCTCTGCCTCACCTTTCTTCTCTCAGGCCCCTTCCCCCCACCCCATCTCACAGGACTCTGCAGCTGACCCAGAGCCCCTCCCCCCGCCTGCTTAACCCTTGATGCTTCCATTTTTGTCTCTGTCACTTTTCTAGCCATCTCCTCACTGAACTGACAGCATGTCTACCCTGCAGCCCCACTGTGCCCTCAGCACTGAAAGGCGGCCTGGCACACAGTCACTGAGCGAGTGGTACCACACTACCAAGTGAGGAGGGCTCTGTTCCCAGATTCTCCCTTCTTCTGGAAACTCACTCATCAATTCCTCAGCTCAGCCTGTAGTCCACCCACCCCTACTCTGACCTGCCTCTCAGCCCTTCCCTACCCCTCCCTGGCCCAAGCTCAGGTGGCACCTGGAATGGTGAGGTGGGGGATGTGGGGAGGGGTGTGTAGGAGGGCAAAGGCAGAGCATCTATGGGATCTCAGGTCCTCACACACCCCTGGCACTGGGCCTTCAACCTCATCACACCTGGCAATGCCTGGAAGGTATCCCCAGCTCAGGACCCAAGCAGAAAAGGGGAATCATGATTGTATCTTCCAGGATGCCCATCCATGTATGTGACAGTATCTAAGACATCATGGTATTTCTCACACCTAAGGCTTTGCAGTTCACAGCATGCCACATGCCTCTTCCCTGCCCTTCGGTCTCTTGTCCTTCTCTGGATCAGGGCACCTTTACAGAGCACAAATCTCACCCAGCGCAGTTAATCTCCGGGGTGGGGGTAAGGGGTGTTGGTTCCCTTCTAGAAGTACTGCAGGTTGTCTCTTCATAAACCATGAAACTGTGTCCTCAGTCTCTAAGCTGTGTGGCTGACATAGCCAGCAGGATCCTGCCCTTGTAGCTAAAAGCTTTTCTGGCTTTCTTGGGCCAGTTTCCAAGGAAACAAGAGAGCACACCAACCCCCAGAGATAAACCAATAAATGCAACCTGCAAAAGGAGAGAACAGGCAGCAAGAGAACCGGAGGGAACCGGGGGGCCCCGGAGAGAGAGGCGAGTGCATGGCAGCTGGGCTGTGGTGCAGAACCGGAGAGGCCGCAGGCCGCGGGGCTGAGGAAAAGGAGGACCTTGCTGGGGGGCTACAGTTCTTGGCAGAGAGAAAGGAGTCCTCTGCAGGTCAGAGAGAGACACAAAGAGAGCAGATGGAGCACTGGTCAGTGAGGAGGCCCAGGGCCTCTCAGGAAAGAAGGTGCTAGTGCCTAGGACCCTGGCACTCCCACCCAAAGAGGCCAGCCTGCCCTCCACTCTAATTTTAGCTGCTTCTTAGGATGTCTGTAAGTGCCTGAGTATTCTGGCCAAGGAGCCAGCCCAGGAGGTTCTGCTGCATCTCAGAGGGTTTCTGACAGCCATCAGGAGCAGAAGTGGCCCACAGGGGGTTCTGCCATGACATCCTCATCACCAGCACCTCTATTCATAACCCTTGGGAATGAGGAGGCCCCTCAAGCCTCTGCACCCTGAGTGTCTAGGGTAGCCAGGACTGCCACACTGACTCCTGGCCCACAATCCAAGGAAAATTCAGCTGGCCAGACTCCTGGGCAGGATCTGGAGCTGGGATGGGTATGTACAGAGGAGGGGGTTGTAAGAAGGCCTCTGCCTGTCCACTCCCTGAGCACTTCCTGGAGACTGTATATACTATGAGAGCAGGAACCAAAGCAGTTTTGTCCCTGTAATTGTGGTATGAAGGCAGTGAGTGATGAAGTGAGAAGAGGCCTGGACAGCAAAAGTCCCAGATGAGGCCTAGCCTACTTGGGTCACTTTGGGATACCCATTCTGCCTACACCTGATCTAGATGTGCTCTCTCAAGGCTAGCATTGAGGCCAAAGCTGGGGACTGCGCCAAAGGGGAGAGCCCTTGGTTGGGTCCAGTGGGTCCTGGGAGAAGACCTACAGAAAGGCCTGGCCGCTGAGGGACTAGCCAGTGCTGTGCCGGGCACTGCCCACCTCCTGGCCCCTGCCACCCAGCTGCCTGGGCCACAGGGGCAGAGAGCACCCCATCTCTGACCTCGGGTCTCCAGCACGTTCGATGTGGGCAGGGATACAGCAGCAGGGTCCTGGGACTCGCTCCCCAGCCTCTGCCCAGCACACATGGACTTGAGCATCTGGAAGACTGCGAGGGGCGCGACGTTCAGCTTCAGCAGATCCACCAGGATCCTGGTGAGAACAGACGCAGTGCGCAGTGAGCCTCCTGGCCCTGGGCCCGTCTGTTGCAGCGAGAACAGGCCAGGCGTGATTAGCTGACTGGGGCTGGGTCCAGGAGAGCCACCTCCCTCAAGGCCCCGACTCTACTCTGGGCCCCTGGGGGGTACCGAAATGGACAGGGGCCCTTATATATAGATCAGTGGCCGGGCAGGGGCTCAGAGCAGGGCTATCTGGGGATAGGACAAGCGCGCAGCCCCCACCCGTGCCCTCTCACTTGAACACGTCGGGATCCATGGCGCCGCCCGCCGCCTGCGCCAGCTCATACAGCTCCATCTCTTCGGCGCTCAGCACCTTCTTCCGCCGCAGCGCGAGCTTCTGCAGGGCCGCCTCCAGCCCCGGGGGTGGCCCCGGCCCGGACCCGCCAACCGGCGCCGCCATCTGCGCGGCCTGCGGAAGGTGCGCGCCGCAGCCTCGCCTTGGCCCTCCCCATCCTGCCTCGCGGGGCGCACCCACAGTGCCCTCTGCTGGCCCCGCCGGCTGTTCCTCTCCCCGCAGCGTCACCGTTTGGCCTTAGCACATCCCTACCGCGGAAGGCATGGATCAGTTTGTCTCCCTCCGCCATTCGAGCCACATTTAATGTGCCGGGCAGTGTTAGGTGCGGGAGAGGCCGCGGAGGGCCAAACAGACCCGCTCCAGGACTTCTCTGCTAGGCTACTTTGGTCCTTCTTGCTTAATTAGCACCATCCAGCGCAGTGCCTGGCATATAGTAGGCACTCAGTAAATGCCTGTGGGACCAAGGGCAGTCAATGAATTGCTCCTCTCCGGGATGCCCCATTGAAGCCGCACCCCGAGGGCCCCAATTAACAGCCTCTCAGGCGCACGCGCGTTCCTTGCCGCGCACACAGCGCTTGAACTCAGGACTCCACTGCGCACGCTCACACAGAAGTGAAACCCATAGACACGGCCCGCCTTCGCTTTACGCACGCGCCTTTTGAAGTAGCAACCGGAAAAGGTAGCCGCATGTTTCCCGCCAGGTCGGGGGGCGTGGCCCCACGCGCAGATTGATGACGACGTTTCGGCGCCGGATAGCCGAATGGTAGCCACAGTCCCTGAGGTGAGGGATGCTATTGAGTCTACAGGTGAGTGGCGGGACCCGCGCGCAAGACGGTCCCGGCAGCCTCTCTGAACTTCCACCGAAGCTGTCTCCGTTCCTCCACGAGCCCAGTTCCTCCGCGAGACCCGGGCCGGGCCTCGGCGTCTCTGCCCCGGCAGGGCCGGCGGAGTAGCCAGAGGCCTGGGCTGCGCCTTCATGCCACCTTCCCACGCGGCTTACACATCCCGTCCCGGTGGGTGCTCAGTTAACGTTCGTTGAGTGAGTTGGAGGAAGGAGAGCTTTGAGTTAAAGTTGAGCCATGGACTCAATAAACCGTGTAGGAGGAAGAGCCGGGTGTGGGTCCCGGCCCGAGCCTTCTTCCCTGTGTGGCTCGAATTTTCCGAGCCTCAGTTTTTTTTATCTGTGGTATTGGGATCCGGATGCCTACTTCACAGGACAGTTGTGAGCACCAAATGGGAGCATGCTCTGCTTTTCAAAGCAGCTAGAGGGAGCCCGTGGCAGTAGCAGATTTGCGTAGCATGATTGGCGCGTTGACTGAGGGCTGTCGCTCTCAGCAGAAATCTCAAAACAAGGTCCAAAGCAGCCCCCGAATGAAGAAAGTGGTTGTTGAAGTGGCGGAATGAAGCAAACGCTTGGTGCACAGCACAGAAGGGTGTGATAGGGGGAGCCTGGCCAAGGCAGGGTCGGAGAACAGTGTGTGTAAGAGACACTGCCCCCCCTTGGAAAGACCCCTAGTCGGGCGCCTCTGGCCTGATTCCTTAGATCCCCGCCTATGCAGACTTCCTCTGAGCAAGGAGGTGCTTTCACCTCATCTCTAAAGCTCTGCCCTTTGCAAACAATTCAGGATTTTATGTCACTTCGATCATTTAGAATAGTTCTCTTGGCCACTTTATTGAGGTGTTTTGTTTCGTCTTCCTTAAAACTGAAACTGATAATTTAAGAGTTGAAAAAAAAACAACTTGGAGGTGTTTTATATAGTCAAGTTACAGATATGTGCATGCATCTCCTTGTCAACCCCTCAACTGCCTACACAGTTCCCTTGTACCCAACCTCTCCATCCACATTGAGCCGTCAGTTGCCACCTCAGAGCCCTTACTCAGGCTGTGGGAAGGGCCATGCCAGGAGATCCATCAGTAGCCCATCACTGGGACTAGGAATACTTCCTCTCTGCTCAGTCCAAGTCTGGATATTTTCATTTTCTAACCTGGGTGGGCAGAGAGGTAGGAATCTGGAGAGCTACTCCTGAATTTTTGATGACCTGGCCAAAGACTCCCTTGGCAAAGCTTGCTCATCTCCTCCCTTCATTTTCATAGAACACAGGTAATAGAGATGACGTATTCCCCTGTCTTTGTGAGAGATTTGTAGGGAGGTCTGTATATTTGAATGCTGGCTCTGCCATTTACCATCTGGGTGAGGGCAAGTGACTGGCCTTCTCTCTGTCTCCATTTCCTCATCAGTATTGACCTTGTAGGGTTCTGAGGATACTTTTTTTTTTTTTTTTTTGGTTAAACCTCACTCAGACATTTTTTCCAATGATTTTTAGAGAGAGTGGAGGGAGGGACAGAGAGAGAGAAAGAAAAAAAATATATATGGGAGAGACATCAATTGGTTGCCTCCTGCACACACCCAATCATGGTCGGATTGACCCTGCAACCCAGGTACATACTCTTCACCAGGAATCAAACCAGAGACCCTTCAGTGCATGGGCCAGTGCTCCAACCATTGAGCCACTGGCCAGGGTGAGGATGTATTTTCTTGCTTAATGAATTTAGCAACTTAAAGTTTCACCTATTTATCTACAAAAACTTTTTTTTCTTTATTGATTTTAGAGAGAGGGGAAGGGAGAGGGAGAGAAAGATAGAAACATTAATGAGAGAGAATATCAATCGGCTGCGTCCTGCATGCCCCCCATTGGGGATTTGGCCCACAACCTGGGCATGTGCCCTGACCAACAATCGAACTGGTGACTTCTTGGTGCATGGGTCGACGCTCAACCACTGAGTCACACAGGCCGGGCTACCTGTTTATTATTTCACAGCTTTATAAGCAGGCTTAGGGTTCTCAGCTTAGGGTCTCACAAGGCTGAAATCAAGATGTTGGCCAGCTTTGCTCTTAACTAGATGCTCTGGAGAACAGTCTGCTTCCAAACTTATTCAGGTTGCTGTCAGAATCTAGTTCTTTGGAATTGTAGAACTAAAGTCCTTGTTTCCTTGCTGGCTGTCAGCCAAGACTGCTTTGTATTTTATGGTTACGACTTGAGGCTAGTTGTATCTGCAAAATCCTTTTGCAGCAGTACCTAGATGAGTGTTTAATTGAATAACCAGGGATGGGCACTTGCAGGGCTATCTTTTTTCCCTATTTTTGTTTAGATAGAGTGGGAGGGACTGGGAGAGAGAGACAAATATCTACGTGAAAGGGGCACATCGAGTGGCTGCTTCCTGCATGACCCCAACCAGGACCGGGAATGAATTGCAACCGAGGTATGTGACCTTGACCGGAATCGAACCCGTGACTCATTGGTCTGTGGGCTGACACTCTAACCACTGAGCCAAACCGGCCAGGGCTGGAGGGCTATCTTTAGAATTCTGCCTACCACTGAGAATTAAATGAGAAATACATGGAAAACCCCTAGAACCAGGCCTGACGCATAGAAAATGCTATACAAGCATTACCACATTACCAAGGATTCACCACCACAAACTTGGCTCTGAAGCTGGTGACTATGGACTGCATTTTTATAATACATGGGACGTGGCAATGCAGTGTGTGTTGAGCTATACAAATGTTCTCCTGGGCATTGTGAAATGAAACAGTATTCTGTTGTTAGGCAGATGTTGAGATTTCATCTTTGCTTTTCCACAGTGGTTTCCTAAGACAGCCATTTTCAACTCTCCACAAGAGGCTACTATGGCATTTCCTCACCTGCAACAGCCCAGCTTCTTACTGGTAAATATCAATTGCCCATGTGAGCGTCAGTTCTAAGCTGAGGGACTTGATAGTTTTTTCCACTAACTTGAAGAATTCTGCAGTGGTTGTTTTTGGGGCTCTGTGATGGAAATAATAGTGGACTCGGGGATGAAATCCTTAGACTTGACTGCCTCTGCAAGACCTTGAGTTTACTCAACCACTGAGTCCTGGTTTTCTCATCACCAAGGCATATTGATTCAAATGCCATTTTCCTTGCTTCCCAGGGTATGGGGAGGATCAACTGCAAAGGATGTACATTCAAATTTTTATGTCTCGTAAATCCTTGCACAAAAGTGTAATAATCATAACTGTCATTAGTGAAAGATGGAGGGACACTGCTATACTGGGGGCAACCAGGACTGCACTTGGCTGAAGCTGTCTGTGGATTTTAACCTGCCTGTTTCTTAAGGTTATGAAGGTTCAATAGGTTCATTATTTACTAAAATAAAAGACATTTTGATTAAGGCTTAAATGGCAACAAATGACATACTCATTTTATTGGGTATTCTTACTGACATTCACAGTGGTGTAAACCATGGGTGCGCAGTCATGTAGTTCATGCATACATACTTGGTGAGCACTCTGTGGTCTATGAAGGGAGCCCTACTTCATAGGGGCCTCTCCCGAATGTGGGGTTGACCCCCTGCTAGTAGATCAGGCAGAAGTCATTTTTATTCTGATAGTGTACAATTCTTTGCGGTAACTGGGGATACCTAACAGGGTACTGGGAAGCAAGCCTGACAGTTACTAGTCTAGAGAGCATGGTACCTCAGCTTCTCTTCTAGTAGCATCACTGATATATGTATGAGGTACTGGGGAATCAGGCCAGTGGTGTGTATCTCACTCCTGCCTATCACTTGGATTTCTGTTTTGACTTGAGCGGAATATCATCAAAAGCTGCAAAATGAATATGTTCATTTTTGTTTGATTTCTTCTCCTTAGGCTAGCCTGAAAGCTGACTCTATAAATAAGCCCTTTGCACAACGATGCCAAGACTTGGTTAAAGTCATTGAGGATTTTCCAGCAAAGGTACAGCTCTGCAAGCATTTCTTTGGGGGATGTCTCATACTATCCTTGAGAAATGTTCTTACAGGCCATGGTTCCCATCTCTGAGCACTGCCCTGCACAGAGGCCTGACCAGGCATTGTAATTATCGCATTTGTGGACATATAGACAAGGGGTTTTCTACCATGGATGCTTCTGTCCAATATGAGGTGCTTGGCAATGTCCAGGGACATTTTTAGTTGTCACATGGGGGTGGTGCTACTGGCATCAAGTGGTAGAGGCCGGGATGCTGGTAAACTATCTCATAATGCACAGGATAGCTCCCACAACAAAGAAGTGTTTAGCCTAAAATGTCAGCAGTACCAAAGTTGAGAAACCCTGATATGAATACTGAAAATACATATTAACATGACACCCAGGATTGTTAAGTTGTAAATGAGGTAAGTTCAAGAAGCCGGCCTGGACAAGGAGTTATTACCAAATGGTAGTAAGTCTCAGTTTCAAGGGCTCACTTTGAGAAAGAACGTTACCACTTTTTTTTTATTTTTAATTTTTTTCCCTTTATTGATTTTAGAGAGAGAAGAAGTGAGAGGGAGAGCGAGATAGAAATATCAATGAGAAAGAACATCGATTGGCTGCCTCCTGCATGCCCCCCACTGGGGCCCTCCCCGGGGCCCTCCATGTCCACCACCTGGGCATGTGTCCTGACTGAGAATCAAATGGTAACCTCTTCTTGGTGCATGGGTCGACGCTCAACCACTGAGCCACACCGGCCAGACACTACCCTTTTTTTTTATCCTCACCTAAGGACATTTTTCTATTTTTGTTCAGATAGAGTGCTGAGGGAGAGAGAGAAACATTGAGGTGAAAGGGACACATCGAGTGGCCACCTCCCATATGACCCCAACTAGGGCCGGGGACGAATTGCAATCAAGATATGTGCCCTTGGCTGGAATCGAACCTGCAGCTCATTGGTCCATGGGCTGACGCTCTAACCACTGAGCAAAACCACCAGGTGACACCACCCTTATTTTTATTTTTATTTATTTATTTTGTTCAGATAGAGTGGGAGGGAGAGAAAGGAAGAGAGAGAGAGAGAGAAACATCGACGTGAAAGGGACACATCGAGTGGCTGCCACCTGCACGACCCAACCAGGGCCGGGGACAAACTGCAACCGAGGTACGCGTCCTTAGCAGGAACCGAACCCGGGTCTCTCTGGACCACAGGCCGACGCTCTAACCGCTGAGCCAAACTGGCCAAGGCGATACCACCTTTTTTAATAAAGGTCTCTTCAGATCGAAGTTTCTGACATTAAAAAAATTTATTTTATTTTATTGTTTTCCATCACCATTTATCCCCACCCCTCATGCCCTCTTCCACCTCCACCCCACCCCACCTTGCCTCCTCTGGCATTTTTTCAAAACCTTTTAAATAGCTTGACTTATTTGATACCCCCAAATATAAAGCAGTACTACTTGATATGCCACATAACTATAGTAAAAGAATCCAAAGCTGCTATGCCAGGATTCCTGTGGGTGCCAGGGTGGTCCTGTGGGCCTTTGAACCGAGGAGTGACATCCTCAGGGTTCAGGTCCAGCTAGGGAAGTGGGCGGCGCGTGGTGCAGGACAGGAGCTAGCACATAACCCAGCAGTGGGCACTGGTCCTCAGCACGCCTGCCCAAAGCCTCACCTGCACACTGTTTCAGGAGCTGCATGCCATCTTCCCGTGGCTGGTAGAGAGCATTTTCGGCAGCTTGGATGGTGTTCTCATCGGCTGGAACCTCCGCTGTTTACAGGGACGTGTGAGCCCTGTAGAGTACAGCATTGCAATGGAATTTCTAGACCCTGGGTAGGTAGATTTGTCACCTGAGGAGCTGGATGTTTCTCCAGTGATTCCAGTTTTAAATCACTGTATTTTTCTACGTTAAGAAACAAATCAAAGCAAGATGGTTTGCAGTTCATTTGCTCTGTTTTTGTTGGTTTAATTTCATGTTCAGTGGCCCAATGATGAAGTTGGTTTATAAACTTCAAGCTGAAGACTATAAGTTTGACTTTCCTGTCTCCTACCTGCCTGTAAGTAAGCTGTGGTGGTGAGAGCTGTGCTTGGGGCAGAGAGCCCCAAGCAGAGGCTGCAGTGGTAGTGGGTGGGCAGGGGCTCAGAGGTGCTATGAGAGTGGGCAGAATGCCATGATGTCTGTTTAGGGCCAAGGAGGCATCACAAATTGGAACTTTAACAGTTACTTTTTTTTTAATCCTCACCCGAGGACATTTTTTGATATTTTGTTCAGATAGAGTGGGAGGGAGAGAGAGAGAGAAACATACACGTGAAAGGGACACATTGAGTGGTTGCCACCCGCACAACCCAACCAGGGCTGGGGACAAACTGCAACCAAGATACGTGCCCTTAGCAGGAACCGAACCCGGGTCTCTCCAGACTGCAGGCCGACTCTCTAACCGCTGAGCCAAACCGGCCAGAGCTATTTTTATTTTTTTATTTATTTATTTTTTTTAATCCTCATCCGAGGACATTTTTCCATTTTTTGTACAGACAGAGTGGGAGGGAGAGAGAGGAAGAGAGAGAGAGGGAAACATCGATGTGAAAGGGACACATCGAGTGGCTGCCACCCGCACGACCAACCAGGGCCAGGGACAAACTGCAACCGAGGTACGTGCCCTTAGTGGGAACCGAACCCGGGTCTCTCCAGACCGCAGGTGGACGCTCTAACCGCTGAGCCAAACCGGCCAGGGCTATTTTTTTTTTTTTAAAGATCATTCCAAACTCTGTCAGTAGGAAAGGTACCATGCTGCCTAGTTTGTTCCTGGCCTTATGGCAGACAAGGCTATGTGACTGGTTACAAAGGGTGACTTGCTTGGTGGATCTGAGAAGCAGAGGAGATAGGAGTCATCAAGTGACTGGCAGGGCTTAGAAATGTGCACCACTACTGCCCATGCTGTTTGCAGGTCTTTATGAGGGTGACATGAGAGATTCTCAGTGAAGGCCTTTTTGCTCAAGTGCTATGTAGAGGATAGTACTGTTCCCACAGACAGAGTCCGTGTGCTGGCTGCCTCCTCAGCAGCTTTCCCAGAGGGCTGCGCCACATGTGAAGCACCCAGCCAGAACCTGCCTGTGAACCTCCTCCCTCTCTCTACAGGGCCCTGTGAAGGCATCCATCCAAGAGCACGTGCTCCCTGATAGCCCTCTGTACCACAATAAAGTCCAGTTTCCGCCCACCGGGGGCCTTGGCCTGAACCTGGCCCTTAGTATCCTTTGCTGGCTCCATGGGTAGGGAGGCTGGGGGTGGCCAGCACAGTGTGGGGGAAGGGAGAAGGGGGAGCTGGAGGCCCATCAACCCTGTCGTTTGCTCCCTGATGCTGCCTTCAGATCCGTTCGAGTATTACATGTTCTTTTTTGCTTTGAGCCTCATCACTCAAAAGGTATAGAAGGGTCCCCTCTGAACAGAGTTTGCTTTACTGGAGACCCCTGTGAAGGGTGGGGGCCATGGCCTTGGGCTCTTGTTTTCACACAGCAAGAGGAGCTTGGGATTTGCTTGGGAGCCAGCTGCCAGCCTTTCTTTCTCTTCCATTTCTCCTTTTCCCTTCCTGCCTCATTTCTCTGGGCCTTCCTTTCCTTCCTCCTCCAGCCTTTGTCCTTCAGGTCATCCTCACGTAGGGCAACAGACTGGTAGGCAGATTTGGCAGGTGATGTGGGGTGACCCGAGTGGCAGTCAGGGGACTTCCCACAGGAAATACTTGCTGGATGTTGGGGCAGGGTGGAGGGTTGTGCATGTCCTCATGAGGATAGGACTGAAGGTTTAGTCAGGCTGTCTGTGATGGGAGCTTTTCTCCTGTCACCACCCTCGGTGCACATGGGCTGGCCAAGGTTTTCGTGTGACTGCTGGGGTCAGCAGCCTGGGGTGGTGCCCAGAGCCACACACTAACTCGAGTTTTATTTTCCAGCCACTCCCCGGGGCCCTCCATGTCCGTACTTCAGACTGTGCCTATTTCATCCTGGTGGACAGGTACCTGTCATGGTTCCTGCCCACAGAAGGCAGTGTGCTCCCCCCACTCTCTTCCAGTCCTGGAGGACCCAGCCCTTCACCAGCTCCCAGGTAAGGCTCTCTGGCTACCCTGGCCCTTGGCCAGTGCTCTGAGGTGGCCCATGCCTGCCAGTAGCTATTAAGGCCTGGCCCTTCTACAAAGGAGTGGCTTGGTCATTGAGCATTGTTCATGGGACAGTGGTGTCACTCTGTCCAGGGCTCCCCGGTTTTTCTTATGCCTGAGATTCCCCAACCCCAGCTGCCATAGCACAGACTAGAGGGCAGGGGTGAGGAGGGTGTCTGTTTTGGTTTTCAGTGGCCATCCCTGAAGCGGTCAGGTCCTGTGGTTGCGTGGCTCTACTATAGGAATGGGCTGTGTTCTGCCTATAATAGCCCTCTAATGTACAGCATCCAAGCCATACACTGAGCAGGGTGAGCAGGGTGATGGGAGCCTCGAAACTGAGAGCTGATTGATGGTGCTGAGCTAATGGTGCTGGAGAAATAGGACTTGTAGGCAAGCAGTGGAAGGGTTGACCCGTGGACAGTTAAGACTACCATCATCACCCTGGTTGGTTTGGCTAAGTGGTTAGAGAGTCGGCCCCTGGACTGAAGGGTCTTGGGTTCGATTCCCAGTCAAGGGCACATACCTGGGTTACAGGTTTGATCCCTGGCCCTGGTCAGAGTCGTGCAGGAGGCAACCAATTGATGTGTCTCTCTCACATTGATGTTTCTCCCCCCCCCAACCCTCTCTCTCTAAAAAAAAATCAATGGAAAAAAGATATCCTCAAGTGAGGATTAACAAAGGTAAATAAGTTAATAATTAAAAACAAAAGACTACAGCCATGTATCACTTAATGACAGAGATACATTCTGAGAAATATGTCATTAGGTGATTTCATCATTGTGTGAACATCATAATGTACACTTACAAAGTGATACCTGCATAGGGCACTTACTCTGCTCGAGGCTTGACGGACTGGACATTGCTCTGAGTGAGTCAGTGAGTGATGAGTGAATATTAAGGCCTAGGACATTTCTGTACATTATTATAGGCTTTATAAATACTGCACACTTAGGCAATACTAAATTTGTATATTTTTAGTGGCATAATGAAAAAAAGAAAATAAAGGAGAAAATAAATAGCGTGGTACTACACTAAGACATCTCTACTCAATAGAAAATTTTCAGCTCCATTATAGTCTTTGTTTTAAGTCTTTGTTTTTTTTGTTTTGTTTTGTTTTGTTTAATTTCTCACCTGAGGATACTTTTTTTCTATTTATCATCGGATAGAGAAGGAGGGAGGGAGGGAGCGAGAGAGAAACATCAATGTGATAGAGCCACATTGACTGGTTGCTTCTCGCACTGCCTGAGCAGGGCCAGGGACAAAGCGCACCTGAGGTATGTGCCCTTGGCCAGAATCGAACCCACAACTCATTGGTCTGAGGGCTGACGCTCTAACCACTGAGCAAAACCAACCAGGGCTAAGGTGTTTATTTTTTTATTTTTTTATTTTTTTATCCTCATCCGAGGACATTTTCCCATTTTTTACTCAGATAGAGCGGGAAGGAGAGAGAGGAAGAGAGAGAAACATCGATGTGAAAGGGACACATCGAGTGGCCGCCACCCACACAACCCAACCAGGGCCAGGGACAAACTGCAGCCAAGGTACATGCCCTTAGCGGGAACCAAACCCGGGTCTCTCTGGACCGCAGGCCAACACTCTAACCGCTGAGCCAAACCGGCCAGGGCAAGGTGTTTATTTTTTAATTGATTTTTAGAGAGGGAGGGAGAGGGAGAGGGAGAGAGAGAAACATCGATGTGAGAGAAAAACATCAATCAGTTGCCTCCTGCATGCCCCTACCAGGGATTGAGCCTGCAACCCAGGCACATGCCCTGACTGGGAACTGAACTGACAGCCTTTCAGTGCATGGGACAATGGACAACCAACTGAGCCGCACTGGCCACGGCCATATCTTTGTGACACCACTGTGGTATATGTGCTCTATTGTTTTGTTTTTGTTTTTGAATGCTTCATGAATTTGCATGTCACCTTTACGCAGGGACCATGCTGATGTTCTCTGTATTGTTCCAATTTTAGTATATGTGCTACTGAAGTGGGCACTGTATTCCGCTGTTAACCAAAACATTATGTGATACATGACTGTAGTAGGAATCTGTGTGAGCTCTAGAACCAGGTCTTGGCCTGAGCCAGAGGTCCTGGTGTGAAGAGCCTTTCATGCCAGTCTGAGCAGGCTGGACTGTGCAGTAGTCTGTGCAGCCAATCTCAGCCCAAAGGTACTGGGGTTTAGTGGGTCCTAAACCTGAGGCCTTTTAGCTGACTCTCCCCAGGCAATCCTCTTGCCCTAACAGCTTCGCCTGTGCCCCTCTGACCCTCCTCCACCTCACTGACCCAACTTCTCCCCTAGGTTGCTCTTCCCTGCACATACTGGCACATGCCGTACCCCAAGCTCACATATATGCACAGATGCCCCTAAGGAAAGGGGATTGAAAGGGGAGACAGGGTCTTGGGGGTGGGCCACATTCACACCCTCTCAAAGGCAGACTGCAGCTGCCAAGTGGTTTTCTAGGCCTGATTTTGTTAGCTTATTTTCACGTATTTAAGACCTACGAAAAAGTTGCTATGCATAACATAAAGAACTACTATAGACCCTTTGCTCAGATTTCTGAATTGTTTTTATTTTATTCTATTTTATTTATTTATTTATTTATTTTTTTGGTACGTGCCCCTAGGGGGAACCGAGCCTGGGACTCTCTGGTCCGCAGGCCGATGCTCCAACCACTGAGCCAAACCGGCCAGGGCTCTGAATTGTTTTTATCTTCTACCTGTATGTTTTTTCTGGTCCCTTTAAGTAAGATATAGATATGATGCCCATTATTTCTTTATTTCAGAGTGTATTTTCTCATAGCGAGTACACTATCATAACTGCAGCACATTTATCCAAATCAGGGAGCATTGCTACAAGGCCATTCTGTAGTCCTCAGGCCCCACTTGGGTTTCACTAGCTACCCCACTAATGTCTGTTACCTGGCTAGGATTCAGTGCAGGGTCACTACATACAGTTATCTCTCTAGTCTCCTTCAGTCTGGAACTGAATCTCAATCTTTCCCTCAATCTTTCCTGACCTTGACACCTTTGAAGCATGTAGTCTAAGTGTGTGCTGAATGCCCTTGACCTGGGTTCTCAGGTATTTCCTTGTGATTAGGCCCAGGCTGGCATTGTTTGGTAGGAGCTCTGCAGTGGTGACCTATGGTTGTCCCTGCGCCCCATTACTGAAGACATTAGCTTGATCACTGGGCTAAGGGGATATTGGCCACGTTTTCCTGCTATAAAGTTAAATAAGTACTTTGTGCCTAAATAATTAAGAAGGGGAATCTGCTGGGAAGATATACTGAGATTATACAATCATCACCAGTGTCAGCATCCCTTGATGACCCTCAGCCAAATCAGTTATTAATAAGATGGTTGCCTTCTATGTTTATTAGGGGGCGCTCTTTTCTTCCTATTTATTTATTTGTATATATTAACATGGACTGGGGAGTTGTTGTATGATTCACTGTAATTGTTGCTGTGGTTATTGATTTTTTTTTTTTTAATCCTCACTCAATATTTTTCCATTGATTTTCAGATAGGGTGGAAGGGAGAGAGAGAGACATCAATATGACAGAGACACATCGATTGGTTGCCTCCCACACGACCCCAACCAGGGCCGGGGATCAAACTGCAACTGAGATCTATGCACTTTACCAGAATTGAACCCGCAACTCTTTGGTTCACAGGCTGGCGCTCTAAGTGCTAAGCCAGACCAGCCAAGGCTGTGATCATTTTTTTTTTCTTTATTGATTTTTAGAGAGAGAGGAAGGGAGAGGGAGAGAGAGATAGAAACATCAGTGAGAGAGAGAACATCGATTGGCCACCTCCTGCATGCCCGCAACTGGAGATTTGGCCCACAACTTGGGCATGTGCCCTGACCGGGAATCAAACCTCTTGGTACATGGGTCAACACTCAACCACTGAGCCACACTGGCCGGGCATTGACCATTGATTTTGATATCCAGGTTGATCCTGGTTATACCAGTGGGAGCCCCTAATGAAGGCCCGTTTCTGTGTTTCCCTCAGGACGCCAGCCATGCCTTTTGCTTCCTATGGCCTCCACCACATCAGTCTCCTGAAGCGACACATCTCTCATCAGACATCTGTGAATGCAGACCCTGCCTCCCATGAGATCTGGAGGTCAGAAACTTTACTCCAGGTGAGAACTGAGACAGTTCTTCTCTGCTTCCATTTCAAAATAAACTGCTTGTGTTTCTAGACTCGGTGGTCTGAAAGCTTCTTGTTCCTGCTTTCTTTTCCCTTTCCCTTTCCCCGTCTCTGCCCTCCCTCCCTCCTTCCCCTCTTTTTTCTTTTTTTTTTTTATCCTCACCTGAGGACATTTTTCCATTTTTTGTTCAGATAGAATGGGAGGGAGAGAGAGGAAGAGAGAGAGAGAGAGAGAGAGAGAGAGAGAGAGAGAGAATCATCGACATGAAAGGGGCACATTGAGGCACTGCCACCCACACGACCAATCAGGCTGGGGACAAATTGCAACCGAGGTACGAGGTACGTGCCCTTAGCGGGAACCGAACCCGGGTCTCTCTGGACGGCAGGCGGACACTCTAACCGCTGAGTCAAATCAACCAGGGCTGCCTCCCTTTTTTTCTACTGACACCCTGGGGCCGGGCCATTTTCCAGGCCTGGCATACTAAGGTACATGGCTCCAGCGCTCAGTATATGACCTGCATATAAAAATGTATTAAAAAATAAATAAACTAGCCCTGGTCAGTTTGACTCAACGATTAGAGTATTGGCCTGCGGTCCAGAGAGAGTCCTGGGTTCGGTTTCTGCTAAGGGCACGTACCTTGGTTGCGGTTTGTCCCCCGCCCTGGTTGGGGTCCTGTGGGTGGCAACCAGTCTATGTGTCTATCTCACATCGATATTTCTCTATGTCTGTCTTCCTCCCTCTCTATCTGAAAATAAAAGTAAAAAAAGTCCTCGAGTGAGGATAAAAACAATAAAGATCAGTGATGACAGTACTTGGACATACATTGACTTACCTCGGTTGCAGTTTGTCCCTGGTCCTGGTTGGTCGTGCGGGTGGCAGCCACTCTATGTTTCCCTTTCACGTGGATGTTTCTCTCTCTCTCTCTCTTTCTCTTCCTCTCTCCCTCCCACTCTATCTGAACAAAAAAATGGAAAAATGTCCTCAGGTGAGGATTAATAAATAAATAAATAAATAAATAAGCTGCCCTGGCCAGTTTGGCTTAGCATCAGGCTGTGGACCAGAGTCCTGGGTTCGGTTCCTGCTAAGGGCATGTACCTCGTTGCAGTTTGTCCCCTCCCTGGTTGGGGTCGTGTGGGTGGCAGCCACTCATATATCTCTCTCACATCAACGTTTCTCTCTCTTTCTCTCTCTCTCTTCCCCCCGTCTCTATCTGAAGATAAATGCAAAAAAATGTCCTCAGGTGAGGATAAAACAAAAAACAAATAAACTGCTTGCCACTTTCCACCCTATGGGTGAATTATCAGTATTTTCCTTCTGTGACATTTAGAAAACAGACAGGAATAAATTTGCCTACCTGTCTAACCTACGTGTCATTAGAAGTGTTTTTCATCCCAAGATTTCTTGTACACAGAGTTTTATTTTGTTTTTTCATGGTGATGTAATCACTGCCCAGTCTTGTAACTTATAGATCTGTGTAAGTGCTCTCACCACACCACCCCACCTCTCTGATCCATTCCCATGTGGTTGGCAGTGTTTCCTGTGATCACTGTCATATGGATGTTAAACCCTACCCCAGCTACATTTTTATGATGCTGAATAGAGAGGGCCTTTGAAGCCTTCACCTTGGTCAGCAGGCAGCTGCTGGCCCCTCTGTGTCAGGGATCCACATGAGAGGTGACAGCACCCCTTGTCTGCCCTTATGTGGCTCCAGCCTCTTCTGCAGGCTTGGTATAGCTCACTCCCACAGCGAAGGGCTGGCCACCTCCTGAGCCTTGCTGTCTCACCTTGGAGAGTGAGGTTTGGCTGGTTCTGACGCAGGATTCTAGGGCTGAGTTGGTAACCAAGGTAACCACAGACATTGCTTGTTGGCAATCTGGAATGTAGATAAGATGGGATTCTGTCCTTCCCACCTTGTACTTAACTCTTGGCATGTGGGTTGCTATATTTTTATTTATTTATTAAATAAATAAATAAATATTAAAAATAAATAAAAAAATTTTTTCTTTATTGATTTTAGAGAGATAGGAAGGGAGAGGGAGAGAGAGATAGAAATATCAATGAGAGAGAACATTGATTGTCCGCCTCCTGCTTGCCTCTCACTGGGGATTTGGCCCACAACCTGGGCATGTGCCCTGACCAGGAATTGAACTGGTGACCTCTTGGTACATGGGTCGATGCTCAACCACTGAGCCACACCAGCTGGGCTCATTTTGATTTTGATTTGTTGCTCTAATGATTAGTGATATAAACATCTTTTCATGTTCTATTGGCTATTTGTCTATCTTTGGGTAAATGTCTATTTAAGTCCTTTGCCCATTTTTGAATTGGGTTGTTTTTGTTGCTGCTGTTGGGTTTTAGGCATTCTCTGTATAATCTGGGTATTAATCTCTTATCAGATACATGAATTGCAAATATTTTCCTTCATTCTTTGGATTGTTTTTTACTCTGTCAATAATATCTTTTTTTTTTATCCTCACCCGAGGAAATTTTTTCATTTTTTGTTCAGATAGAGTGGGAGGGAGAGAGAGGAAGAGAGAGAGAGAGAGAGAGAGAGAAACATCGACGTGAAAGGGACACATCGAGTGACGACCAACCAGGGCCAGGGACAAACTGCAACCGAGGTACACGCCCTTAGTGGGAACCTAACCCAGGTGTCTCTGGACCACAGGCCGATACTCTAACCGCTGAACCAAACAGGCCAGGGCATTTATTATTTTTATTTTTTTAATCCTCACCTGAGGATATTTTTTCAATTGATTTTTAGATAGCATGGGAGGGAGGGGGGGAAAGAGAGAAACATTAATGTAAGAAGGAGACATCAATTGGCTGCTTCCTGCATGACCCCAGGTGGGATCACGGATCAAACCCACAACCCAGGTACACGCCCTTGACCAGAAATTGAACCCACGATCCTCTGTCTGCAGACCAATGACTAACTGCTGAGCCAAAGTGGCCAGGGCTGTCAGTAATATCTTTTTCATTTTTCTAAAATCCTTACTTAAGGATATTTTCTTACTGATTTTTTAGAGGGTGGAAGGGAGGGAGGGAGGGAGAGAGAGAGAGAGAGAGAGAAAGAGACATCAATTGGTTGCCTCCCACATGACCTGACTGGGGCCAGAGATTGAACCTGCAACCCAGGTATGTGCCCTTGACTGGAATCAAACCTACGAACCTTCAGTCTATGGGCCGACGCTCTAATCTCTGAGCTAGCTTGGCAGGGCTCAATAATATCTTTTGATGCACAAAAGTTTTTCATTTTCATGAAGTCCAATTTGTCTGTTTTCCTTTGTTGCCTGTGCTTTTGAAGTCATGTCTAAGAAGTCACTGCCACATTCAATGTCATGAAGTTTTCTCCCTGTGCTTTCTTCTAAGACTTACAGTTTTAGCTCTTACATTTAGGTTCTCTGATCCATTTTGAGTTATTTTTTGTTTATGGTCTATGATAAGGGTCCAGTGTCATTCATTTGCATGTCAATATTCTGTTTGCCCAGCAGCATTTGTTGAAAAGACTGTCCTTTCCCCCAACTGAATGATCTTTTTTTTTAATCCTCACCTGAGGACATTTTTCCATTTTTTTGTTCAGATAGAGTGGGAAGGAGAGAGAGGAAGAAAGAGAGAGAACCTGGCCAGTGTTGCTCAGTGGTAAGAGCGTCAGCCTACAGGCCTGGGTTCGGTTACCGCTAAGGGCACATACCTCCGTTGCAGTTTGTCCCCGGCCCTAGTTGGGTTGTGCGGGTGGCAGCCACTCGATGTGTCCCTTTCACGTCGATGTTTCTCTCTCTCTCTTCCTCCCTCTCCCTCCCACTCTGTCTGAACAAAAAATGGGAAAATGTCCTCGGGTGAGGGTAGAAAAAAAAAGAGAAACATCGACGTGAAAGGGACACATCGAGTGGCTGCCTCCCGCATGACCCAACCAAGGCCGGGGACAAACTGCAACTAAGGTATGTGCCCTTAGTGGGAACCGAACCCAGGTCTCTCTGGACCGCAGGCTGACGCTCTCACCACTGAGCCAAACTGGTCAGGGCCCAACTGAATGATCTTGATACTCTAAATTCATTTGATCAGCCGATGCTCTTTTGCAGGTTTTCGTTGAAATGTGGCTTCATCATTATTCCTTGGAGATGTATCAAAAAATGCAGTCCCCTCATGCCAAGGTATGTTGCCATAGTTTTCTTTCGATCTCCTGCTCTGGTCCTGGTGTGCCTGGTCAAGTTGCTACTTCTTGTCCTTAAAGTCAGTCAGTTTTCAAAGGCTTGATGGTGGGACACAGAAACCCACCATCAACCTCTCACTGAGATGTTGAACAGCAGGTGGATTTTGTTCTGTAATGGGCTTGCAGGCTGAGGGCTGGAGGCCTGTCCTCTCTGGTGTCTTCCCAAGCTACGTATAGAGCCCCTTTTCTGGCAGCAGGAACAGCTAATAAGGTGGTGGTGCTCATGCTCTGGGGGCAGGGGAGCTGCTGATGCTTCTGGGAATCTTGTCTGGGTCTGTCCCTTCTACCATCACAGCACCTGCTGCTTTCCTGCTGAGGGGGCACCCAGCAAACCCCAACCACCCTGATTCTTCATCTCCTGAGAATCGGCAAGCTTTGTAGTGGGTGGGGTCTGACACCTTCCTGCATGTGGCCTGGTCTGTTTCCTCCTCCTCCTCGAATGTCCCCCTTTTTTTGCTGGGCAGTTTACTTGTGTGCAAAGCTATGGAGGTGGCCAAGACCATGGTACCCTCCTGGGGCTGCTGTCCCCCGGGCCCATAGCCCACTGGAGTTATCAGGGTAGAACAGTTCTGTTCAGTTAGTAAGATGGACACTTAGATTCATGTTCCATCAGACTATAGTTCATGGCTTCTCTGTACCAGGTCGCTTCTTAGACTTTACTTCCATCACTGCCAGACAAAATTCTCATAACCTTCCTTGAGAATTAAGAATCTAGCCCTGGCCATTTTGGCTCTGTGGTTAGAGTTTTGACTCTTGGACTGAAGAGTTACGGGTTCAGTTCCTGGTCAAGGGCATGTACCTTTGTTGCAGGTTCAGTCCCCGGCACTGGGGCTCTGTGGGAGGCAACTAACTGATGTGTCTCTCTCACATCAATGTTTCTCTCTTTCTCCCTCCCTCTCTCCCTTCCTTCCGTGCTATCTAAAAATCAATGGAAAAATATCCTCAGGTGAGGATTTAAAAAATAATAATTAAGGATCTATGGTTTTTTAAAAAATGTAAAATGGCAGTCTAACATTATTAGTTCTGTGATTCTGGGGAGAAGTGGGGGGTTCTGCTCCTGCTGCAGAGTCTCAGCAACCACTTCTGTGGCCCCGGTGCTCTGCCACGTGGAGGGCTGGGGTGCAACCCCTCCCACTGCTGCTCTTTTAAAGTGCAGGGCACCCCAAATCTCCTTCCTTGGTGTCACACAGAAGGAGGAGGAGGAGGAGGAGAACAGGGGACTCCATTCTGGGCTGGGCCTGTCATGTCACAAAGCTCTTGCACTGCCCTTCCTGCTTCCAGAGTGGACTCTGCATGTTCCTGACTGGTGCACGGTGGTCGGGGCCAGGCTTCCTCGTGGGGTCCTGGGAGGCTCGCTTAGCTCCTATGCATGTGGCTTGGTCATGCAGAGGCTGAGACCACTTTGCTGCATTGCCTTCCTTGTCTGCTGGTTCTGTCTTCTGAGTCGGTGGAAGCATACCCGCTTTAATTTTTATCAGATACGCCAGGCAGGAAGGCCTTTCTGGGCTGTGTCACCTGTGAGGATTCTGAGTCCACACAGGGAAGGGGCAGTATCCTGCTTCTGTTGGGGCAGGAAGGCCTTCCCCTTCTCCCCACATTTGCTTCCTCTTGGCTAGACCACAGGATGAGTGAGAGCTTCTCAGAATGGCTGGCAATGAGGGGGCGGGGAGGAAATTGTTCCCACCAGGCACCCAGAGAGGTTCTGCCCTTTGCCTCCTATTAAGGCAGAAAAACAAAACCTGAAAAAACTAGGTATATGGGAAGCCGGGAAAGATAGCCGTGGAGGTCGGCTTCATTGGAGGCCCCTTATCGTTTATCCAGGCCCATGTGCACTGCACCGTATGGAAATCCTTGAGTCCTGGTTTTAGGAAAGCCGGAAGCATAGCTCCTGGCAATCTCCCGGTGCACCCGTGGCTGGACTGAGTGCAGAGTGCATGCTCACTTCCTGGAGGCCCGGCCTCCACTCCACCCAGCTTGCTGAGTGGGGCTTCTGGAAAGGCAGTAAGGATGGCCACAGCACTATAGGCTGGTATGGGGCTGCCCTGTGTCCCCACAGACCAGGACAGAAACCCAACAGGAAAACTATGTGCCCTGATTCCTCACTGAGAGCTGCAGCTGAGCCCAAGGTCTGGCCTGGAGGAAGACTGTGAATGGCCAACACCACCTTGCTGTGCTCCTTTTCACCCCTGCTCTGCGTATCTCTGGCTGTGTCTATCTCCTTAGAGTCTGGCACACTTGTTCTGACCTCTCCAGTGAAGCATGCTGCTCAGGTGGGAGGCATGGCCCTCACAGGGCAGGAAGTGTGCCTGGACTGGCTCTGGGCTGTGCTTGGCTGATGGAGGGCTGCTTTGACGCTGCAGGGAGGTAGGGCGGAAGTACTGGGGTGGGGCCAGGCAGCATTTGAGCTCAGCAGTCATCCCCAGTGTCCCAGGCTCAGGGTTCCAGCTGCCTCTGGGAGTGTGTGACCATGGCTAGATTCTTGCTATGGGGACTGATAAAAAGCTCTGTGTATCTGGAGGGTGGAGGGGGTCCCAGTGAGGTAGAGGCTTGTCTTCTCAGAATTAGAACCCGGGAGTGTTTGCACTTCCTTTAACCATTTCCAGAATGTTGAGTGTGGAGGGCATTTGGTGGGGCCTGGTGAGCTGAGCCTGTGCTCACCTCTGTGCTGCCTTTAGGAACCAGCTCCCATCAGGACAGAACACTGATGGGATCTTAGACATACAGAAATTGTGCTGGTAAATTTTCCTCAGGGCAACCCAAGGAAGTCCAGGGTATTACATATTTTTGTTTTCTTGGCAGAGAGGCCTTCATTTAAAACTGGCTCCTAAAGAGTTTCTTTCCTGAGCCTCTGGCCTTCAGGCCTTGGTTGTTGGTACCTGGGCTCCTAGTGGGCTACAACGTGCATGTACAGTGCCATCAGGGTTAGAGGAGAGCGGGACCCTCAGGAAGGAAAGTGAGTCAGGTTGACCTCAGGGAGCGGGAGAGGCCTTCAGGCCTCAGTGACATGGAGGGGGCCTCCCAGTGATAGGGAGGGTCTGTCCATCCCTCTGTCTGTCAGGTGCTGCTTGGGGGGGACTCGGTCTGGGTTGCTGTGAGGGTGATCTCTCTGGCCTGAGGTTGCTGGGCCTTGATTATTAGGATTGTCACTGATGAGCTTTTGTTTTTGTTTTTTTTCTCTTACTTCTGGGCTCTCACTTTTTCTTTCTTTACCCACTCTCTCCTTCCCCTCCCCTCCCTCCACCCTGTCTGGCTTCTGTGTTTTGTTGTCTCAGCTGGAGGTTCTGCACTACCGACTCAGTGTCTCCAGCGCCCTTCACAGCCCTGCCCAACCCAGCCTCCAGGCCCTCCACGCCTACCAAGTACTGGCTGCTCTTGATCTGTTCCGTTTCACCCCTGCCCTGTGGTGTAAGCCACAGAGCTCATGTCAGTGCAGTGGTAAAGCAAGGGCATGGCTGGGGGCCTGCTGTGGGTGATACAGAGAACCGTTTCATGTATAGCGAGGCCCTGGGCATTAGGGATGGCCTGGCCCTTCAGCCTGGCCGGGACTCCAGCTTCGCAGACTAGCCAGGATTTGGGATGTGCAGCCGTGTGACAGGAAGTGAGACACATGATTCCTTCTGGCTATGGGGTCATCAAATCTGCTTGGCCAAGCCTCAAGCCAGCTGAAATGTTACAAGTTCTTGTGTGTTGTGGGGGCTCCATTTTTGGCCCTGGTTCGAAGGAGCAAAATATTTCTTCTTTTGCAGTAGCCTGACTCATCCTGCAGTTCAAGCCTGGTACTCAGGAAGTGACTGAGGACATGAAGGCCTAGGGGCTTATAGTGGTATAGTGCTGTTGACCTGAACTTGTGTGTGAGGCAGAGGGGCAAAAAAACTTTGGGCTTGGTCCTCTAGCCTGGAGATGCTGTCAGTCCCTGGGCAACTCAGGGCCTGGCCTTCTATAAGCCCAGTCTCTTGTGGATTCCTCCAAAGGTGGACAAGGGTGAGCTGTGACCTCAAGGAGATTGTGGCTTGCTTAGGCAGAAGTGAACAGTGTGACAGATTTGAGGTCAGAAAAGTGGATTTCAGCCCTGTAGGGTGTTTCAGGGTTGACAGTCTCATAGTTCACTGATTTATGAGATAAGGCTGGATGTCTGGGCAAAAACAGCCGAATGCTGTATCTGGAACCATGCTCACAGCTAGGGGCCTGTCCATTTCACCCTCCGTGGAAGCACATGACATTGAATTTGAACACAAGGGGAAAAGTCTTCTTTTGCTGGAATGGGATGGTCAGCATGCAGCACATATTGGGGTTTCTGCTCAGAAGCAGTAGCTGCAGTAAGAGAATGTTCCAGAAGGTTCATTATGAGCCATCTGGGCACAGAAGTTGGTGTTGCTCCAGCCTCTGTTGGGGAGTGTCTCGCTCAGCTAAGAACACGGTTCCTGGAGAAATATCTGGCTGCATTCACTCCACAGCAGGAGGGCCGAGAGCCCTAGAATGGGCTTTGGAAAAGTATCCTTAAAAGGTGGAGGAGGCCACCTGCAGCTGAAGCCAGAGATTCCGGTGGGGCTTTGGCTAAGGGTATGGAGTTGGAAGTAAAGAAGATTGGCTTGACAAACCTAGAGGGAAGATAGCATTGAGGTTACAGTAATTGCTGGGGGTCTGTGGCAGGGAGCCTGGCTCTCCAGAAATACCAGGAAGGATGGGTCGAGATGGGACAGGGGATCCCCATTCTCCTGTCCATGGCCAGGTAAGGGTGAGGGGCTGGGAATGAGAAAGGGGAGGGCTCTCAGCAAGGAGTTATGGCCTGGCATTGATGCCCTTCTAATCTTTTATTATTATTAAAATAGCTCATGCTTTTTTCTTCAGAACAATGCAGATTCATTGTATAAAGACTTAAAAATACAGATAAACAAAGAAAGTTACTTTCTGCCCCATAGTACCATCCCTAGATGTACTGACCTGTGGGGTGTGTCACTTGGGCCTGTGGAGGCATTTTCCTGACAGAACTGCATGGACAGTGCTGTGGGCAGAGCCCAACAGGCCGGCTTCCTCAACCCATGAGAGGTCTGCATCCCAGGGTGTGCCAAGAGGCATGGTCAGCCCCAACCTCAGCTGTGGGTTGGGATGAGGCTGCAAAGAGTCTTTCCAAGTTTGTTGAGGGCCTAGAGGGCTGGGGGTGGATATGGGGAGAGGATCATGTCAGTCTGGACAGCCAGAGCATGGGGGATAGGCACAGGGGGTCCTGCCTTCCCATGTATCTTCTGCCACTCAGGGGGCTCCACCCTGAACAGCTGGCAAACAGGCTTTCTCTCAGGTCTGGCTCTCAAAGATCCTACAAGGACTGAATCAAAAGTTTGGCTCATAAGATTGAGGGTGTTCTTGTCTTTGGGGTTGTTGTGTTGACCATAGGTCCAATAGCATCAGAGGGAAGGCTATGTCCAGGAGGGGGAACAGGTGGAAGGGTGGGGTTTCAACAGGGAGAGGAACTGGGGAGTGGTTCACCTGGAAAGGGAAACCTGTAAGCCACGGTGACCTGTCTGCACACACCTGGGAGGCAGGAGAATACCCAGTCCAGATCCCAGGTAGGATGCCAGCCTATCTGCCCCCTGCTCTTCATCCTCTGTCTGGCCAGGAGGTGAGGACCCCTGATGTCCTAGATGGGCAGCAATGACAAGTCACCCATGAAGGGTTTGAAAGGGGGTTTGAAGCATGTGGGGAAGCACTTGGCCAACTTGTCTGTTTAGCAGCTGTCCCAGGGCACACTCTGCAGACTTCACTGCTCTTAGCTGGTCTCAGACCCTGCGGTGCCAGGGTCATCAGCAGGTGGCACCTGGGGTGGGACCCCAGGTGGTCGCACTTCCAGCCTGGCCCAGGCATCCTGTGGGGAAAGCAGAGAGATGGGCCCTGGTGGGACGTGGTCAGACATGGGGATTCTAGATCAGAAAGATCTGAATCCTGACACTATGCCCTCTCAACCTTAGGAGTCATTCACGCCCACCGAGGAGCACGTGCTGGTGGTGCGCCTGCTGATCAAGCATCTTCACGCCTTTTCCAATAGCCTGAAGCCCGAGCAGGTGTCTCCCTCCACCCACTCTCATGCCACCAGCCCCCTGGAGGAATTCAAACGGTGGGTATGGGGCTGTGTGCAGATGCTGTGCTTCGGCCTGTCTCCTTGTCCTCCACACACATGCTGCCTACAGTGCCCTTTCCCCAGGGTCATGTGGGCTGGGTGAGCAGAGGCATGTGGGGCCTCTGTAGGGGGGGCCAGGTGGGAAATCACCTTATCCCCTCCTCACTCTGTCTCCTCATCTCCACCCCAGCCCCAGAGGTGGATGGGGCATATAGCTGCTTCTCTGGTTGCCATGGCCTTTCCCTCCAGGCCTGCCTCTTCGGTGGAAAGAGCCAATATTCAGTTGGTTAGAGCATCGTCCTGATACATCAAGAGCCAGGCTGGCCAGGAAAAGGCCCTGTCTTGCATGCTCTTGTCCCTCCCAAGTGGCAGGCAAAAAAGCCAGTGGGCTAGGAGTGCCTTCGAAGCACAGTGGCTCAGTTGTCACAGGAGTTTGGACTCTATGCTGTCCCCTCCCCCTCCTCAGGCAGGGAAAGGGCTAGAGTGGTGAGCCAAGCTGACAGATATACAGGAGCCACACTGGACCAGCCATATGCATGCTGTATGTCTTGGGATGGTCCCTAACCTCTCTCAGCTATGGTTTCTTCCTCTGAAGAATAGGGCTAAAAACAAAAGTCTCAGCTCCAGGGGGTGCCCAGTGCTCACACTCCCCCATCCCACTCCCACCCCCCGAGAGCCTGTCCTTAAAATGAGAGCCACTGGGTTCATCTGTGAGGTGACCCAATTCCTCTCGTATAGAGCCGCCATCCCGAGGTTTGTCCAGCAGAAGCTCTACCTCTTCCTGCAGCACTGCTTTGGCCACTGGCCTCTGGACGCATCCTTCAGAGCTGTGAGTGTCGGTCCTGTCATGTCTCATTGAGCTTTACTTGGCCCCACTTCTGAAGGGATATTGAGAGGGTTATACTTCCTAGGGGTGCAGTGAATTTCTCCTGTGCTCTCTCAGGGGAGTGCAGGAAGAAGCCAGAACCTGGTGGCACCCATGCCTACCCCAGCAGGGTGAAGCCTTGCAGCTAGAAATGTACCCCTGCTCTGGTGAGCTGCCTCCTGCATGGCCCAAGGATCTGGCCCAAAGCCTGCCCCCCACAGCCCACTTGTGTGCACACATGTCTCACCAGGTCCTGGAGATGTGGTTAAGCTACCTGCAGCCCTGGAGATATGCGCCTGAGAAGCAGGCTCAGAGCAGTGATGGCCAGGCCCGCTGTGTGTCAGAGAGATGGTGAGCCTACACCCTGTCCTGCCCCAGGGGAGCTGCTTTGGGGGCCTAATGGGGCTCTTCTTTGAGGTCCTGCAGTGGGAGTGCAGGCTGCCCCTCCTGGACTCTGTTGTGTCTTGCCTAGGCCTTGGAATTGGTTTGCTGCAGAAATAGTAGGTCACCCTCTGTCCCCTTGTCATTATCATCTCACTCAGATATATGTTCATGCTCACCCCAAACCTTCTTAAACCTTCCTCATCAGCTGTTTCATAGCCACCGTACTTCCCCGACATCTCCCAGCTGGCCCCCACACTTCCTCGGCACCTCTGCCTGCCTTTCCCTGTGCACCCCTCTGGTGCCCTGGCCAACCTTTGCCATGGTGGCCTTGGTTCTCTCAGAAAGAGCCTCCTTGGGAAGGTCTCTTGTCCTTAGGGGGGCGGTTTCTGTCCTGCCTTCTCCATTGTTACCCCCAGACTCCCATCAGTCTCTATTCTTGACACCTCCATGAGGTCATGACTAGGGAGGTCTGGCCCCTGACTAGCTGCCTGGTCCCTAGGGCGCCCTTTGTACAGGAGAACTTGCTGATGTATACCAAGCTCTTCGTGGGCTTCCTGAGCCGTGCACTGCGCACTGACCTGGTCAGCCCCAAGAATGCACTTATGGTGTTCCGAGTGGCCAAAGTCTTTGCCCAGCCCAACCTGGCTGAGATGATCCAGAAAGGTAAGCCCTTAGCCAAAGGGACCCACAGACCCTGTATGTGCTTCACGGGCTTGTGGGGGACCTGGCAAAGGGTGGTGTGGGGAGTCCTGGTGCCCAGAGCAAGGTGAAGATCTGAGCCTGGCTGAACCCTGTCTTCCCTGTAGCGCAGCACATTGGGCTAGAGTCTGTGGCGTGCCTGGCAGGAGGGGGAGCAGATCTCTGAGCTGTCTCCCTGTGACTCATGGCTTTTTTCTTCAGAACAATGCAGATTCATTGCATTGTCAGTCCCTGCCCTGCTTTCGTCTTAGCCAGCCTTGTTAGGCATTAGTTTCTTGTGCTACCTTTTGGCAAGTATTGGCCTTCCTGTTGAGACCAGCAGGGGCTCTGGGAACATCAGGACCTGGGCCCCCTCGCTGCATGTTCACTGCTGTCCGGGAACCTCAGGAAACATTTAGAGAGCCTGCCAATGGCAACTGCATATTTTGTGTCCTTGGAAGCTTAAGCCAGACTTGTGACCTGCCTTCCAGGTGAGCAGCTGTTCCTAGAGCCTGAACTCGTCATCCCCCATCGCCAGCACCGCCTCTTCACACCTCCCACATTCACCGGCAGCTTCCTGTCGTCTTGGCCGCCAACTGTCACCGATACCTCCTTCAAGGTGAAGAGTCACGTATACAGCCTGGAAGGCCAAGACTGCAAGTATACCCCGATGTTTGGGCCAGAGGTCCGGACACTGGTGAGTGAGTCTGGGCAGCCACAGAGCCATTCCGAACCTCTACAACAGTGAGCCAGGAAGGGTGCATGCATTTGGGCGGAAAAAAGAGGAAGATTAGGTGTTGAGTAAATGCTATTACTCCCCCCTCACCTTTTTTTGTTCAGTGAAGGCTAATTCTTTTTCTTTCTAATAATAGGGATTTTCCACATTTAGAATATGCACTTTAGTTTTTTCTTTTGTTTTTTTATATTTTTTTAAGTCCTCACCCGAGGATATTTTTTTATTTATCTTCAGACAGAGAGAGAGGGAGAGAAAGGGAGAGAGGGAGAAAAAAACATTAATATGAGAGGGACACATTGACTGGTTGCCTCCCACACGACCCCACCCAGGGCCAAGGATGAACTGCAACCGAGGTACGTGCCCTTGGCTGGAATTGAACCTGTGACTCATTGGTCCACGGGCTGATGCTCTACTGCTGAGCCAAACCAGCCAGGGCTGCACCTTAGTTTTTAAAAATCTTTTCTAACGTGGAAGCCACCCCTCCTGACCCTTGGCAGGCTTCCCTAGGACCACCTACTGGTCTGTTGGTGACTGGGTGCCATGAGCTGACCCCACCAGAGTTGGCTGACCTCTTGTCTGCCCCACAGGTCTTGCGCCTGGCTCAGCTCATCACACAGGCCAAGCAGACAGCCAAGTCTATCTCTGACCAGTGCGGGGAGAGCACAGCTGGTCGCCCCTTTCTATCATGGCTAGGCTTCTGCCTCTCAGACACAAACAGCTCCTACTCAGCCAATGACCTGGATGACATGGGGCAGGACAGCGTCCGCAAGACAGACGAATACCTGGAGAAGGCCCTGGAGTACCTGTGCCAGATGTTCCGAGTATGAGTTGTGAGGCTGTCCCCTCCCCAGTTTCGGTCCCGTGGCTCTCACCCCACTGCTCAGCCCAGAACCAGCCACGGACCAGGACCCAGCGTGGGTTGTGCCTGCAGTGTCATGTCTGGGTCCCATCGTTGTCCCCAGTGGTTTGAAGACCAGTTTCCTCCCTTCACCTGGAGACTGAAAGCTGATAGTTTCTCTCTGACAGCTCAGTGAGGCCCAGCTCGCCCAGCTCACACTGGCCTTGGGAACAACTCAGGATGAGAATGGAAAGAAGCAGCTCCCGGACTGCATCGTGGGTGAGGACGGACTCATCCTCACACCCCTGGGCCGGTACCAGGTAAGGCCCACATCCCAGAGGAACCTGGCTCTCCAGGGCTTTGCAGGCAGCACAGCTGGTGGTCTCACTGGCCTGTCCCGATCCCCCATAAGCAGAGACAACTCTATTGAGTTGTTTGCAAACCTGTGTTTTCTGGACTGCTGTGGCCCAGGTTTCCCCTTGGGCTCACCTCTCCTGCTGCTTCTAGATCATCAATGGGCTGCGGAAGTTTGACATCGAGTACCAGGGGGACTCAGAGCTACAGCCCATCCGGAGCTATGAGATTGCCAGCCTGGTCCGCTTGCTCTTCCGGCTGTCCTCTGCCATCAACCACAGGGTGAGTGTGGGTGGGAGGGCACAACCTCACCTCAGTGTCCCTTCCATCCTAGAGCCTTGGGGCTGGTGGAAAGGGGGGCTCCTGCCTGCTGCCCACTCCCGTGTCTTTTTCTGTGCTCTAGTTTGCAGGCCAGATGGCAGCCCTGTGTTCCCGGGCTGACTTCCTCGGCAGCTTGTGTAGATACCACCTCATGGAGCCTGGGGTGTCTAACAGACACCTGCTGAGCCCTGTGGGGCAGGGACGTGCAGCCAGCCGTGCCCGGGGCCCCAGGCTCAGCCTGCGCTTCCTGGGCAGCTATCGAACACTGCTGTCGCTATTGCTGGCCTTCTTTGTGGCCTCTCTGTTCTGCGTCGGGCCCCTGCCGTGTGCCCTGCTCCTCGTGCTGGGCTACTTCCTCTATGCTGCAGCCATGACACTACTGACGGAGCAGGGCAAGCTGCACCAGCTCTGACCACAAGCCAGCCTCTCTTCCCACACAGCCCCTCCCGTGTACCTGGGAGGCCACCTCCAAACCTGAGCCTGGTCACCTTCGTGCTTCTAGGGGACATTTTCCTGTAGCCTCTGAACCATTCAGAAGAGAACCTGAAAGAGAAGGGTGTGCAGTCCAGACTCGGCCAGGAAGGAAGCAGTGTCCAGGGGCCCATGGCCTGCGCAGGATAGGGACAGTCCAGGGTCCAGCCACTGGGCCTTCCTCCTTTCTCAGTCAGAGGGGAGGCCCCGCAGTAAGGTGGCTTTTGAGCTTCTCTCTCTCAGCTGTTTCAGGGTGTAGCCATGGGAAGCCACGGAGTCAGTGCTTCCCCGGGAGGGCCCTTGGCCTCTGCCCGCACTGTCCTTGAGGTGGGCAGTGTAGCATGAGTCCCCTCCGCCTGGATGACACCAGGACAGCAGCTTAGTCTCTGGCTTTAGAGAACCACAGACCCTTAAAGAGATTTCTGAGAAAATTAAATGATGGTTCTCGGATTTCTAGTTTTAAAACTAAATTTTGCCACCACACTTGGCAAAGCAAGGGTCATTCTTCATGTTCTCCCAACAGTTGGAAGTCTGGGCCTACACTTCCACTTTTGAGGAAAAAATATTCTTCAGTTGCTTCCTTCGGCCCCCAGGTCAGCAAGCACCTCTCTCAGTGGTGGCCCAGGTCACCACCTTGTCCTGTAGGATCAGCTCTTGTCCCCTGCGGGCATAGGGGATATGACAGGACCACCAGGTCCATCCTACAGCTTCTGGTCTACAACCAAAGATGATCAAAAGCGTTTGTACCTTCAATAAAATCAAGTGTGCAAAGACAGTAACCTTTTATTTTTATTTTTTAAATATGGAATGCTTTACGAATTTGCGTGTCATTCTTGCGCAGGGCCATGCTAATCTTCTCGGTATTGTTCCAATTTTAGTATATGTGCTGCCGAAGCAAGCACAGACAGTAACCTTTTGATATCACTTAAGTATTCAAATTACGCAACAATTACATGTTCACTGTCAAAACCCCTCAGGGTCTCACACTCCTTTCATTGTACAGATGACACCAGAGAGAACTATTTGAACAGTGATTTAAACCAAACCATTTGTGGGGGTGGGGGTGGGGGCAGAGATGGTGGTTGTTATAGTTTTAAAACTAAAAGTTGCGCTTTGTATTTTGCTGTAAAATCAGTGCAGTGGCATTTGGAAGCCTATAACCAAAAGTCCAACCAGCCTTGTAACCGGTCTATGGATCTGAAGAAACCCATTCTTGACCCTGACTCTTGCAGTGCCTGGGCTCAACATGCTGGGTGTCCTGTCATCCCTCACTCGGGTCAGTGGATTCACTTAAGCTACAGTAGACAGGCAGATATAGACACAAGTGGCTGTGATGGGGATGGTGGGTCCCCAGAGGTTTGGGGGTACAGCTAGCACAGCCCCCAAGACAAGTCTAAGCTGTGAGACATTTGCCTTCTATTCCTCAGCAGGTCAGAGTCGACTAATACGAAAAACACTGGTGATCCTGGTGGGTTGCACTTTCTGTGGCTTCTGAAAGCTCAGAGGGTCATGTGCAGCTGGGAACTGAACTGTGTGCTCCACATGAGCATCTCACCAGGAGTGCTCTGGCCTGGCCTGAGAGTTAAATGTCCCAAGTTCAGCATTGACAGATGATTGGTTTTTATTACCAGACTCATTAAGAGATATGAACACACTACGAGATGAAGGCCTGGTGTCAAGAATGATAAGGTCAAGGAGGGGACTGGGTTCCAGTAGTCAGGGACCTGGGAGATGGTATTGGGGGGAGCAGAGACAGCACGCAGGAAGGACAGCCTGCAGCACCCTGTAGCTCGTGCCTGAGAAACCAGGAACGGAGTGGGTGGCTGGGGTGCCAGGTGTTTCCAGGTGAGGGCTATGGGGACCTGATTGGCACAGTGATCCCAAGTTAAAGTTTGCCAAGAGCTCACTCACAGTTGAGAAAGGACTAGGAGGGGAAAGCCAAGGCGGAAGTGCAGTTGGGGGGATGCTCTGGTGGGAGAAGCACAGGCCCACTTAGGTGGCTGGGCGTGGGCTGTGAAGAGGAGCAGATAGGAACACATCGAAGGAGGAAACAGCCATTGGGAGTGGGGGAAGCTGCTGGCCTGGACTCAGGACAGGGTGGTGCCAAAAGGCCAAATCCAGACCACATGACCCAGGCCTTCTGCCTGCACTGGGTGAGGACCACAGATCCATGGTTCTGAGGCTTCGCTCTGCCTCTAGCACCTCCAAGACTCACCAGCCAGTCAAGCTATATTGTTACTCAGAGCCCATGCTGGACCCACTGTCTTTTTTTTTTTTTATTCTTTTTTTCTTTATTGATTTGTAGAGAGAGGAAGAGAGAGATAGAAACATCATGAGAGAGAACATCGGATGGCCACCTTCTGCATGCCCCCCACTGGGGATCGGGCCCACAACCTGGGCATGTGCCCTGACCGGGAATACGATCCAGCAACCTCTTGGTGCCGGGGTTGACACTCAACCACTGAGCTACACTGGCCGGGTTAGACCCACTGTCTTTTGTGACCCGTTTAGCCAGTGGCATATAGTAATACCCCAAGCATCTTGTGTTCTACAGAACACCTTCTGGAAAGCTCTAAATTTGTGCATCTGACACTTCCATAAAGGTCTATGTTCTAGGCAACCTAGTAAGGAGGGGGAAGTGAGCTTTCTGCTTCAGTTGGTCCCCTGAAATCTGAATGAGCTGAAGAAAGATGCAGTCAAACCCATCAGGTAATCTACTGATTGCATTTATGTTCCCCTTGGCCACATCTGACCTTGATGTGAGAAACATCGATGTGAGAGAGACACACCGACTGGTTGCCACTCACACGACCCCAGCTGGGGCAGGGACAAACTGCAACCAACATACGTGCCCTTAGCAGGAACCTGACTGACCTGTTCCTTCAGGCCTATTTCACAATAGCCAAGTTAGGATTTCTCCCTATCACTATCCTGTTACTGATTATTGATCCAATTTCTCTAACAAATATATACCTACTTATTTTTAAAATATATATATATTTTATCCTCTCCCGAGGACATTTTTTCATTTTTTGTTCAGAGTGGGAGGGAGAGAGAGGAAGAGAGAGAGAGAAACATCGACGTGAGAGGGACACATCGAGTGGCCGCCACCCGCACGACCAACCAGGGCCAGGGACAAACTGCAACTGAGGTACGAGACCTTAGCGGGAACTGAACCCGGGTCTCTCTGGACCGCAGGCCGACGCTCTAACTGCTGAACCAAACCGGCCAGGGCTTAAATATATTTTTATTGATGTTTTTATTTTATTTATTTTAAATCCTCACCCAAGGATATATTTTCATTTTATCTTCAGGTAGAGTGGGGGAGAGAGACAGAGAAACATAGATGTGAAAGAGACACCCCAATTGGCTGCCTCCCACACAACCCCAACCAGGGCCAAGGACCAAACCACAACAGGTACGTGCCCTTGACCGAAGAACCAAACCCATGACTCTGCCCCATGGCCGATGCTCCAACCGCTGAGCCAAACCAGCCAGGGCTAGAGACTTTTTTTTTAAATCTTCACCAGAGGACATTTTTGCATTTATCTTCAGATAGAGCAGGAGGGAGAGAAGGGGGAAGAGAGAAAGAGAAACGTCGATGTGAGAGAGACACATCGACTGGTCGCCACTCACACGACCCCAACTGGGTGGGGACAAACTGCAACCAACATAGGCATGCGCCCTTAGCGGGAACCAAACCCTGGACTCTGTGGTCCGTAGGCTGATGCTCAACCGTTGAGCCAAAGCGGCCAGGGCGAGACTTCTTTTTAAATGACGGCTGAGAGGAGCAGTTCTTTCACTGTGTTTCCCTATTTTTACACAGAACCTCTGTTGATGTGGAGAGAGAGTGTGGAGAGAGAGGGAAGGCCAGATGCAACTAGAATTGGGTATTTCCCTCCCCCAGGTTGGTTAGGCTCTGGTGAAATCCCAGTCAATTTAACTCTTAGTTTTTTTGACGGAGGACCTCGTAAAGGAGAACAGAATGCTTTGAGCGTATTTCAAAATGGCTGCTTCCCTGTGAGAACCTGGTGGAGCTCCTGGAGGTTAAAGTCACAAAAGTATGATGGCTCCTTAAGACTGGACCCCTCCCTTGGATATTTTTACTCCCAAAGTTGTCCACATTGAGCCACACCAGCAATTTATCAATTACAGTTTAGATTTTCCCACTGGTTCCTGAGGAGGTCTCTGCTCCAATAGTTTGTGACTCCCTGTCTTGGCCTGTCTCTAATTTTAGGGGTAGCAGTTTTCCCTGTGACCTCAATTTTCTGATAAATCTAAGAGTTATTGATTTTCAGTTTGTTCAGCTTATTCCTTTTTGTGTTGATGGGAGTGACAACTTCCAAGTTTCTTACATGCCAGATCAGGAAACCAGGAGTCCAGATATAGTTTTAGTTTCTAGGATTTCCTTTCATTCCTATCTTTTTTTTTTTATCCTCACCCGAGGACATTTTTTCCATTTTTTGTTCAGATAGAGTGGGAGTGAGAGCAAAGAAGAGAGAGCGAGACAGAGACAGAGAGAGAGACACACACAGAGAGAGAGAAATATCGATGCGAAAGGGACACATCGTAGGGCTGCCACCCACATGACCCAACCAGGGCTGGGGACAACTGCAACCGAGGTACGTGCCCTTGACCGGAATCAAACTTTGGTCCACGGGCTGACGCTCGAACCACTGAGCCAAAGCAGACAGGGCATGTTTTTTTTTTGTTGTTGTTGTTGTTTTCTTTATTGATTTTAGAGAGGGAGGAAGTGAGAGGGAGAGAGAGAGAAACATCGACGAGAGAGAACATAGTTGACTGCCTCCTGCATGCTCCTCACTGGGGTTTTGGCCCACAACCTGGGCATGTGTCCTGACTGGGAATTGAACTGACGACCTCTTGGTGCATAGGTCAACACTCAGTCACTGAGCCACACTGGCCGGACAGAGCATGGTATTTTAAAAAATTGATTGATTAGAGAGAGAGAGAAACACCAATTTGTTGTTCAACTTATTTTATGCATTCTTTGGTTAATTCTTGTATGTGCCTTGATTGGGAATCGAACCCACAACCTTGGCATATTGAGATGATGCTCTAAGCAACTGAGCCACACCAGCCAGGGCATTGCTGGCATTTTTATTATATCTCAGACATTGTGGATAATGTGTCATAGACACTGTGGGTTCTGTTATAATCCTCTGAAGAATGTTAAGGTTGTTTTTTTTCCCCTCTGGGTCTTAGAGAGTTAAATTACTAGAGTCTAGGGAATTAAATTACTGGAAGATCACTATGACCTTATGGAGGCTGGGCTTTAATTTTTTTTCTGGACAGATATATTTTGATTTTGCCTGCAGTCTTAGTGCAAATTTCTTATTTCTAGAACACAGTCTTTATTCCCAAGGTAAGGCCCTTTTGGAGTTTAAATGGAACACTAAGGTGTTTAACAAGTCTCCCCTGGAGTTTACAGCAAATGAATATTCTCAGTACTATGCCCTTCCAGCTTTGTCTTTCCTTGGGATCCTGGAATCTTATCTACACATGTGCAGTTCAGGCCAGCCACCTACTGGAAGGGAGTTATAGCTTCCTGTTCTCACCCACTGCAAGCTACCCAGCATTACCTCAATGATCAACTGCAGTGTTCATCCCAAACTTTGCCTCCCGGAGCCAATGAAACGGTAGCTTCTTGAGATCCAGGTGAGTACAGAGAGTCCTCAGGAGAAAAGTAGCTCCTCTCTCTCTCTCTTTCTCTCTCTCTTCAAAGGAGTTTATTTCAGGATAAAGCATAACTTCTACCCAGACAATAATTCCAAAGGGTGAAAAAAGTGTTTTACCTCCTTTAACCCTTCAAATGGAGCATGGCAGTGCAAATGTCTCTAACACGTCTGCATAGTTCTCAGAAACGACAGCCTAGCTATTGAAAACGGTTCTCCAGCCCTGGCCGGTTTTGCTCAGTGGTTAACGTTGGCCAGCAAGGGTTCGATTTCCAGTCAAGGGCACATACCTGGGTTGCAGGTTCCATCCTAACCCCAGGCCGGTCAGGGTCCTGCAGGGGCAACCAATCAATGTCTCACTCTGACATGATGTCTCTCTCTGTCTTTCTCCCCCTCCCTCTTTCCCTCCCTTCCACTCTATCTAAAAAAAAAATCTGCCCTGGCCAGTTTGGCTCAGCAGTTAGAGCGTCGGCCTGCGGTCCGGAGAGAACCGGGTTCGGTTCCCGCTAAGGGCACGTACCTCCGTTGCAGTTTGTCCCCGGCCCTGGTTGGGTCCTGTGGGTGGCAACCACTCAATGTGTCCCTTTCACGTAGATGTTTCTCTCTCTCTCTCTCTCCCTTCCACTCTCTCCCTCCCACTCTATCTGAACAAAATATCAAAAAATGTCCTCGGGTGAGGACTAAAATAAATAAATAAATGAATGAATGAATGAATGAATAAATAAATAAATAAATAAATAAATAAATAAATAAATATCAGTGGAAAAATATCCTCGAGTGAGGATTAATAAACAAACAAAAAAAAACCTCTAAAAAAAAAAGAAAGAAAATTCTTCTCCATTTTAGCTGGTATGTGGTTTGTTAGAAAACCTCTGTAACAACACATTCAATTTCGGGGAGGATAAATTCCCACACTCTCCCTGGATTGATCTCATCTTCTGTGCTGCCCAAACCTTGAGCCACAATGGAAGTCCTGGATCTCTTTTCTGCAAGCTTCATCGCGGAATTCATTCTGTTTCCCGCAAGCCATCATCACCAACATCTGCGTGAGACAGATCGCCCAGGAAGAGTTAGCTAGGATGAGGGGCTTGCTAGGCCTCAGTATAGCTTCCTGGGGCTTCCTAGCCGCACTAGGCTGGGCGTAGCCACTGCGCACCACGCTCCCCGCAGCTCTTATTTTAAGAGCTTCCTCCCTCTAGTTTCCGCCTTCTCCAGTGCTTCTGACAGCTGTCTCATATATTTTGTCCACATTTCATAATGCGTGGGGGTTCTGTAGTTATTGGAAGTGGAAACACTACCTTTTTACTTTTGAACCTGTAATCGAATCATTTATTCAAAAAGTGGACCATTAAAACACAACAAGCGAACAAAATCAAATATTAAGGCCTACTCTAAAGAAGATTGTCTAACGGTTAATTAAGCCAGAAGATTCCTTTTAAGATACGTTCCACTCACCAAAGCAGAAGAGGCCCCAGGCCCCGCCTCCACCCGCACACCACGCTCCAGGCGCCCAGACCCCGCCCCATTCACGCCACGCCCCCAGGTCGCGCCCGTTTCCATGGCGACGCGGCACTAGGCCGAGTGGGTGAGCAGCGGCAGCAGCTGCAGCGACATGAGCGCGGCAGAGCTGACGGCCGGGCAGCGGCCCCCCAGCTCGGAGACCCTGGGCTCCTGGGGCACAACGCGCCTGCGCCCGCGCCTGCACGCGGTCCTCCAGCACAGCACGCAGCTCGGGCTCAGCGAAGCGCAGAAGCGGGTACAGGACCTGGAGAAGAGCCTGCAGTTCTTGCAGCAGCAGCACTCGGAGACACTGGTCAAGCTCCACGAGGAGATTGAGTACCTGAAGCGGGAGAACAAGGGTGAGTCAGGGTAGCCCGGTGGGAGCGGAGCGATCCCCGTGATGAGGCCGGAGAGACAAGAAGACCTGCCTCCCCTATATCCTCCCGCCAGCCTTCAGCACCAAAACAGGGCATGGACTCTAAAAGACGCAGGGTTTAGGGAGAACACAGAGCAGCAAACCCCACCTTGGGTCCTACCACGCAGGGTTAGGGTTCCCTGCCCCAGACCAAAACCCTCCATCACCAGTCATCGTGGGAGCTGCCCTCCTGGTCATCTGCCCATCTGGTGGGGGTGTATCTGGCTGCGTCATTTCCCACAGTCATCCGGCCAGACTTCTCTGTAGGCAGGGCCAGGCACACCACATTTAAAAAACTTTTTAGAGAAGTAAAACACACCCCAGAAGTACAAGTATATAGCTCGGTGAATTTTCACACTAAACACACCCAGACCAAGGGCAGACATGCTGGTCCCAGAAGGATCCTTGGGCCCCATCTAGCCCCTCCCCAGACACCTCCCGCCCTGTGCTCGTGTGTCTCCTCAGGGCAGACCTCCCTAACTTGACGCCCCTTGAGGCTCTTCTGTCCCATGGGCTTGGCTTGAAGCAGAACCTGAGGCCTCCACCACGGGACCCTGTCCCTTCCTCTGGTCTTCCACACACACACATCTGGGCCTGCCTGGGTTTCTCACTCCCCTTCTTTCTCCTGCTGCCTCTACCTAGAGTGCCAAGTACTCCAACACTGGGTATCCGTTGTCAGGATCTTCCCCTCCCCATGTCTTGAGTCTCACCCCAGTCCCTCCCTAAAACTGGGCCGGATGTGGCCAGCCCATGTCTTGGGTGTCACTTGGTTGTTGCACTGACTGTATGTGCTAATCCATGGCCAGGGGCTCTTGGAAAGCGGGGTCATCCTGACTCACCCCTCTACTCTTGGAACCAAGCACCCCACCTGGCAGAGGGTGCCCTATAGATGGCATGGATGAAGGGTGGGATTTCAGGTGAGACTGTCATGCAGGGGCTATGGCTTAGGGAACAGCCAGAGGCATTCCTGGCCCTACGGTGCCCAAGGCAAAGGTTTGGCCTTGGGGCAAGGTCTCTGAAGCCTCTTGGTGACTCAGCTGAGAGGGAGTGGGCAGGCAAGCCAAGCTTCTCTCAAAATGGCTGTGGCTTCAAAAGTGACCAAAACATGTGCTTGCTTTCAGATCTCCATTATAAGCTAATAATGAATCAAAAACCACAGAAAAAAGGTAAGACTGAGGCCCTCAGTGCCTGATGGGACATTACCACTGTCAAGAGCAGCTCTTCCAGACTGCCTGTGCCCACCAACCAGCTGCACTGGCCCACCCACTGTCCTAGTTGTGAAGGATCTTGGAGGATCTGAATAGACAGACACCGCTGCCCCCAGCCATGGTCTGGGTGACAAGCCCAGAGGTGCCATTCTTAGGGAGCCCAAGGCCTGAAGTTTGAACAGTAGGGTCAGTGGGCAGAGCAGCTGCAGGTGGGGGGCTGCCCAGGCCCTTCCCCTGCCCTCCTCAGCCTCATGACCTTGGTGAGCTCTTGCACTTGGCTTACTGCTCTGGCCCGCTCCAGGTTCCCCCTGAAATGCTGGGAGCTCAGTACAGCATAGCCCCGGCCTTGTGGCTCTGGTCCCTCACTCTCTGGACAGATGGCGGGGATCCTCCCTCCCATCTCAGAAGCAGCTGTGGAGGCTGGGAGAAGGAAGTGCAGACACAGACCTGCAGCCACTTGTCCAAGGCCCTTCCTCCTCTGTGGCCCATTCACCTTGCTTGTCCCCCAGCCCAGCCAGGGCTGTCTTGGGCTTGTACTCCCCACCAACCTTTGGGGCCAGATCTGACATGGAGGCAGTTTGAGTGGTGAGTGGTGCCAGCCTGGAATGCCCGTCTGCCGGGTGTCCAGGTCTCTTTCTTCCTGGGGGACAGAGAATGGGATGGTGGGGGCCCTTTTCCAGTGGGGCAGAGCAGCTCCAGTGAGCTGTCCTGGGCACACAGTGATGCCCGTTTAGCGGTCCCAGTCCTGCAGTGGTGGGGGGTAGGAGACCCTCATAGGACATCAGGAGGTTGTACTCCTTTAGGACCTGCCCACTTCTAAGGCTCCAAGCACCCTGTTTTGTGGATGACCCTTCCAGAAACCACTTTTCCCATGGTCTTGGCTCCCTCAGGCACTGGGTAGGTCTGAGCTGCCTCACAGAACGTTGGGGAGGGCTCTGCATGAATGCCCGGGTCCAGGGCCTGCAGGGCCAGAAGGCAGGCACAGGTGGGCCTGGCCTCTTGCTGTGCAGAAGCTGCTGGGGAAACTGGAACAAAGCATCATTGCTGCCATCTTAGGTTGACCTCTGCATGTTTGCCCACAGGTAGCACCTCCAATTCCAGCTTTCAGTTCACCAAGGTCATTTCTAATTCATTGGTGTCAGGTGAGTGTGCCAGCACCCTCAGTGCTTGGGGGACTGTTAGGCAGTCCTGGGGAGGGGGCAGTGCCTTTGCCAGGCCCGACTTGAGGGTTAAGGGGCAACTGAAGGGAGCCAAGGAGGGTGTGGTGAGCTGAAACCACCAGAAGGGGGCTGGGCTGGGACAGGACTGTGAGTCAGGCCAGAGGGAGGCTGGGTGGGCTTGGCTGCAAAAAGTGATGTCAACGAGGCACACCAAGTCCCACAGCAGGCTCACTCTGGAGCGGGGTGGTGGGCAATGAGACTCACTGACAGAGCCTCTCTGAGTTAGTATTCCAGAGGGGGTGGGGAGCTGGCTGCCTGCAGGAGTCCTGCTTGTAGTGTTCCCGCAAAGCAGGCTGGATGCAGGTACGATGGCCCTGCACGTGGAGCCCTGGGCTTGTGGTGTCCTTTGCAGCATAGGGAGTCAAGAGCCTCTTCTCCCTCCCCATTCTGCCTCCCCAAGAGGCCAGGCATCCTTATCAGGAGCGGCCCCTGCTCTTTCTAAATAGGACCCAGGCAGGCCAGGGACCTTGTCCTTGGAAAGTAAACCTGTGCAAGGCTGAGTCAAGACCTCTCATTCAGTTTCATTTGGTCCCAAATGGGGTGCTGCTTCAGAGTCAGGGAACAGCTTACAGGGCCACTCCATCCCCAGCATTTCCCGACTCCTGAACCCTGAGAGACTGGCCCTGTTTCAGGTGTCAGGGCATTTAGCAGGCACCGACCGCCCTTAGGCTTTGTCCTCAGACACTCACTGATGTTTTCCAGCAGCAGGATCTGTTACCATATCCCCTTGACCAGGAGAAAACTGAGGCAGGGGGCAGGGGCTCCTTGGGTGCACACAGCTGATCCCTGAGGACATGGGCACAAATGCTCGAGGCCTGCAGTAACTGGCCCTGTCTGGGTCTGACCTGTAGTCAACTATCAAGGCAAGGCCAGGCCTCAGCCCAGCTCCAAGAAGCAAGACTTGAAAGCTGACATTCCCCAGAAGATGGACGTGGAAGAGAAGCCCCTGGTTGCTGCCTTGCTTCACAGCAGCAAGCCGGACAAAGCCCCTGGGGCACAGAAGCTGGCCAAGTAAGGCATTTAGTGGGTTCACACCCTGGAACCAGCCATTGTTTTGCCTTCCAAATGGGCTAGCCTCCAGCATGAACCAAGTTGGAGGTCCTACAAGGTCCCTTTGCTGACCTGAGCCCACAGAAGGGACCAGCAGCAGTCCCTAAAACATTTTCTCAAAGAATCTGGTCTCCAGAAAGCTTGCTTTTGCCCTGGCCGGTTTGGCTCAGCGGTTAGAGCGTCAGCCTGCGGTCCGGAGAGACCCGGGTTCAGTTCCTGCTAAGGGCGCGTACCTCGGTTGCAGTTTGTCCCCAGCCTGGGTTGGGTCGTGCGGGTGGCAGCCCCTCGATGTGTCCCTTTCACGTCGATGTTTCTCTCTCTCTCTCTCTCTCTCTCTTCCTCCCACTCTATCTGAACAAAAAATGGAAAAATGTCCTCGGGCGAGGATTAAAAAAAAAAGCTTGCTTTTCACCAAGAATAGTGTCAGGTTTCCAGGCTACACACTGGGAAACTCGGCCATTGGAAGGCAGAGTCAGCAGGACACCTATTTTTGGAACTTCCCTGGAAAACTGCAGTGAGTCTGGACTTTATACCAGAAAAGGGACCCTGTTGTCCCCTGGGTAGCACAGCCAACAGGACAGGCTCCTGCTTCTCTGCAGTCCTTAGGTTCCCTCTCGACCAGCTCTACCAGGTTTGGGGTCAGGAGCGCTTGAACCACATACGACCCTCAGTGCACCTTATGAGGGAAGAAAGATGGGCCCAGATCACAGCTGGCTAGAGACTGCCCTGGTGCACCCTGGTCAGCATAAGGCAGCCAGGCCTCTGAGGAGGCTGTGTTGATGCCCCTCTTCCCTATGCTGGCCTCATGTTGGTGAGGGCACTGCCCTGAAGAGTTGGTGGGTGGTTAGAGCAATTCTGGTAGGCCACTTCTGGGCTGCTGCAATAACTATTTCAGAGATGAAGAAGTGGAGGTCTTCAGTCCAGAGACCACCTCGGTGGCGGGCAGCCAGCACAAGAGCAAGCAGGTGATGGGGGCGCCCTGCCTGATGAACCTGCCCCCCCACTTGCGCAAACCCACCTCTCTTCAGCAGTGTGAGGTGGTCATCCGCCAGTTGTGGAATGCCAACCTGCTGCAGGCCCAAGAGGTGAGGCTTGGGTGGTGGTGGGCAGCCCTGGTGGCTGCAGCCTCGGCCACTATGCCTCTTCTCCCTGCTTTTCAGCTGCAGCATCTCAAGTCTCTCCTGGAAGGGACCCAGAGGTCGTCCAAGGCTGCCCCCAAGGAGGCTGGCCCGAATTCTCCTAAGTAAGAGCCCTGCATGGCTCTTGCCCCAACACAGTGAGGCCTGTTTGTAGGGCTCACTGATTACTCTTCCTTCACCAGGGACCAAGATGCCATACAGCTCCCCAAGGTCCCCACCAAGGGTGTCTCTAAGAAATGGTGAGTCCAGCCCTGGCCGGTTTGGCTCAGCGGTTAGAGCATCGGCCTGCGGTCCTGTGAGACCCGGGTTCGGTTCCCGCTAAGGGCGCGTCGGGGTTGCAGTTTGTCCCCGACCCTGGTCAGTTGTGCGGGTGGCAGCCACTCGATGTGTCCCTTTCACATCGATGTTTCTCTCTCTGTTCCTCTCTCTCCCTCCCACTCTACCTGAACAAAAAATGGAAAAATGTCCTCGGGTGAGGATAAAAAAAAAAAAAAAGAAATGGTGAGTCCAGGGTCATGAGCTGGGTGGGGTTCCTGCAAGGAGAGAAGGGCAGGGCACAGCAAAAAGCAAGTTCTGGCTCTGAGCCTCGCCCAGTAGCCGCTCCAAGGCACATCTCCAATGCCTGCCCTCTGCCCCTGCCAGCCTGATCCTGAGCCCGGTGCCTGTGGCGGAGCGTGCCATCCTGCCTGCACTGAAGCAGACCCTGAAGAGTAACTTTGCAGTGCGGCAGAAAAGGCTGCAGGTGGTGCAGAGCCGGAGGCTGCACCGCTCTGTGCTCTGAGCAGTCCTCACAGTCGTCCGCAGCCAGGCCCAGACCACCGCTGGGGATACTAACCCTCTCCAGGTAGTTCAAAAGAATTCTACTTCCACATAAACACAACTCACAGCAGATAAAGTCCTTGGTCTCAGAACTGAGAAACTGTTTATTTTCTTGCTCAGTATTTTGCTATTCTGCATTTACACAAAAACATGTTAAAAGTATTACTCCATCTGTTGAAGATGAAATAAAGCTTGTTTCTCTAAGTCCTGAGTCTAGTCCCTCCCTGGGAGGCCCCTACCTCTGCAGCCTATAATGAGGGTTGGGGTGGGGGGAGCCTGGTGACCATCCTGGCAACAAGCTCAAGCACAGTGTGCACTCCCTTGTATGCAGGGGGCTTTTCTGGCCCAGGAAGGGGAACTCTGGGTCTCCTGCCTGATCAGACACTCCTCGGGGCAAGACACTGTCCTGCCTCAGCAACATCTATGTCCACACTGACTGCCGATGAGCCACTCTGCCCAGCCCACTGTTCTCTGTGGAGGGCCATGGTCAAGGCCAGAGGAGAATGGCCCACTGTAGGGTGCTGGGGCCCCACCCTGTAAAGTCCCCACCCCTTGAGGGCCTCACATCAACTCCTCAATTGCCAGAACTGTAGCTTCCTCTTGTATCTCATGGATGTGGTCAATTTAGTGCTGAACCTCACCCAAAAGGACAGTCTTCTTGGTCCCACTCGCCATTTTCTCAGTGCTAATCTCTGCCTCTTGCAGTTTTAGGGAACAGGGACTTTGTCAAAATCCTGGAGGTGAACCAGAATGAGGCATCAACAGTCAGATGAGGGTGAACTAAGGTCTGGATGTCCATGGCCATCACCAAGGTGATGAACAGTGGGCCCTGGACTCACAGCAGCAGGGTGGGGAGAGTGACAAGTTCATGACAAACACAGGAATAATAAATTTATTATAAGAACCACAGATGACATAGTAGTGCACATACAAAAGAGGGAACCTCTTGTCACCAGAGGGCTGGCTGATGCCCGATCAGGGAGCCCTCACTCTCTAGAGTGGCTCTGTGGACATCAGGTCCAGAGGATGGCACCCTGACCCAAGAGCAAGCCCAACTAGTGCACATGGTGCCAGGGACAGGATTCCCCCAGAATCCTCTGCTCCCCAGCATCCCCCCAGTGCTGAGCAGGCCCCCAGGGCTTGAAAGGAAAATGCCGTGAGGTATGAGGTCTGGCTGGTAGTGGGGACTTGCTACCACCCACAGGCCAGACTTCCCTCTGAGATGCAGCCGGTGCCCCTGGATCCGGAACCCTCCCTGTGGCATGCCCCATATGCCAACAGTGGCACACTATGAGCAGAGAATTCTGTGTTTTAAGGGTTTCCTGTGTCTTCCATGTTCCCCTACAGAAATGGGTGGAGTATTTTTTCTGGCACACACACAAGGGGCTGTAACAGGGCCCTGACTTCTCCCTGTAATGCTGTGGAAGGACACAGGCCCTGCAGATGCCAAAGGGACAGCAGCCCGAGGAGTGCAGGCCTGGGGGGCATGTCCGTTACCCCCACCACTGATGCAGCCAACTCTGTAGCCACCTGTCCCAGTCCTGTACAAGTGTGGGGAAATGTTTGGTAGGTCCCCAAGGCAGAGATAAAAGCAGGAAAGCTAACCTACGCCCAGACTCTCTAAGGGAGCCAACACCTAGAAAGGTCCGACACGAGGTGCGTATTCTCTGTGGCCCTGACAAGGCTGCCAGCAGACCCCGCGGTCCCTGGTGGGCTGGCAGCCTGAGATGCAGCAGTGGTGGTGGCTACGCAGCTGAGAGGCAGGCCTGGTGGATGCTCTGCGCCCAGGTGTTGAGCAGGGCTGTAACTGAGTGCTTGTCGGGGAGCTGCAGCAGCCTCGAGGTCATGCATCGGTGCACCGACTGCAGGAAGGGGTTGGCGTCTGCAACACAGCAGCAAGCCTTGAGCACTGTGCCCTGCCAGGACAGCCGGCACCGTGAAACTCTCAGTGGGGGTGGGAGGATGGGGTGGGGGGATGGAGGGGGCACTGCCCTTGAAGGCATAAAGCTGGCATCTAGGGTACTTCACCTAGCCGTGGCTACCTGGGATGCCATCTGCCATACACCGCTGATGGCTGGCAGGCTCTCCTGGGCCCGCGTGTCACTGGATGGACCTGTAGCCCAGGGCTTTCCCTCAGGGACAGCCTTAGGGTCCTAGTCCTGGTCCTCTGTGCACCAGGTCTGAGCCTCACAGGGGCTGTCCCTATCAATGAAGCCCTCTGGGCCTCTGCTTTAGAGCCATGTCATCCAGATCCCAGGAGCCCAAGCTCTTGCCTGTCTCCCCATGGCAGCCTTGCAGAGGCCACAGGGACCACTGGAACAGCTGGATCTGGGTCTGCTCACTCCTCACCTATTGAACACAGACGCCCTGGAATTGCAGGACAAAGGGATACAATGGGGGCAGAGATCATTCTTTCTCCAGTGGCTGCTAGGCAACCTGCTCTTGTCAGCAAAGGGGGAGCCAGAAGAAGAGGGAGGGGCCTCAGCTTGGGGGTGGGGCACATGGAGAAAACCCTGGTTGCCCAGAGCTGACCCTGCCTGTCCCGGGTCCCCAGGCAGCAGCTGAGAGGCCTCCTCACAGCCATCCTGTTGGCTCACCCACCGTACTGCCACTGCCGGTCGATCCACAACGGGCTCTGGGCGGGGTAATCGGCTGGCACACTGAGCTCCAGTGGTGGCACGCTTGGGAGATCCTTGTCATCTGCAACAAAAGAGGCTGTGACTGGGACCCGCCCACCCTGCCTCACAGTCCTGCTCTGATAAGGCTGCAAAGCCTGAAGGTCACTCTGACTCCCCGGTTTCCAAGTCTCCCTAGGGCCTCAGGCAAGCAGAGCCACACCTGGGCAGGAAGGTGGGGCCTCCCTGGCGCACAGGGGAGAGGTGAGAGTACTGGGCTCACGGTCCAGCCCTTGGTAGATGTCCTGGGACCAGGTGTGTGAGGATCAAGGAGGACAATGCAGGCAAGCTCCTGAGAGGGACAAAAGGACTGTGGGTCTGGGGCCGTGGTGTGAGCCAGGGGCTGTGGTAAGCCTGAGTGTCTGTGGGAGGCTGGCACATGTCAGGATGGAGTGGGCCAGTTCTGAGGCGAGTTCAGATCCTGGAAAGCGATCTGAAGCAGAGAAGGGATGTGATGAGAGGGAGGCTCTCGCTACTGGCGTTGAGGATGGAGGGGCTGGTGCCGAAGGGATGAGGCGAGGCCTGGAAGCTGTGTTCTCAGCATCCCCTTGGCCTGAGGCAATGGTGGAGCCTGGGGCCAGAGCGCTGGGCTCACTCCTCCCAGCCCCGCCCTCCCCGGTACTCACCTAGCTTGCATATCAGGTGGACAGTGCCGTTGTTACTGCAGTGAGAAGGGTCCAAGTTCACCAGAAACTTGGGGTCTAATCTGGCCACCTCCCCCTGGAGCACATTGGGGATGCTCTGCCGCTCATCCTCTTCAAACTTACGCTTCCGGGAGCACACCACTGGCGCCCTGGAGGAGGCGACCATGGTGACCACAGTGGGCTAGGCTGTGGCCTGTAGCCGGCCACCCACCACCCACCTGGAGGCTTAGCATACGTGATGGGTGGGCCGTGGATGGCCGTCATGGCTGGCACAAATGTGCGGTACAGGGAATGGTTGAAGACAGGCGAGCGGATGTTGGCCAGGACGGCATCCAGGAGCGGCTGGCACAGGTACTGCTGTTTGGTTGTAGGTACCGGGGGTGGTGGGGGCGTGGGCTGGTACAGGATGAGTGGGGTCAGCAGCTCACTCTTGGAAAGGTTGTCCCAGACCCCAAGGCCCTCATCCTTACTTACAGCTAGACTTCTGGAGGCTTCCCCACCACCTCCAACCTCTGCAGACCAAGATGGCTAATCCTGGACACATTTTCCCCAAGTCCCCTCCCATCAGGGCTTGGCCTAGTGCTTGGCAAGTGGAGGCAGGATGGTGGAGGCAGCACCCACAGGCCACAGCTGGAGGGCAATTTCTCCCACATCCCCACCACCCACAGCAGACCTACCTGGGAGAAGACTCCAGACAGGGTCCCCAGGCTGAGCGGTAAGCCCCCTCTGCCCACCCTGGACTGTGAAGGCTCTTCCCAGCATGTGGTTCCAAGTCACTGTCGGGTGAGCCCTGACATTCCCAGAGATGCCTGCGGCCCTCAGAACCTCACCAGACCACAGCGCCCCACTCACCACCGCCATGTCATTCTTGAGTTTCTCTAAAGCAATCTCACACTTCTGCAGAGTTTTCAGGGGGCACCTGTGAGGAGGGTACATGGCTGATCCTCTGTGCTGAAGGATGGGGGAGCTGGCAGTTCTTATGTGCTAACCTCAACCACACCCATCTGGCCTCCCCTGGACAGAGCCAGTCCAGGGGCCTTGGCTACTGGAACCCTCCATAGGAACCCAGAGTCTGAGGCATGGTGGTCCTACCCCCAGGAGCTGCTCAGTCCTGATTGACAGAACAAGGCATATGATGGGCCAAGGAGTGGGGCAGAGGCCCTATAATCCCAATGAGGGTCAACCCAAGAAAGTCTGGTGGGCCACTGAGCTCTAACAGGCCAGTCCTGTAGTGTCTAGCATTCTGTCTAGAAAAGCAAAACAGGGAAGACCTTTTTCAAAGAAGAGCACAGCCTGAGCCAAGGGAAGTAACCTGAAGGCCAATCCACATGTACAGTTCTGTGCCCCTGGCCAAGCTTTGGCGCCATGTTGAGAACCTGGCACCCCACTGAGTGTTTAAGGCACAGTCTAATTTCATTTTCACAGCTAATGAGCTGCAGCGGCCCCTTTTGTAGATGGGGTAACTGAGACAGTTGCTTGCCCAAGGCCACTGGCAAGTCAAGGGCAGAGCTGAAAGTCAGACTGAAGCCTGTCTCAGCCAGCAGGATTAGTAAGGGCCACTGCAAGCCCAGACCTGGCCAGTGGCCTGATGAGACAGCCACGATAGCCACAGGGCTTCAGCAGCTGCCGCAGGCAGCGGGCAAGGTGGGGTAGGGGATTGGAGCCCAGCAGACACAACTAAGTGGAGCCCTGGGACCCTTCTCTAAACTCTGCATTGTCCTAGTCTGGGCCAGCAAGCGGCCAGGGACCCTCCATGAGCTGTGGGAGAAGCACCACCTTTCCCCTGGGGGCCTGAGGACAAAGCTCACCGCTTGGAAGGGTCAGTCAGGATGTCCAGAAGGCTCTTCATCTTACTCAGGTCCTTTTTTCTGTCTGGAACAGAAGAGCGGGTGCTAAGACACAGTCTGGGAGGTCTGCAGGCCCTGCCCCAACCCCTGTGCAGGCCCCACCTTCACCTTCATTTTTGTCGATCTTGTTGATCATACGGCGTAGGGGCTCGATGTACTTGGACAGCTGCTTCAGCTTGTCCAGGTACTGCTGCTCCTCGGCCTGGCTGGAGCCTGCTGGGCTCATGACTGAGCTGGGGTTCACTGCAGGACAGAGCTTAATGAGTATGGCTCAGCCCATAAAGGCCCGACTCTGTAAACCCTCAAGGTGGGGTGTTCAGTCTCCGAGGGGTTCAAGTTTGCTCACTCCTTGCAAGCGAGGCCTCACGAGGGTGAGGGGGTGACCCTTAGCATCTCAACTCCCAGGGCGACATGTGGGTGACACAATGGGCTCTGGGCCTCAGGCTATGCCCACCCCAAGCCCAACTTACCAGGGGTGTTTAAAGGTCCCGGGGAGGGTACACTGAAGTTCTGCGGGGTGCGCGCCGTCACTGGACTCTGGGAGGGCTGTGGTGAGGGGCTGGGCAGGAAGCTACTAGGGGATGGGGCAGGGCCGGAGCTGCAGCAAAGTGAAAGGGAGTGTGTCTATGAGCTGTGGGCACTGGGCAGGGCCCTTCCTGTGAGCCAGGCAGGGAAGGGCACCCTGGCCAGGTCTACCTGACGTTGGAGTTGGGCTGCGAGCTGGGCTGGCCGGGCTGCGGGGACGGCTGTGGGGGAGGGGGCATCGACTGCGGGGTCTGCACCTGCTGGCCCGGCGACGGCGAGGACAGCATGGTGAGGCTGTTCTGGCTGACCTGGAAGGGAAGGGGGCTTAGCCTGCTCGCCTGCTATACACTCTCACTCCTACTGTCCCCTTGTTCCCACCAACTCAGGCTTGAGGACCCCTGCATGCACAGCGTTCTCTTACAATTCACCACATACCCTTGTCTTTCTTTGATGTCCTGCTTTTCAAATACAAATACAGGCACACACCCCACCTTGTGGGTACACACACATGCACACGGTAACCAAGGCTGGGTAGTCCTTGCTTAATGGCAGGAGACCCATGAAGAACTGGGCCTTCTACTCTGGGACAAGCATGCCTCACGGTGTGGGAGACTGTGGAGCGGGAGGCCAGAGAAGGTTTACGGCCTTGGATGTGAGCTCTCCTCTGTGAGCCCCGCTCTGCGATGGGTGAAACCATCTTCCGATGTACTTCCATGAGCTCCCTCAGCCCCCAACCACAGGGAGAAACTGTGTCTTGCATTTAATGAGAGCAAAATGGACCTTGTATCAGCCCTCACCAGCACGCCTCACCTGGGGTTCCTGGGTCTGGACCCGCAGGTCCCACTGAGAGGTGAGTGACACGGTGTCATTCTCAGAAGCTGTTTCGTTGTCTACAGAGCCAGGGCTCACCCTACTCCCTCCAGTCCTTATTGAGGAGGCACAACAGAGTCAACTGCACCACTGTCATCACCAGAGGAAATGTCCTATTTCCCTGTGAACTCCACAGGGAGAAACCATACTGCCCCAGGGGTCAAGGACCAGGATGTGTGAACCGATCACTTCCACAGAGAAGCTCAAGTTCTGGGTGGTGAGGACAGCTATGGGGAGATGCCTGCCTGCCAGCCCAGGGTAACCTGCCTCTCTTGGAATGAGCCCCACAGAGAGCTGCCTCGCCCAGTACTTGATGATAGTGGCATAAAGGCCTGGCCCCTCGACACACTGGCATCACCCCAAAAGCCCTGCCAGCCTCAGTACTCCCAAGAGTTGGCAGTGGCTAACTAGTCAACCTCCAGCACTCCAAGCAGCTCCTCAGAGCCTGCTTTCCATAGCCCACCATACTCCCGCCTCCTGAACCTTCCAGTTCTACGGACCCACTCCGGCCTCTCCCAGGGCACTCTGGACACCAATGCCATCTACAGCCACAACTTCACACCTCTCTCCCACACACTCCTCCACCACAGCATTGGGAGTTCCGGGTCAGGGTCACTCGGAGTGGGTGGCTGCATTTTGTCAGGGAGCAGGAAGGAATGACTGAAAGAGCCCAGGTCCCACCAGGAGAACAGGATTGCTGCCCTCCTCATTCGCCTACCCCACTGGCAGGGCAGGGGCAGGCACGGGGCCTGCTCTTTCTCCCATACTACTGCCTGAACCAAGCTCCGAGAGAGGAATGACCTTCCCCTCCTGTTCTTTGGCTTCCTACCCATCCCACCGAGTGTGCGGGATGGAGCTGCAGGGCAGAGGCCACATCATGACACTTCCAACATGGCTGGGTCAGAGGCACAAACCCAAGCCAGAAGTGGAGAGGCTGGAGTGAGGGAGCTTGAGGGGAGCAAATCGTTCCAGGTGTTTCATGCTGACATCAGCAGGGGCACCCACAGCGCCCGGGTGGCTTAGTTTGCTGAGCTGAAGCACAAGCAGCAGCTTTCCTCTGTGTAGGACTTGCCCTCACGGTGCCTGGGTGCATGGAGTCCTGGGGCCTCATGGCCCCCGCACTGGGAAATATGCTCTGGAACCTACTCAGGTGCCAACGAACTCCTAGGACTAGAAAGGTGAAACAGGTCACCTCAGAAAAGTCCATTCAGAGAACCATATATGGTGCCAAGAAGGGAAAGCAAAGGCCCTCGGGCCCCACACTAGGTCGAGCATGTCAGGCATGGGCACCCTCCCTGTAAGGCCCTGCTCCTCACCTACCTCCCAGCCCCAACCTTTCCCTGACTCCAACTCCCTGACCTACAGTCCCTGAAGCTGCCTCTTGCCCCACCCTCTTCCTGCCCACAGGCCAAACCCCTTCACCTGGCCTCTACCTGATGACCTGGGCCCACATGGGCCCCCTGTGCCCCAGAGTGCTTCAGCTTCTGCTTAAGAAGCTATCACTTCTAGGAGGTGTTCAGCCTTTGTCTGTAGCCTAAAGCTGGTGCTTCCCTGAAACGGAACGAGGCACCTGCTGGCATGAGGCCACTGAGCAGAAAGGCCGCTTCACAGTCCACTTCCCGCCGCAAGGTCTGAAACTCTCCAGAGTGGGGCAAAAGTAGGTTTACAGTTGTGAGCATACAAAAAACAGAGTTTATTCTTCTTTATTATTTATTATTGTGTTATTTTCTCTAAGAATAATTGTAAACCTACTTTTTTTTTTTATCCTCACCCGAGGACATGTTTCCATTTTTCATTCAGAGTGGGAGGGAGAAAGAGTGAGAGAGTGAGAGAGAGAGAGAGAGAGAGAGAGAGAGAGAAACATCAATGTGAAAGGGACACATCAAGTGGCCACCTCCCACACGACCCAACCAGGGCCGGGGATAAACTGCAACCGAGGTACGTGCCCTTAGTGGGAACCGAACCTGGGTCTCTCTGGACCGCAGGTCATTGCTCTAACCGCTGAGCCAAACCGGCCAGGGCTAGAAACCTACTTTTGTTCTACTCTGTATTTTAATAAATATTTTTTCCTTTATTGACTGTTTTCCTTTTAGAGAGAGAAGAAGGGAGAAGGAGAGAGAGATAGAAAAATCAATAAGAGAATAGATTAGCCACCTCCTGCATGCCCCTCACTGGAGATTTGGCTCACAACCTGGGCATGTGCTCTGACCAGGAACTGAACCAGCAACCTCCTGGTGCATGGGTCGACGCTCAACCACTGAGACACACTGGCTGGGCTCTACTCTGTATTTTAAGAGGCACTCAGACCATGGGGAAATAGGGCGCACTTTGCCCACACCCTCTGCTTTTGGGTTCCATGGAGCCACTGACATACACACAGCTCCCCAAAGCACAAGACAGAGGGTCTAAGACAGTGAAGAACAACACCCAGGCTGGGGGCGTGAGCTCAGTCGTTCTGCCTCTTCCCCAAGCCCGCCTCGTGTCCAGCCCTGGGTTCTGGCCCCTCTGGTCACCACTCTTATGGCTACTAAAGGAAATCCCTTGGTCTCCAACATCCAATCAAGATCTCTTTGCACCTGACAGCTCCTCTGGAAAAATGCACGATTTCTTGTTCCAGCAAACCTTTCTCCTCAGAGGCCTTCAGGATGCCTCTCCAGGAATCAGTGCTGGGAGGCCCAGGGCCCCCAGGACACCTGAATCCTAAGTCACCAATGGAAAGCAGCTACCCAGAGGCCTATGGGATGGGAAGCAGCCACCCAAAGGCCTATGTCAAGAAAAAATTGGCCTAGTGAGGCAGCTAACAAGACAGTGATCCCTGGTCTTCAGGTTCATGCCGGGTCCAACTGGCCTCTGAGACAAAGAAAGACAGCTGTGCTCCCTCTGTCCTGTGACAAGCCCATTAGCGAGCCGCTCTGCATCTCCCACCTTCCGGCACTTTCTGCCACAGGTGTGGTTGTGTCTATCATAGCTATTGGCAAAGCCACGGAATGCTGCACCTCCCAAGGAAGGGAGTTTGAGTGCCACCTTGTCACTTGCACATCACTCACAAGAAGTGAAAGCTCAGATAGAAGTGACCTACTCAAGGTCACATGGCTAGCAGGGACGTCCAGGCACCTCAGTGCCATCTGCTTCCTAGGGGAAGCAAGGACAAGTGGAAAAGGGAGCCTACAGGGAGCAGAATGGAAGGCAGGGTGGATGCATAGGGCAAGCTACCAGAGGCGGGAGGGCGGCAGGGCCGGAGGGCAGCGAGGCAGGTCTGGGGAGCCTCGTGCTGCAAAGAAACCTCAAGGGAGGCTGGCAGCTCCATGCACTCCAGCCCTCTTAAAACCACCTGCATCCACTGGATGGATCCTTGGAATCGTCCTGTGTTCCTGGTCTCCTGCATGTGATGTGTCCCCTAAGTCACTCTCCAGAGCAGAGCAAGTCCCATTGTGGAGCCACCTGCTTACATGCACCAAGGGAGTGTTGGGACAGGAACCCATATCACCCCTGGACTCCCATGGTTGGGAGGCACTGTGTCCTGCATGTGTCTGGCACAGACTTCTGCTTGGTTCTGGGCCGTTCACATCCCTGAAGCATCCGCACCACAACATGAAGATGCAGCCAGGGAACAGGGGTTCGAGGAGAGGCGGAGACGATGGAGCCCCGTCTCAAGGAGTGATGCAAGAACAGCCAACTTTCTATTCTGCCTGTTTTCTTAAACCCAAATTCTTGCCAAAGGTAAACAGAACCAGCCAGGCACTACAGATGCTGAACACATCCCACTTTGGGCTACGTGTAGGTGGCCGGGGGTAGATAGCAGTCACACAACATGCCATACAAATGTGCCAAGGTCTGGAGGTGCCAGTTGCTGAGAGCTTGGTTGGGACCCCTGTTGGGACAGCAGGGATGGCAACTTTTTTTAAAAAATTGATTTTAGAGAGAGAAGGTGGGGGGAGAAGGAGAGAGAGAAACATTGATGTGAGAGAGAAACATTGATCGGATGCCTCCCGTATGCACCCCAACTGGAAATTGAACCCAGAAATTGAACTCGAGATCCTCCGGTGCATGGGATGACACTCAACCAAGCCACACCAGGGCTTAATGATACAGTCTTGGAATAAGCTATCTTTTCTCAGAAGGGACTGGATTAGAAATACACTGGCACAAAAGCAGCTGCACATTGATTCTGGAACCAGCTCTGTGGCCAGCTGAATGCCCAAGGTCTGCCTGATCCTGTATGTGTATGTGTGGTGGAGAACAGTGGGTTTAAACCCTGGAAATGTCAGGGAAAGGCAGAGGCTACTATCTGCTAGGAATATAGATGCATCTCCCTTACAATAGAAAATGAATGTTAAAGTTTTGGCAAATCTGAGGTTTTTACAGCAAACACACTAAAATGAAAAGAAAGTCCATAAGATAAGGAAACCTCATCTCCACTCAGAATCTTATAGTAGTGCCTGGCCCATGGAATGCACATGACTGTTAAACAAACAAACCATAGAAGAATTCCAAGTTTCTTACCATAATAAAGAATCAGAAATGCATACCCCTGAAAATGTGTAATGTCTATAGAAGTCTTTATCTACCTAGAAAGAGAGGCGTGTATAGCAAATTCTATACACAGTGAACTCTAGAACAGCATGGCCTGACAACTTTTCGCTTCCATGAACTGACTTGATGATCTGTGCTGTCCAGTGTGATAGTCACTGACTTCCCCATGGGGCTACTGGGCACTTGATATGTACTTGAATTTCAACTGACTGTAACTTGAGGAATTAAATTTTTAGTTTTAGTTAATTTTAATTAATTTAAATGTAAATAGCCACATATGGCTAGTAGCTATATAGTATTAGATGGCACAGCCCTAGAAAGCAAAACTATTTGCTTAGCTTGTTTTATTTTACCACAAAAATGACAACAGCATAACTATCTAAAATGCTAACTTTCTATTTATTTTTTTGTTAAACCTCATCTGAGGATATTTTTCCATTGATTTGCAGATAGAGTAGAAGAGAGGGAGGAAGGGAAAGAAAAGGAGAGGGAGACAGACAGAGAGAGAGGAAGAAAGAAAAAGAGAAACATCGATGTGAAAGAGACACATTGATTGGCTGTCTCCTGCACAACCCCAACCAGGGCCAGGGATCGAACTTACAACCTAAGTGTATGTGCCCTTGACTGGGAATTGAACCCAAGACCCTCCAGTCTGCGGGCCTATGCTCTAACAACTGAGCAAAACTAGCCAGGGCTAAAACACTATTTATTTATTTTATTATTATTGAAAAAAATTTTTTTTCTTTATTGATTTTAGAGAGAGGAAGGGAGAGGGAGAGAGAGATAGAAACATTGATAACAGAGAACATCAACTGGCCGCTTCCTGCATGCCCCTCACTGAGGATCAGGGAATTGAACTGGAGACCTTTTGGTGCATGGGTTGATGCTCAACCACTGAGCCATACCAGCTGGGCTATTTTATAATTGTTTTTTTCTTTATTGATTTTTAGAGAGAGAGGAAGGCAGAGGAGGAGAGAGATAGAAACATCAATGAGTAAGAACACTGATTGGTCGCCTCCTGCATGCCGCCAACTGGGGATTTGGCCCACAACCTGGGCATATGCCCTGACTGGGAATTGAACTGGTGACCTCCCGGTGTATGGGTTGATGTTCAACCACTGAGCCACACCGGCTGGGCTATGTATTTTTAAATATTTTTTCTTTATTAATTTTAGAAAGAGGAAGAGAGACAGAAACATCGATGAGAGAGAACACTGATTGGCCACCTCCTGCATGCCTCCCACCAAGGATCAGGCCCACAACCTGGGTATTTGTCCTGACCAGAATTTGAATCAGTGGCCTCTTGGTGCATGGGTCGATGCTTAACCAGTGAGCCACACTGGCCAGGCTAAAACACTAACTTAAAAAAAATTTTTTTTCAAATTGATTTTTCTAGAGAGAGAGGAAGGGAGAGAGAGATAGAAACATCGATGTGAGAGAGAAACATCACTAGGCTGCCTCCTGCACAACCCCTACTGGGGATTGAGCCCACAAGCCAGCACATGCTCTGACCAAGAATCGAACCAGTGACCTCTTGGTGCATGGGATGATGCTCAACCACTGAGCCACACTGGCTGGGCTAAAAGGCTACCTTTTTTTTTTTTAATCCTCACCTGAGGACATGTTTTTTGCATTTATCTTCAGATAGAGCGGGAGGAGGAGGGAGGGGGGAGAGAGAGAGAAAGAGAGAGAAACATTGATGTGAGAGAGAGACATCAAGTGGTTGTCACCCATACAACCCCAACTGGGGCCAGGGACAAACTGCAACTGAGGTATGTGCCCTTAGTGGGAACTGAACCCAGGACTCTCCAGTCCACAGGCTGATGCTCTAACTGCTGAGCCAAACTGGCCAGGGCAGGCTAACATTTTTTTAAAAATTTTTCTTTATTGATTTTACAGAGAGAGGGAGAGAGAGATAGAGACATCAACGAGAGAGAACAATAATTGGCCACCTCTTGCACACCCCCCACCAGGGATCAGGCCCATAATCCAGGCATGTGCCCTGACTGGGAATCAAACCGGCGACCTCTTGGTGCATGGGTCGACACTCAACCACTGAGCCACACCAGCTGGGCTAAAAGGCTAACATTTTTAGAAGATAGTTTGCTCCCACTTTCTCCAGTAAATGAAAATATCAGAACTATCCAAAATATTAAAATAAAAATAAGCCCAGATATTTACTCACATCCCCTCAAGAAATAAGCTGGATTTGGCCTCATGTAAGCTTGGTTAGGCACTCTGAGAGCCACTGTGAAGGAAGTCACAGAGATTACAGTGTGCCTTACAAAGGCGCTCAGAGGACCCCAAGCTCCCAGGGGCCCTGGGCACCGCCCCGTAAATACCTGTGCTGAGGGCTGTCCGCCCAAAGGGATGGAGCTTGACTGGACGGCAGACACAGCGGTGGTGGGTGGGAACCGGGCTCTTACTTGCATCCCGCCTTGGGCCAAGGCTGCGGCAATCATCTTGAGGACAGAGGGACAACAGACAAGGTGATCGCAACAAAGAAACGCAGTGCAGGGGCAGGTGGAGAGGGGTGTGCAGCCTCTGTAACAAGGGTGAGGGGCCTTCAGGAGCTAGGGGCAGCCTGGCCTACATGTTCAAGCCCACAGTGTTGAGGCCCATCTAGACATCAGGGATCTAGAGGAGCTGCCAAGAATACCGCCTCCAAACCGTTCTATTCTGCTGGCTGCACTTCAACAAGCCTCTGATCTGCTGATGTGCCCACAAAGCCTTCAAGGCCAGACCTCACGGACCAGCGGTGGTATGTTTGGGAGACCAGGCTCCTGGGGCAGACTCTGAAAGAGTACAGTCCACTAAAGCTGGTTAGAAATTGGCTGTCATTAAAATGGAAGAAGAGCCCAGGCAAGCCGGCTCAGAGCACCTTTCCTTCCCAATAGTATGCCACCTATGAAAACACCTCCGAGGGCCTGAACTCAAACTGTCCTCCTCTCCTCCAGGTGTCTGAGTTTCTTCTGGGGAACTAGTTTATAACTAAAATCAGGGAGAGGTGGACAAGGGAAGCCTGGGACTCTGCCTGAAGCCTGGAGCTCATAAGGAGGTGCATCTCCCCCAGGGACATGGGTCAGGTATGTCCCTAAACGTACAAGATGACTCCAGACTCCAGAATTCCAACATGTACTGGGACCACTATCCTCAAACAACTTATATTGCTGAAAGCATTAGGACAGCATTGCCATGGGTCAAGGCCCGGCTTGCACTGATGGGAACCAGTGGTCTCCTGAGGCCTGGTCACTCTCACTCTAGGCTCTGAGTTGGGGATGGAGAACAGGCCTGCATATACTCACAACTGTTCAGATGAAACCAAACTATAACAATTCAGCCCCTCAGAAAGGAAGTGGGATGATCCATGGACAAACAAAACATCTGTCCCAGGAGGCTGTGAGCCAGTCCATAAGACTGAAGCAGCACTGACGGCCACTGAGTCAATGCGGCGAGGTGTGCCAGCACAGAGCTCTGAAGCAGGGCAAAGGCCCGAGGGGAGACCTCTGGCATCACAAGTGTGTTCCACACTCACATCCACGGGTCACATGCAGCAGGCACCACAAGCTGGGGGTGACACAAGCAGTAGCAGATTCCAAACTGAACCTTCTAATAGCTACGGGAATGGGGCAGCCCTCACATAGGGCTGGGAGCAGACTTTTATGCAGCCACTCCAACAAAATAACTACCTGGGGGTGGGGGACGAGGAAGCCATTCTGGTATCTGCCAAAACACGAGAACAGTCCTGGAAAGCCCACCATTCACCACTTAATTAGACACAAAGCAGGATGTCGGTGAGGGTGTGAGGATAGGAAGTCTGGAGGAAACACAGCTCCTCCTCAGAAGGCCTATTTCCCGAACCCAGGGTGGGGCCAAAAGCAACTGTCCTGGGTGTGGCTTCAGCCTGTGGTCACATGGGGTAATAGTAAACAGTGTCCATTTACAACCACCAATGCACTGCACTCGGAGGAGCCCATGTGAGCCAGTGGCTATTCAACAGTGCTCCTTTCAGAGGGAGAAAGACCTGGAAGTAAGTCAGGTGGTACAAGAGAGTTGCAATTTTTTTCCATGAAGAAACAAAAGTAATAAGGAATGAATACTTAAATCTAATTTGGTGCTGACTGGTTTTCTTGTAACTGAAAACTCCTGGGAGGAAAAGCTCCTTTTCTTTTAACCACAAATTCTAATGAAACCATAGCAGTAGTGTTTACTGGATCAGATGAGCCAGGCAGCGAACATCCAGCAACCCATTCTTCTGAGTGACTACGTTTCTCTACCTCCCAACACACATCCACCCAGAAAGAAATTAAAGCTCCATCCTGCAGGCTGCAGGCCTGGCTCCTCCGTGGTCACTAGGTAGGAGGGCCTGGAAGGAGGAGAGAGGGATCCATGCAGGGTGGCACATCAGGAAAGTATCTTTTTGTTGTTGTTGTTAATTCTGAGGATATTTTTCCATTGATTTTTAGATAAGAGTGAAAGGGAGGGAGGGAGGAAGAGAGAGCGAAACATTGATGTGTGAGAGAGAGAGACATCGATTAGTTGCCTCCTGCACAACCCCAACTAGGGCCAGGGATTGAACCTACAACCCAGGTATGTGCCCTTGACCGAGAATCAAACCTGTGAACCCCCCGCTTCAGTCCAAGGGCTGATGCTCTACTGCTGAGCCAAACTGGCCAGGGCCAAGGAAGTATCTTTGATGATAATTCTTTGTGATTTGAGAGTTATAGTTAAATTTCCATATACCACAAAAATAAAATGTTAAAAGATAAAACCATAGGGGCTGTTTGGAAATGGAAACAAGTTCTGTTCTGGTTTTATCTGCAGTCACAGATAACATTTAGGAAAGAAACAGAAGTTAGTGCAGCTACCCTGTGTACCCTACTAAATCCCACTGTAGTGATGATGTCAGCTTGCTCATTTACACAAGCAACGTCAGATACAAGAGCTGGGCATATGCGGAACAGAGCACACCAATTTTCCTAGTATACCAAAACCCCAAACTCAGTCCCTGGTTGAGGCCTGATCACTCACTGGGCCACAGCACCATGGAACATTCGACAAGGCACCTCTTTTCTGCTGTAAGGGGCAGACTTGACAGACAAGGCATGGAGGGCTGTCAGCTCAGGCCCAGTTTCAGCACTTTTTCACAGAATCAGCATTTGCCCCTTTGTGCAGCAGCTCACATATGAGAAGCTGCAACACAGGCCACTGTGTCCTGATGTCAAATACATGGGCACCACATATGAGTCCTAGCTTGCATCTCTGAACTCCTGATAGATAACTGGCTGATATGATTTGAGGGCACCAAAGTGACCCAAGTGACTCACTTCTGGGAAACATCAGAAACAATCCAAAACCCAGCCATGCATTAGGACATGCATCCCTGGTAATAGCAAAAAAATGGAAATAATCTCAGGATCCAAGACTAGGACATTATTTAAGGACAGCAGGATACATTCATAAGAGGAACACTATCTATACAATAATGTTGATAGACTTTAATTATATTTATCCTCACCCGAGGACATTTTTGCATTCATCTTCAGATACAGCGAGCAGGAGGGAGAGAGGGAGGAAGAGAAAGAGAAACATCAGTATGAGAGAGACACACTGAGTGGTTGCCACCCACACGACCCCAACCGGGGCCGGGGACAAACTAAAACTGAGGTACGTGCCCTTAGCGGGAACCGAACCCGGGAATCTCTGGTCTGCGGACAGACACTCTAACTGCTGAACTAAACCGGCCAGGGCAAGAGATTTTAATTATAAAACATTTTATTTCTATTGTAACATGACCAGGAAATAAGCCACGCACAAAACCCTATGTATATCCTGTCACCTCGACTATGTGAGAACTGAAAAAAAAAAAAAAAAGATGCCAAACTGCTTCTTCTACTCTGAAATAATTCTCTTATTTATAGTTCTCCTAACTAACCACACTCTATAGTCACCCCATATTATAAAAAGTTTTTGGGTCCTAGTATCTCTAGCCTTGTCTTGTCCAGGTTGCAAAGGAAGGCCGTGAATCCAGAGATTCCCCAGCAGGGCTTGTCCCATCCTGGGGACCCCACTGCTGCTAACAGAATGCAGGGATGCCAGCCAACTGGCCTCCATGAAAGTGCACTGCCGGCCATGAGCCCAGATATGAACCAGCAAACCAGAGGCAGAGGACTGCCCAAGTTCTGCATCTGGGCTGAGAGGCACAGCACACACGTGCACTGGCACGCCCGGGCTGCGAGAATGCTTCCTCTGCTGCCAGCACCTGGGAATCCCACTGCAGGCCACACAGCGCAAGGTGAGGCCTCTCACCTACTCTGCCCGACACTGGTCTGTAACACGGGAATGAGGTGGACATTACTCCTAAAAACAAAAACAAAAACCTGAAGGCACCTTCTTCATAAAACCGAACCCAGCCGTAAGTACTCAAGTGATGTTCCCCTTCATCCACCCCAGCTACCAGAAGAGGCCCAGTCCCCTCTTAGTTTTGCCTGCCAGCAGCCCTGTGTGCTCTACCTGGAAGGAAAGGTTACTTTAGAGGTGACTGAGCCCATGGCAGAGTCCACAGCCAAGCTCCTGAGCTGGCTGGACTAGGACCTTGAACAGAATCAAAGGTCAAAGTAACTGCTGGGAAAAGAAGCGCCGAACGTGGGCTCTTATGGGATACTGAGTGCACAGCTGTGCCTGATTTTGGAAGGAGGTGAGGCAGCAGCGAAGCTACAAGAGTACAATTCCTTGAGCTAGAAGCCTAGGAATAAACCTGCAGGATGGGCCCATACCATTGGAAGACATCAACTTTTCCATGGGGGCTTATTCCCAAACACCAAGTAATGGGATGAAAAGGGAAGTTCTGCTTCAGGATGGCCCAGCACAAGGCAAAAAATGCCTTGCATTTTCCTACTAGACTGGACCTGAGAACCAGAAGTTTCCATTAAGAACAGTCCAGGGACAGAGGAGGAAGGTTCATATAGTGGAAAGGGCAGTGGCTTTTGTAGGCTGGGAGGGCCATAGTTCTGACCATGCACCACCTCCTTCTCTGCATAAGACACCAAGAAGAGAGAGTCCTAGAAAGCTTGAGGACAAGTACAGAACACACAGTAGTAACAGCAGAGATGGACTCCAACCTTGTCACATAGGAGAGCCAGGCCCCTCCCCAGCTACAGATGTGAAGTCCATGGTGTGTTTTGCACAAGACCATGTCTGGCAAGCTGGTGACATAGGGAACTCTGGGCCCAAGTCCTTTGGTACAGTGACCCCGAAGGCTGCTAGGTTGGCTCAGCTGCATCCAAACATCTCAGGCTCCTCTGTTGGCTAGCTTCTCCTCAGGCAGCTTCCCACGACTCCAGTATTATAGCTGGGACCAGGAAGGACTGTTTCTTAGTCTTCCTACAATGAAATGTCATCTGATACTAGAGGAACACACCAAATCCCAGAAGTGCTCGACATGTGGCCCCGTGCACCAGACAGGGAGACTGGCGCACTTGTGGATAACAAGTGGGACAGGAGTACAGTGTCACAGCGGGTGGCTGTAGTTGCAGCACATCAACTAGCACGTCTCCTCCATCTAAAGCCAACACTCTCTTCTGAGCCAGGACTATCAACGCTCCTACCACTGGGTGGAACTAGGAAAAACTGAGGCCCCAAACTGGATGTCTCTCCATCTCAGCATGAGCACGAGGGCGAGGGAGGGTGTCTATGGAGAAGTCACAGGGCCAAGCTCCAACCCCCAGGTACCAACGAGGATTTGGCATCTACTAGGAAAGGAGGGGCAAGGCCTCCTCCATCCCATCGACATCCAATACACAGAGGATGGATGTGGTGGTCCTTGGCCACACTGCCCAGCACAGGCAGTGAGCTCCAGAAGTGAGCCAGACAGAAGATCACAGCACAAGCCTGCACTATCAGCTGGAGTCAAACGCCGCCATTCTCACGCTCTTCCTACTTTCTAGAGAGCTACTGTCCAGCCCCTGCCAGCCCCATATTCAGAGCTGAGGCAAGCATAAAACGGCAACACTGCCCTCTCTAATCAGTGATCTTAGAAGAAGGAAAGAGGTAAGATAAAGGACATCAGAAGAGAGGTGGAAATGACACATGCACTATGCATCTGGGGTGCCCAGATAGGATTAAGCAGAGCTGGCTACCCCATGACCCCAGGGACCAGCTCCAGGAAAGCCGTCAGCTCGCAAATTGCCAGGGGAAGAGGAGACCCATGCTTTACCAACTTGGCCCCTGATCCAATCAGGACCCTTAGCACAGAGCACCAGAAATCCAGCTCCACTCACAAGTGGACATGCACCTGCTAGCAACTACAGAAGCCCTTGGCTCTGATGGCCCTCACCTGGACTCCAGAACCCACTATCTGGGGGGCCTGAGCTGTCGGCGCTGGCTGCTGCTGCACCTGGGTCTGCACCTGGGGCTGCTGCACCACCATCGGAGCTCGGACCTGAGGGAGGAAGGGAGAATTCGATTTGGAGCCACAGAGAGCAGAGCACCCACTACTTCTGGGGGAGCTTTGAATCTCGAAGCTTTTTGTGAGAGGGAGGATGGGATCATTATGTCTTTGCCGGTTATGTCACTTTAACTCACTGGCTCTGAGCTGGCACAGTGGAGTCTCACTTCCTCTAACTCTGGTGAGAAGTCCAGCCTTCCCACTGAATGTCACCACTAGCTACCACTGCAAGCAAAGCAATGGCTCTAAATACACAGCCCAGCCTGCTCAACCTCTGGCCCAAGCACACTGACAGTCTTACAAGAGTCCACTCGGAGCCCTGACATCTCAAAGAAAACCAGGGTGGCTGGCCAGCCAGAAACAGGATGGCTCCCAGGTGACATGTGAACTCATACCTGCTCCTCCCGACTATCCCCAGCCTTCCAGCCTGCCCTGTGGGCCTCCTATTCACCTGCAACTCAGTTCAGGCATGGCCTGTCCCTACTCCATTCAATGAATTGCAAATAGAAAAGGCCATGGAAACCAAGGAAGTGAGAAAAAACAAAACAAAAAACACCCCAAAATTAAAATGGCCTCTTAATGTAGCTACTCCTAACTTGGTGACACTTTCTGTCCTCTGTGTAAATGCCACTGACTGGATTTGATTTGTACAGAGATGCATAATGAGACTGAAAGTAACATTTCATATTAATACTCCCCTCAGAAATATGGTAGTGACAGGGATCTTTGATCAGGAATTCTGAGCATGGATGCTCAATGGAGGTGACATGTCCTCCCCATAGTGAGAATGCATGTGCTGCCATTCACAACCCTAAAATGTCCACGGCCACCACCAAAGTCAACCATGCTTCTTGGAAGACGAACTACTACCCCTGCAGCAGGAGCCCCCTGTGCAGGATGCAGCATCTCTTGGAATGCACGCTCCTTCGCTGAGCCAGATGTGGAGGCCAGTGTGGGGAATGGCCACCTGAGGCCCAGTGCTTGAAGAGAGGACATGCCATCTACAGCCACGTAGCCCCAGAAACTGCTAACGGCCACCAGTTACATGCAATACCAGAGAAGAGCTATGTCCACCACAAGTCACGAGTACTTACAAGTTTCAGCTGTGGTTGGGTGTACAGCATCTGTCCAGGGAGGGCTGGAGCCTGTGACACCAAAGGCTGGGTCTGTGACTGTGGCGGGAGCTGTGATGGTTGGTTCTGAGCAACTGGTGGCTGCTGGGGCTGAGGCTGGGGCTGATGGTGCTGTGGGTGATGCATCTGCTGCAGCTGCTGGGGTAGGGCCTGGTTAGGGGGAGGCTGTGGCTGCTGCATTGGTGGCTGCTGTATTGGCGGCTGGGCCTGCAAAGCCTGTTGCTGTTGCTGCTGCTGTAGCTGCAACTGTGCCATCCTCTGTAGCTGCTGTTGCTGCTGTATCTGGGGGCAGAACAAGTAGCACTCCGTCACCCCACTAGCACCTGGGGCCTGTGCCAGCTTTGCCCCCAGGAAGCCTGCCCAGGCTGCCCTCACATGGGGTGGAGGGAGCACTTCCCACAGGACACTGAGAACACACCAAGAGTGCACCAGTGCTCTGGCCATCAGACACTGGTCCACCCCTAGATCTGAGAGAATGAAAGATTCCAGGGAAATATTGGGAGAGTTTAGTAAGGAGTAACATGGTTGTAGCCCCATGGAAGCTGGGATAAATGCTCGGTGACTTAAATCTTTAAAGTCTCTCCAGTGATGTTGCTTGGTGCCTACAGTGGTCAATAGTACAAGCCTCACGAAGACAGCCAATGTCTGCTTTTCAGGATGAGGATGAAAAGTGGGACTGAAGATTCACTGTTGGCTCTGGAAGAGGGGCCTCCAAAATCCAGGAGGGTGGCCACTAGTAAGAGAAGTCAGCCAGCCAAGGCCTGGAGGAAGTGGAAAAGTGGAGAGGTCTCCTTAGGGATTCCTTTCCTCAACCAAGAGCAGACCTAATAATAGGTGCTTAACATGTCTGGATGCTGACTGTAAACCATGGGCAAAAAAAACTGTTTTCTTAGAAACAGGGCTTCTTTTTTTATTTTTTTTTATCCTCACCCGAGGACATTTTTCCATTTTTTTGTTCAAGTAGAGTGGGAGGGAGAGAAAGGAAGAGAGAGAGAGAGAAACATCGACGTGAAAAGGACACATCGAGTGGCTGCCACCCGCACGACCAACCAGGGCCGGGGACAAACTGCAACCGAGGTACATGCCCTTAGCGGGAACCGAACCCGGGTCTCTCGGGACCGCAGGCTGATGCTCTAACCGCTGAGCCAAACCGGCCAGGGCGAAACAGGGCTTCTTAAGGTGACATTGCCATGACCATATGGGACACTAGATAGAGGTCGATTAGTGCTGCATCCAGATACCAAACAAGCCCACAGGATGGCTCAAGCATTCCTACATCGTGGCATGTTCTTTTCACTTCTTGATTCAGTTAACTCTTACACGAATCTCTTGCACTCAGAGCCTCCACAGAATCAGGCTCCAGCACACAGTAGGCCTGCAGCTAGACATTTAGGCCTGGCAGAGAAGCCTTCCTCTTAGCACAGCACCCTCCTAGTAAGTCAAGGCCTATTTCTCCTCCATGTCTCAGGTTCTGTGGGAAGCCTAAGAAGAAGGAAGCAGAGGCACCAGGCATCAGGAGGATCTGCTGCTGGCTCTGAGCCCCTGCACCCAGCACAATGGCTGGTGCGTGTCCAGGGCTCAAACGCCATAGGAGGGAGGCCGAGTATGGGAACAAGAGCACTTGGTACCTGTTGCTGGTTTTGATGATGCAATTTAATCAGGTGCTGCTGTTGCTGCTGCTGCTGCTGGAGCTGCTGCTGCTGCTGCTGAACCACTGCCTGGAACTGCTGTTGCATGGCATTCTGCTGAGCCTGGAACTGTTGCTGTTGCTGCTGCTGCTGCTGCTGTAATGCCGCCTGCTGCTGCTGGAACTGCTGCTGCTGCTGCTGCTGCTGCTGCAACGCCACCTGCTGGAGCTGCAGCTGGGCTGGAGACAAGACCCAGGAATCAGGCCCAGTTGTACAAGGCAAGCAGAGCCCATTGCCCAGTGCTGTTCAGACAGGGAGGGTGGTAAGACTGTCTGCTGTGCCACCCAATCCTGAGACTAAACAGATGTGATGGGAGCAGTATTTGTGTTGATTATAGAACTTATTATCACAAATTGCTCTATAATAACAAAGAAAAAAGAAAAGGGTTAAGTCTTAGATGGCCAAGAGGCCCAGCTTCTGGTGACCACTAATCTACTTTCTGTCTTTTTTGTTGTTGTTGTTAATCCTCACCCGAGGGTATTTTTTTCCATTGATTTTTAGAAAGAGTGAAGGGGAGCAGGGTGAGGAGAAGGAAACATCAATGTGAGACACACCTCAATCGGTTGTCTTTTGCATGTAACCTGACTGGGGCCAGGGATGGAACCTGCAACACAGGTACATGCCCTTGACCAGGAACCAAACCCATGACCCTCAGTGTGTGGGCCAAAGCTCTAACCACTGTGCCACACCAGCCAAGGCAACTTTCTGTCTTTATGGATTCAAATTAATGGAATCTCAAAATATGTGGTCTTTTGTGATGGGCTCCTTTCACTTAGCATAATATTTACAAGGTTCACCCATGCTGTAGCACATATTGGTATTTATTTTCATTGCCAAATAGGATTCCAATATATGGATTTCCCATTATTGGTTTATCCATCCACCAGCTATGGACATTTGGGTTGTTTCCACTTTAGGGCTATTATGAATAATGCTGATATGAACCTTTATAAGATTTTCTGTGGAGAAGTTTCCATGGAGATTTTCTTTTGGAATGATGAAAAGGTTCTAAATTGATTGTGGTTATGGTTGCACAACTCTGTGAATATACTAAAAACTACCAAAGGTTTCACTTTAAATGGGTGAACTATATGGTACACTAACCATATTTCATTAAAGCTGTTATAAATAAAAAAAAAAGAATACAGAGAAATCCTTTGTATACTTTGACCAGTTTCAACCTATGGTACCATTTTGTAAAATTATGACATAACAACACACCCAGAATGTATGCTCATTTATGCAGTGTGAATATTAAGTTCTTTACAATTTTCTCACCTGGGTAGATTCAGCCATCATCACAGTCAAGATACTGAACAATTCCAACACCACAGGGATCCCTAGTGGTGCCAACCCCTTCAGCAGTGGTTCTCAACCTTCCTAATGCTGTGACCCTTTAATACAGTTCCTCATGTTGTGATGACCCCAAACCATAAAATTATTTTCGTTGCTACTTCATAACTGTAATTTTGCTACTGTTATGAATCGCCATCGGAAATATATGTTTTCCGATGGTCTTAGGCAACCCCTATGAAAGGGTCGTTCAACCCCCAAAGGGGTCACGACCCACAGGTTGAGAACCACTGCCCTTCAGCAACCCCATCCCTCCACTCTTGGCAACCACTAAGGTGTCCTCTATTTCGAAATGTTGTCATTTCAAAAATGTTACATAAATGGGGCCATACAGTATGATTAACTTTTTTCATTCAGCATAATTCTCTGAATATCATCCAGGTTGTAATGTGTAGCAGTAGCTCCCTCTTTTTGAAAAATTTTAACTGATTTTATTTTATTTTATTATTATTATTTTTTTATCCTCACCCAAGGACATTTCTCCACTTTTTGTTCAGATAGAGCGGTAGGGAGAGAGAGGAAGAGAGAGAGAGAGAGAGAAACATCGACGTGAAAGGCACACATCGAGTGGCTGCCATCTGCAGACCCAACCAGGGCCGGGGACAAACGGCAACCGAGGTACGTGCCCTTAGCGGGAACCGAATCTGGGTCTCTCTGAACCACAGGCCGACGCTGTAACTGCTGAGCCAAACCGGCCAGGGCTGAATTTTTAACTGATTTTAGAGAGAAAGATGAAGTAGGAAGAGAGAGGAAGAGAGGGAGGGAGGGAGAGAGAGAGAGAGATTAGTTGTTCTATTTATTTATGCAATCATTGGTTGCTTCTTCTTTTTTTAAATATGTTCTTATTGATTTTTTTAGAGAGAGAGGAAGGAAGATAGAAACAATGATGTAAGAGAGAAACATCTATCTGCTGCCTCCTGCACGCCCCCTACTGGGGATCGAGCTTGCAACTGGGGCATGTGCACTGACTGGGAATCGAACTGGGACCTCTCAGTCCATGGGATGACACTCAATCCTTGGAGCCACACCAGCCTGGCAACTGGTTGCTGCTGCTTCTTTTATTCTTTATTAATTTTAGAGAGAGGAAAGGAGAGACAGAAACATTGATGAGAGAGAACATCGACTGGCCGCCTCCAACATGGCCCCCACTGGGGATTTGGCCCACAACCTGGGCATGTGCCCTAACTGGGAATTGAGCCAACCACCTCTTGCTGCATGGGTCAACACTCAACCACTGAACCACACTGGCTGGGCTAAAATTTAGGCATATTTTAATCTCTTTCCCAAATATAAAAACCTGAGTACTCTCTTTTTTTTTTAGGAGAGGAAGGGAGAGGGAGAGAAAGAGAGAAAAACATTTATGTGAGAGCGAGACATGGATTGGCTGCCTCCTAGACTCCCTACTGGGGATTGAGCCCGCAATCCGGGTATGTGCCCTGACTCAGGATCAAACCAGCAACCTTTTGGTGCACAGTTCAATGCCCAAGCAACTGAGCCACACCAGGCAGGGTGAACACTCTCTAATTTTTAAAGTAGGTTTTATGTGCACATAATAGACCTAATTTCCTTGATATATTCCCCTCTCTGACTTATAGTTTGGTCCCTGTTTATCAACTTATACCCACTTACATACAACAGACTTATAATAAGAGGTAGGATAGAATGGCTAGGGGTACCGCCTCTGACCCAGACTAAGCTGACTCAAATCCCCAAACTGTCACTTCTCTATGCCTCAGTTTCCTACACTGGACTAACAAATAATCTATTATAGGTAAAACACTCAACATAGTGCTTGGGATGTAGCACATCCACATGGAGGTTAGCTCTAAGCATTATTTTACAGAGGTAATTTTTGTTTATTACAAGAATTCTCAACCTTATCCCTACTGAATTTTGGACCAGACAATCCTATGCGATGAGTGTGTGTGTGTGGGGGGGTTGTCCTGTGCATTCAAGATGTTCAGCAGCATCTCTGGCCTCTACCCACTGGATGCCAATAGCACCTCCACAGTTGTGACATCAAAACAGTCTCCAGACATTGCCAAATGTCCCCTGGGGTGCAAAATCACTGAGAATCACTAGTTTAGATTTACACACATTAACTATTTTATATGAAAAACATTTCTTCTCTCATCATACACCTGGCATCTTAAGAAGGATAGTCTGAGAGGTAAGAGGAAACGGTGAGAAAATAAGAGTATGTCCTTAAAAAAAACTTTTTATGAAGGTCTCTTAGGCTTTATTTGTCTAAAAATGTCTTTTTCCCCCCTATTCCTTAGATGAGTTTTACTGGCATACAACTGTGGTTGGCAGTTCTATTCTCAACACTCTAACCACCTCCTACTTGACTCCATCTCTGAGTCTGCTGCTTGCACCTTACAGAAACTGGCTGTCTCTAAGATATTCTTCTGACCTTTGGTATTCTGCTGTTTCATACCAGGTTAAGGCATGGATGTATTACTCAACCTGTGTGGGTGTACTGAGCTTTTTCTAAGCCATTGTCCCACATAGTGTTGTGCTTCCATTCTCTCCACTTGGTCCTTTTGTTAGGTATTAGTCAAACTTTCTGATTTTATCATTTACATTTCTTACCCTCATATTTTCCATGTCCACTTCTCTGGGCTACATTCTACATTATTTCTTCAAATCTAGCTCTAGTTAATAAATTCTTTCTTTAGCTATATCTAATATACTGTTTATTCATCCATACTTTTTTCTTTCATTAATTTTATTTCTCACTTTCTAAAAGTTCTATTTGGTTCCTTTTCAAATCTGCTTGGTCACTCCTGATAGTATCACAGTGTTTGTTCAGTTGGAATTCCACCCTTTATTTCTTTAGCACACAAAGCCCATATCTAATAATTGCTATGTGTGTGGTCCCTAGGAATTTCCAATTTGTTTATTGTTTCTGTTCTTCCTCATGGTGCCTTTGCTCTTTTCATGCCTGCTGATCTTTGTGTGTTCAATGCTTGACCTTAACAGCAATTCTCACAGTCCTAATCTTGGAAGCATTCTCCTCCAATCTGCCCTTGCTTCTGGTGGAGCTACCGATGTCAAGGGCCCCAGCACAAATCCTGCTGGATAGAGGGATTCCAGCCTTGCTTTCGCTCATCTTGCAGTGGGCCAAGGCACAGCAAGGCAAAGAGTATCCTCTACCTTCTGCCAGCCCAACAATTCAAAATGCAGCCTAGCCCTGGCCAGTTTGGCTCAGCAGTTAGAGCATCGGCCTACGGACCAGAGAGTGCCAGGTTCAGTTCCTGCTAAGGGCATGTACCTTGGTTGCAGTTGGTCCCGGCCCTGGTTGGGGTCGTGTGGGTGGCAACGTCAATGTGTCTCTCACATTGATGTTTTTCTCTCTTCCTCTCTCTCTCCCATTCTGTCTAAAGATAAATGCAAAAATGTCCTCAGGTGAGAATAAAAAAAAAAAAAATGCAGCCTAGTTATCCAGAAGGAGGGTTCCTTAGCACCTAGCCTGTCAAACAGCCAGAAATAGGACTTACTTTTTTTTTTTTTTTATCCTCACCCGAGGACATTTTTCCATTTTTTGTTCAGATAGAGCGGGAGGGAGAGAGAGGAAGAGAGAGAGAGAAACATCCATGTGAAGGGACACATCGAGTGGCTGCCACCCTCACGACCAACCAGGGCCGGGGACAAACTGCAACCGAGGTACGTGCCCTTAGCGGGAACCGAACCCGGGTCTCTCTGGACCGCAGGCCGACGCTCCAACCGCTGAGCCAAACCGGCCAGGGCAGGACTTACTTTTTTTTTTATCCTCACTCGAGGACATTTTTCCATTTTTTTGTTCAGAAAGAGTGGGAGGGAGAGAGAGGAAGAGAGAGAGAGAGAGAGAAACATCGATGTGAGAGAGAAACATCAATCAGCTACCTCCTGTATGACCCCCACCAGGGATCGAGCCTGCAATCCAGGTATGTGCCCTGACCGGGAATTGAACTGGGACCTCTCAGTCCATGGGACGATGCTCAATCCACTGAGCCACACCAGCCAGGCTAGGACTTATGCTTAAAGTTAATTTTACATGTACATGACATAAAATTCATTGAGGAACAAAAATGTAGAGTGATTAAGTAAGTCTCATTCCAACCCTGTATCCCAGCCAATAGCCTTACCCTTAGTCAGCATTTGTGTTTCTTATGACTAACCTGGGTCACTTAGATATTATCACAGCGGGCCCTGGACTAGCCCTTTGATAGCCCTGGCAAAACCTCCAACTAAGGCCCTGCCCACTAGGGGCACTGAATTAAGGCATGAAATGGCCTTAATCACAGTGGCACTTGGAAAAAAAAAGTAAGAAAGAAATAGCAAATGCCCATTTGGCCATGACACCTACTTAAGGCACACCAGGCAGATAAGAGGTCAAAGGCAGGGAGGGAAGGTCTCTGACAGAGGCAGCAGCAGGACATGAAAGTAGAGAACCCACTTAAACCTTCCTCTAGGGCCACACAGGAGACCAGGCCCTTCAGAAGCTGAAAACAGGATGTGGGTCAAGGTTAGATTGAGGACGGTGCAAGCAGGATATCAAATCTTTTGTCACTGATCTTCTGACAAAGTCTTAGGTGTGAGACTACAAGACAAATCATGGGAGCATTCTAAACTCACACATTTTAAAACTATTTTTTATTATAAAATACAAGTTTGTGATCAGAGAAATTCAACCCATTACACTACAGTATAATGTAAAAAGAAGCCCAGGGCTGGAACCTCTCCTGCACATTCTTCTGTAAGCTATCTTGTGTGTAGCAGGTGTGCTGATAAGACAAAAGGGGACAAAGGAGCTCAAGATGAAGAATTGAGTGAAGAGCTAAGAGTCTGATGGCAAGACATTAGTAAGGAGAAGAGCATGAAGTCCTGAGGAGGAAGAGGATGGCTGAGGATGGAAGGTTCTAGTGCAGGAGTGGGTGGGAATGAGAACACATATGGCATCTGAGAAGAGCAAAGCAATGCTAATACAGTAAACCCAACAAAGAACAGGGTGCTCGGGTCAGGCAGCCTGGGTTTGACCCTAGCTCTAGGCCACAATAACTTCTGGGCAAAGCAGAGGCAGTGACACTGCCCTTTTCATAGGGTTACTATGAAGAATACATGACAAAAATACATCAAAACACCACAACCAATACACAAGTGTTCACAGCAGCTTCATCTATAATAGCCCCAAACTGTAGACAACCCAAATGTCCTTCAAGGGTGAATGGATAAGTAAACTGGGTACACTCAGTTCATAGAATACTACTCAGCAATGAACAAGAATAAGTTATTAATACAACTTGGAGGATCTCAAGGGCATTATGCTGAGTAAAAGAAGCTAATCTCAAAAAGGCAGACATTGAATGATGCCACTGATAAAACACAGGCAAAGTGACACAATTATAGAGATGGAGAACAGATCAGTGACTGTCAGGGCTTAGGGTTAGAGGGCAAGAGTGATTATTAAGAGGTATACCCAGCCTACTGGTGGTGATAGAACAGTTCTGCATGCTGACTGTGGTGATGGTTACTCAATTCTACATATGATAAAATCTCACAGAACTACACACATGTAAGTGCACACAAGAATGCATATAAAAACTGGTAATGTCGCCCTGGCCTGTTTGGCTTGGTGGTTAGAGCGTCGGCCTGCGGTCCAGAGAGACCCGGGTTCGGTTCCCGCTAAGGGCACGTACCTCAGTTGCAGTTTGTCCCCGGCCCTGGTTGGGTTGCGCGGGTGGCAACCATTTGATGTATCCCTTTCACGTCGATGTTTCTCTCTCTCTCTCTCCCTCCCACTCTAGCTGAACAAAAAACGAAAAAATGTCCTCGGGTGAGGATAAAAAAAACAACAACAAAAAACTGGTGATGTCTGAATGGTCTACCTGAGTTGATAGTATTGTTAACATGTTCATTTCTATTTTGTTTGTTTGTTTTTTTAAAATCCTCACCCAAGGACATTTTTGCATTTATCTTCAGATAGAATGGAAGGGAGAGAGGGAGGAAGAAAGAGAGAGAGAAACATCGATGTGAGAGAGACACATCAAGTGGCTGCCACCCACACGACCCCAACTGGGGCCAGGGACAAACTGCAACCGAGGTACATTCCCTTAGTGGGAACCGAACCTGGGACTCTCTGGTCTTCAGGCCGACACTCTAACCACCGAGCAAAACTGGCCAGGGCCATTTCTCAGTTTTGATGATGTACTAAGATATTATCATTGGGGAAACTGGGTGAAGTGTACTGTGCTATTCTGCAACTTCTAGTGACTCAAAGTATTTCAAAAATAAAATGTTCTATAAAGGAAAAAAAGTACTGAAGCACTTTGTAGTGCATTCCAAGTACTAAATAAATGTTTATGAGAGTGAAAGGTCCATCAAGACATATCCTGGAAAGAAGAGGGAGACCTGTGCTGTAGTCCAGCTCCTGGAAAGGGCAGCTGAGTGCAGAGGACAGGGGCCATGTCCTGCAGAGAAGTGCAAAGAGGGAAAGGGTAGAACTAGAAGGAATGGCCCCTGAGATTGGGACAGTCCAGGGGTTGTGAGGTACTAACAGCTCTCTTTGTGGCCAAGAACTCTGAAACATAACTGTTTCTAGTATGGCTATGGCTACAAAATATAACCCTTTGGATGGAGCCTCAGGCCACTCCAACCTCCTCCAATTCCTCCACTCCCACCCAGGGGTGGGAAAGGGGTCTTAGTGTCACTTAACTCTTCTGGTAGCCCACAGAAGGCTTGGAGCCTTTTCTCTCCATACCAACAAAGATAAATAGACAGAGCTCCTTGGACCTTCTCCAGGCTTTTCAGGATACCATCTTAAGCAAAAGAATAAAATGCACAATGCATCTAAAGAAAGTGGTAGGTTCTCTAAGAAGCGTGGTACTCACTCTGTGGAGTTGCCGTGGACACAACAGCCATGCCATGGGGGGCCATCCCTGAGGTGCCGGGGGGTGGCTGCCCAGAGAGGGGCATTGGCTGCCCCATGGCACCAAGGCCTCCCATCCCACCTAGGGACTGTCCTGGGCCCCGAGAAGGCATGCCAATTCCGGCTGCTCCTGCAGCAGGTCCGCCAGTCAGGCTCTGTAGTGCATTCATAGGGTCTGTGGGAACACAAAGGCACAGCGTCTCAGAAAAGCGACCACTGAACTGGGTGAGGCTCTGAAGGTTATGAGGCCCTCATGGAGCACACACTTCCTGCCACCTCCAGGCTCAACTCCCTCAAAGCCCCAACTGGTCAGAGGCCAGAATCCTAGAAGCCTCCAAAATGCCAGCCCAACTCCCCATCACAACCCAGGGGCAGGATGCCCCTGTGTGTATTTGTTACTGCTTCTGGACCATGAACCCTATTGGGCAGGGCATAGGTCCCATACTCCTAGTCTGGCCTATATCAGGGTCCTAATGTTGAGAGACAAATTTGCCCTCCAGGACAGGTGGTGGCCCCCACCCCTCCTGGCTGTACAGTCCCTTCCTGCTGGAGGAACACACAAGGCCCTTTTCAAGTAAACAAGAACATGGGGGTGTTGGGGGGATACAGAAAAGCCAAAGGGAAGGTAGACGTTCTCCAGGGAGATCACACATCTCCTTGTACACCAGAAGCCCACCTCTGCTAATCTGTGTAGAACCCCCACTGAGGAGCAGTTCTCAGGACACTACTCCTACGCCCAGGACCACCACACCAGAACATGCTAAGGCGTGAGGGAGAGGTCCATATAGTGCCAAGGAGCTCTATGACACTCGCCAAGTCTACCCGGTCTGCAGACTCAGCTCAGTGAGCAATGCTGCACCAGGACAAGTTAACTTGATGCTCTCGTCACACGCTCTTGTGAGTGTAGGCTCACTGCAAATGGCTAGCTGCAGATAGGTATGGCCTGGCCTAGGCACCATGCCACAGAACTGGGTGCCCAACGACTCTATGCTTCAATGCCAAGAGCCCAGATGTTCTCCTGGCCATGTACTCTGATCCTACCTGCCCCAGCTGGCTGAGAATCACTATACATGCAGAGACCCTGAGGGAAGATAGGGCCACATAGGCAGGTGCAGCTAGCTCAGCTGAGGCAAGCATGGGAGTCTGGCATTTATAGTTCTGCTGCCTAAGGTAAGATAAACAGCATGGAGGCTAGCTCCCTTCCGGACAGGCTGGAGTCTAACTGGCCACAGTGGACCTAACCTCCTTCGCTGGCAGCTCAGTCAGTGAAAGCAAGGCTAAACTGTCAGACAGGATCTCCCTTATGTGATAAAGCCTTAAAATAAAAAAATAATGATAATTTTTAGTTTAGTTTTGTTTTTTCTATCCTCACCCGAGGATATATTTTAATTTTTTGTTCAGATAGAGCAGGAGGGAGAGAGAGGAAGAGAGAGATAGAAACATCAAGGTGAGATACATCGAGTGGATGCCACCCGCACGACCCAACTAGGGTCGGGGACAAAGTGCAACTGAGGCACATGCCCTTAGCAGGAACCGAACCCGGGTCTCTCTGGACCTCAGGCTGACACTCTAACTGCTGAGCCAAACTGGCCAGGGCAATAATGATAATTTTTAACTTACAAAGAAACTCTGTAACTTAAAGATAAATCACAGTTGCCCTGGCCGGTTTGGCTCAGTGGTTGGAGCGTTGGCCTGCGGTCCAGAGAGACCCGGGTTCGGTTCCCACTGAGGGCACATGCCTCGGTTGCAGTTTGTCCCCAGCCCTGGTTAGGTCGTGTGGGTGGCAGCCACTCGATGTGTCCCTTTCACATCGATGTTTTTCTCTCTCTTTCTCCCTCCCACTCTATCCGAACAAAAAATGGAAAAAAAATGTCTTCAGGTGAGGATAAAAAAAAGATAAGTCACAGTTACCCTGGCCGGTTTGGCTCAGCGGTTGGAGCGTTGGCCCCCGGACCAGCGAATCCCAGGTTCGGTCCCGCTAAGGGCGTGTGCCTCGGTTGCAGTTCTGGCCCCAGGGGCCGTGTGGGTGGCAATCACTCAATGTGTCTCTCTCACATTGATGTTTCTCTCTCTCTTCCTCCCTCTCTATCTGAAGATAAATGCAAAAAAAAAAAAAAGTCACAGTTATTCTCTAAGAACCACTACAAGCTGTTATGCTGACTATATAATAATTGTTCTCTCCCAGAGAAAAATTTTAGATAATGTCTCAATAACTATGTGAGTTTTTTTTTTTTTTTTTAATCTTCACCCGAGGATACTTTTCCATTTATCTTCAGACAGAGTGTGTGTGTCGGGGGAGAGAAATATCAATGTGAAAGAGACACATCAATTGGTTGCCTCCTATACGATCCCGACCAGGGCCGGGACAGAACCACAACCAAAGTAAGTGCCCTTGACCAGAATCAAAACCTTGACTCTGGTCCACGGGCTGACACTCTAACTGTTAAGCCAAACCGGCCAGGGCACTATGTGAGTTTTTATAATCTTTTTGCTGGGGAAAAAAACATATTCAAGTGAAATGTGATGGAGCAACAACATCTTATGGGCACAAGAAAAGGAAGGATGGGGAGTACGGGGTGCAGCTCCACAATTCTCATGGCCAGCCAGAGGTCTCTCTGTGAATTCTGTCTTCTAGTAACAGCTTAATCCCAGGTACATGTGGCATCCACAGTCTCACACCTGCCACTCCAGATCCAAGGTTGGTAAAAATTTGAATTCAAAAAGGAAAAATTCTTACCACTGACAGAAGCTTGAGATTTCTTGTTATCTATATTAAAACAAAACAAAACAACACACACACAAAATAAACAAAGTTTTATATAACCACATATTTCTACAGTAAGTCAGTTTTACAGGCATTTGCCCAGAGGTTATTTGCTAAACCTGAGCTGACCCTGCCTAGAAACCAGATAAAACATACCTCAGAGCTTCGAGAGGTGTGTGTGTGTGTGTGTGTGTGTGTGTGTGTGTGTCCTATTCTTGGCAGCACTGACACTCAAGCGGGTGTGTGGTCAATCTAGGGCCTCAGAAAACTGCCCCCAGGCAGAGGCTCACTCACTCTGGGCCTACTCTAGTTCTCCTTTTTTCCCAGGTCCACAGTCTCAGCTAGTGTCCTGAGTAACAAACAAGAAAGCTATGGGGATCCATGATGGGCCCAGAATGGTGCTGAGAAGTCCACACTTCCATTTTCAGCCTATGTTGGTGAGGCAGCATCTCCATTTTCTACAAGAAACTGAGGCTGGCCAAGGCTGGCTGGGAGTCAGATCTAACTGGCCCCAGTATCAGGTGGGGAACTGCTACATCAGTTCTACCCTCTCCTGAGGAGCTGGTGAGATGGCTGCAGACACTCTAGCCCATAGGTCTGTGTGCGCCAACATGCCAGGGCCACCTCCTGAACAGGCCAGCCCAGCCCTGACAAGCAGAATCCCTTGCTAGGACAAACCAGAGTGGTTCATCCAGGCTGCTCATTCTACAGGCTCCTACTTCCACCTCCTCTTGTTTTATACTCCACAGGACCCTTCCAAACACAGCAAGAAAATAAAATCAAGTGAAGTTCACCTTGTTGTGGCTGTCCTGGTAAAAAGTTAGTGTGGAAAGAACAAAATCTACTGGCCATTAAAGGGCTCTGGGGTTCTCCCTTAGCCCAGGATTACTAACATTGACTCTGTAGCTGCCTCTACAACCACAGGAGTAGTGACTGGACTTGCAAAGTGCACACTCCAAGGACAGGTTATGTCAGGAGCCTATCTCCCATGGTAACACAACTGCAGGCAGGCAGGAGGTGCTGTTGGCTGAAACCACAGAGTGCCCCACCAGCCCCAGTTTCTTTTAGAGATTGCAGCCATCCAGGAACATTCAGTGTCTACACAGAAGACCACCAGGACCTTGACCCTGGGATGCAATGACATTCATTTCTGGAGTCATGGCTGCTGCTGGGCCTGGCTAACAGGGCCACAGCAGGACCCTGGGAATCAAAGGAGGAGGAATGTGGCAGGAACTGGGTGTCCCTCACTACGGCAGGGAGCTAGAGGCATGATTTAGGAAGTTGGCCTCAGAAGCTTCCAGCCTGACAGGAACACACATTTAGGTCAGGCCTCCGTGGGTCAATAAAACCAACTATTAGGAAAAGAAGTTTCTGTTTCAGGAAAACTGCTTGTTTAAGAACTACTTAGAGATAAAAGCAACAGTCCTTTCTGTTTTTAAAGAATTCTTTTTTTAAAAAGCCTCACCCAAGGATGTTTATTGATTTTAGAGAGAGGGGGAGGAAGGGGGAAGGAGGAAGGAAGGGAAGGAGGGAGGGAGAGGGAGAGGCACTGATCAGCTGCCTACTGTACAAGTTCTGACCAGGGATCGAACCTGAAACCTATGGGTCCTGACCAGAAATCAAACCCACAACCTTTTGGTGCACTGGATGATGTTCCAACTGACTGAGCCACCCGACCAGGTCAACAGTCCTTTTAAAAAGATTAAATGGATAAGCAAGAACAACAGTCCAGTTTAAACCACTTTGACGCTAACATTTCCATTATGCCAAAATCAGCATTTTTGAGGCTGAGGCTCTGGGGGGGATGGGAAATATGGAATCAAATGCAAAGCAATGAAGAACTTTCCAGAAAGCAGGCATTTTTGCACAGACTCAGGCACTATGGCCAAGTAAGTCTCCACCACACAACAGGGCCAGCATCTCACAGCGATCACAACCAGAAATGTAAAATTTTACTTACGAATGTCTCGAAAATGGATAATGAGCCTGGCCACAAGAGAAAGGTATTCGTCCTAAAAATAAAAACAGGAAGCAGTTTAATCCCAGATGAAGTGAAGCAGTGCGCCACCCCTTCCCTCCCCCCTAACACTCCGGTGCCACCAAGCTAAGGGCTCTTCCTGAAAGGCTGCTGGGTTGAAGCCCACTCACACCTACAGCAACACTCTGCCCAGCTGGGCCTTCTCTGGAATCTGGCTCTCAGAGAAAAGCTGTCAGTGCTCAGCTACAGGACGCCAACAAAAGGCACCGAGAAAGAGAAAAACAAGACTTCAAACTGCTGCTCCTTCCACCTTGTTGTAAACACTTAACCAAGAGGGCCAAGTGCCAACTCAGGTACCCTACTTTTCAGAGGGTACAGTAGGTCCAGTGGAAACGAGAGGCTGTCCTAAGGTCACAAGGCATATCAAAGTAGTCATGGGCGAGCCGCTTTTGTCTTTGCACTATTTGTATTGAAGTACTTTCGCTTTTAATACCCAGCCTGTTGCTTTTTCACTGCTGACGTCACACTTACATGCAAATCTGGATGTTCCTCCCTGGTTGTGCTTTCTGAGATCTGTGTTAATCTGAATTTACTGCACAGACAAGGAAGAGGATGCAGGGCCACTTGAGGGTGGCAGGTGAAGGCGACTGCTGAGGGCCCTCTTTGTCCCAGCTGCAATGTTTCTGAAACTGCTCAGTAGGGCCTGCCTTCCACCAAATGTACTCTTTGCAACCAAGGACACTTACTCCCGGGTGTTCTGGGGAACTCACTACTGTGGAGTTTGTCCTGTAGTCAACAAAGGGATGTTTGAGTTAAAATCTTATTTCACAGAAACTGTACATCCTTTCACTCCTCAAAATGCTCATCCTCCCATCAAGGCAGCCCTGAAAGGGCAAAGCCTTAACTCTCTGCCCCACTCACATGGCTCTCTTCTTCTAAGTCACTGAAAGTGACTATCCACTTGAAAGCAGACTGACATGTCGATATCTAGGACCCAGCCACAGCACCTGTGAGCCCAGGGACAGACAGTGAATCTCTGTCATAAGAACACCTCCAGGGAAAGAAAAATAAAACAAAAGTGGTCTCAGACAAATGTAAAACTATAAACATACTTTCTAAATCCTTATTATCCTTCATCTATCTCCAAACTTCACCCGATCACTTTTTTCAGCCAGGGACATCAACAGAAGAAACCATGAAGGGGAAAGGCCCAGGGGAAAGAAAATGCTGGGATGATAAACACATCTAAGGAGGCAGGTACAGAAAGAGGGAGAATGAGGCTCTGTTGGAGCAAAGGGACACTTAAGAGGCTGTCAACACTACCAATTTCTGACTGCCCCCACCAATTTCTGGTAGGAAAGATAATGTGCCGGGAATAAAAGTGTCACTGTCTCCTGCATGTCAACCACCTACTGAGGCTGCTCCTTGAAGGACAGGGGAGTGGATAGCAAGGAAAGGGGAGTGCTAAAGGAAGCTCAGGAAATGAGGTGGCCACGTATGAGAGGAACAGAACTGGGAGTTCGCCAGGTCAGTATCTGATATCTTATTAGGGTCTTGGACCATCTTTTAGGAGGGCTATATCTTAAAAGAATTTGTGGAGTTTTCGCCACTTCTATAAAAGGTAAAACAAGAGGAAACAGGTTTAAAAAGCAACCAGATTTTTTTTTTCTTTTAAATCTTTATTGTTGAATGTAGAATGTATTACAGATGTTCCACGATTTTCCCCCATGAACCGCCTCCTCCCCACTCCCTCCTTTTCCCACACTATTGTCTGTGTCCATTGGTTATGCATATAAGTTCTTTGTATTATTTCTTCCCTCCCCCCAACCCCTTTCCCTTTGAGGTTTGTCAGTCTAGCAATGAATTTGTACTTCTTAATCCCTTCGCCTTTTCACCCATTTCCCCAACCCCCCTCCCAACTGGCAACCAACAAAATGTTCTCTGTATCTATGAGAATGTTTCTGTTCTGCCTGTTCATTTTGTTTGTAGATTCCATTGTTGATAGATATGTATTCATTGCCATTTTGTTTGTTCATATATTTTATCTCTTTCATCAAAAAGACCCTTCATCATGTCATATAAAAACGGTTTGGTGATGATGAACTCCTTTAACTTTTTCTTGTCTGGGAAACTCTTTATATGGCCATCAATTCTAAATGACAGCTTTGCAGGATAGAGTAATCTTGGTTGTAGGTTCTTGCTTTTCATCACTCTGAATATTTCTTGCCACTCCCTTCTGGCCTGCAAAGTTTCTTTTGAGAAATCAGCTGACAGCCTTATGGGAACTCCCTTGTAGGTAACTAGCTGCCTTTCTCTTGTTGCTTCTAAGATTCTCTCTTTGTCTTGAACCTTCTGCATTTTGATGATGATGTGTCTTGGTGTGGGCCTCCTGGGGTTCATCTTATTTGGGACTCTCTGTGCTTCCTGGACTTGTATGTCTGTTTCCTTCACCAAGTTAGGGAAGTTTTCTGCCATTATTGTTTCAAACAGGTTTTCAATTTCTTGTTCTCTCTCTTCTCCTTCTGGCACTCCCAAGATGCGAATGTTGGCATGCTTGAAGTTGTCCCAGAGGCTCCTTACACTATCCTCATTTTTTTGGATTCTTTTTTCTTTTTGCTGTTCTGATTGGGCGTTTTTTTGCTTCCTTATATTCCAAATCGATGGTTTGCTTCTTGGATTTTACGTACTCTATTACTGAATCTGTGTAAATTATTCTTTATTTCAGTTAATGCCTCCTTCATTTCTGACTGTGTATCCATTATTTCTGACTGGTCCTTTTTGATGCTCTTGAGGCCCTCACTAAGTTCACTGAGGTTCTCATTAAGTTCACTGAGCATCCTTATAAGCAGTATTTTGAACTCAGCATCTGTTAGGTTGCTTATCTCCATTTCGCTTAGTTCTTTTTTTTTCCTTGATATTTTGTTCAGATAGAGTGGGGGAGAGAGAGAGAGAAAGAGAGAGAGAAACATCGACGTGAAAGGGACACATCAAGTGGTCGCCACCCTCACAACCCAACCAGGACCAGGGACAAACTGCAACCGAGGTACATGCCCTTTGCGGGAACCGAACCCGGGTCTCTCTGGACCACAGGCCGACGCTCCAACTGCTGAGCCAAACCGGCCAGGGCTTGCTTAGTTCTTTTCTTGGGGTTTTGTTCTGTTCTTTCATTTGGGACCTGTTTCTTAGTCTCCTCATTTTGGCTGCCTCCCTGTGTTTGTTTCTGTGTATTACTTAACGAGCGGTATGGGGCTAGCTGAGACCAGATGCTGCTTGTTTGAAAGAATTTAGGAAAAACCTGAAACAAGGTCCAAGACAGGCCAATCCTACGGTTAAGCAAGTGGCAACAGCTTGGATGGGCCTGAAAGTTGGGTGGGGCGGGGCCTCAGGGAGTCACCAGGGCAGGGCTACCAGTGTGAGCCAGGTTGCTGGAGTCCCAGGTATGGCGACTGTCTACCGCCACAGGGAAGGGCTCGCGGAAGGAACAAAGGCCTCTGACAGCACGTTTGTCCGGGAGAAAGCTCCCTCTCCAGCCCTCACTTCAGTGCCAAACAGCTCAGTTCTTCCCTGTATGTCTCTGGTGCCCCTCGAGCTGCCTCCCCTCCGAGCTTAGAGGGAGAGAGTCTGATAAGTCCGTGCGCGGGCCCTTTAAGTAGCTGCCCGGGGCTCCAGCGCTTTAGCTTCCCTGAGCCTCAGTTCCTGCTGGTTTTTCCAGCCAGAAGTTATGGGGATTCTCTTCCTGGCACTGGAACCCTGAGCGGGGCACCTGGTGTGGGACGGGGACCCTCAGTCCTCAGGAAGGACCTTCCCAGCCAAGGTGTCCTCCTGATTATTATCTGCCACACATGGGTGTGGGACCAGCCCGTCCGCCTCCTACCAGTCTGGATGTGGCTGCTGCTTCAATTTCATAGTTGTAGGACTTCCATTCAGCTTGATTTCAGGTGGTTTTGAATGATGGTTGTTCTGTAATTTAATTGTAACTTTGATGTGGTTGTGGGAGGTCGCGATACCGCGTTTACCTATGCCATCTTGACCAGAAGTCGCAACCAGATATTTTAATGGATTGCCCGTTTGGCTGGGTCTCCTTCGCTTGCCACCCTCACCATGGAGAGAGAGGAGGGAGAGGGAGAGAGAGATGGAGGCATCGGTGGGGGAGAGCTTTGGTTGGCCGCCTCCTGCGTGCCCCTCACTGAGGATCGGCCCACAGCATGGGCGTGTGCCCTGATGGGGAATCGAGCCAACGTCCTCTTGGTGCATGGATCGACACCGGGCCGCTGGGCCTCACCAGCCGGGCACAAATATCATCTCTTTTGATTCTCAGCATAACCCTTTGAGTTCAGAACTATCATCCTCATTTCTCACAGAGAAAACTGAGGTTTAAAGAACTTAACCTATTCAAAGTCATGTGGCTAGAAAGTGGCTAAGAGTAGGATCATCAAACTACAGCCCATGGCCCTGGCCGGTTTGGCTCAGCGGTTAGAGCGTCGACCTGCGGTCCTGAGAGACCCGGGTTCGGTTCCCGCTAAGGGCACGTACCTCGGTTGCAGTTTGTCCCTGGCCCTGGTCGGTCGTGCGGGTGGCAGCCACTCGATGTGTTCCTTTCACATCGATGTTTCTCTCTCTCTCTCTGTTCCTCTCTCTCCCTCCCACTTTACCTGAATAAAAAAATGGGAAAATGTCCTCGGGTGAGGATAAAAAAAAATACAAAAAACTACAGCCCATGGACCAAATCCAGCCTGCTACCTGTTTTAATAAATAAAGTTTTATTGGAACACACACACACACACACACACACAAAAAGCAACCAGATATGCCCTGGCCGGTTGCTCAGGTGGTTGGAGTATAGTCTCATATACCAAAAAGGTTGTGGGTTTGATTCTCGCTCTCTCTAAAATCAATAAACATATTCTCAGGCGAGGATAAAAATAAATTAAAAAAAAAACAACCAACTAGATACTTTTACTAAGACACAAGACACAGTAAATGAGGCTCAGGATCATGTCCTCAAGGTCCTTCAAATAGAATTAGGACCAAAGGCTCAAAGCTATGGGCAGATTCTACCAACAGCAATCCCAGCGCCAGAGCAGGGGCACCGGCATGGTCTGCTCCTGGCTGAGGCTGCTCCACTGGTGGAGTGGAGGCTCTCCGGACCAGAACAGTGTGAGATAGTCTGAGGGGAAGAAAGGGAGGGAGGGATGTGACCCCCTGACAGTAGAAATGGGCATAGGACACTGTTAAGTCACACTGATACGAAGGGGCTTTCTTATGGGTTAAACACATCTCCAAAATTCTTGCAAAGGCCGGGTCACTCAGGAACCATTGTGGGGTTGAGGGCTGCAGATCTGCTGCAAGCACTCCTTTCCACAGGAGACCCTGGGATCTGAAACTGCACCTCTGATCTCCCCCAGGCTGGGGCTGTCTTATCCCCATCACTGAATCTCTTATCTGTGAGTGCTAGCATCCTGACTGACCTCCCCACGTGTGAGATTTCCAGCCCCCATC